CCATTTACAAGACAATTGTTTATAATAAAATTCTATTCAATCAATAGACTCATAACAATTGAAAACAATGTTTTTGTTTGAGTTTGGGTTTGATCAATTCATAAAAAAAAAAAAAAAAATTAAGACATGCATGTTCGTCAACCTTAAACAATAATCTTTGTCAATTTTATTTTTCAGTCTTTATGATGGTGGATACTTGATCTATCTCTTACTGTTACATCCCCAGGCAACGCCGGGCTCTACTGCAAGTCGCTGCTCAAGTTAAACTGTTTTATAGTTCAATAAGAAACTACCTCCCAAGAATTTAAAGGTATTGCTCTATCAAAAATCTTACTAAGATGTGCTGTTTTTGCTAATTGTTATCTTATTGTAAACAAAGATATTTCAAATTGAACTAAAAAAACACTTGATTCTTTAAAAAAAATAACAGTTTAGCTAACAAAAATCTTGCTATGATAAACTGTTTTTTGATGTCACAATCTCAAAGATATATAAATTGATATATTATCCAGAAAATTATTTGCAAATAAGTAAAGGGAATTACTCTATAATTAGAACCAATGATACTTAGGGTTATATCCCTTATGAAATCAGACAACATGTTATGAACACAAATACATACGCTACATATTAATTTTAATAAAATTGGAAAAAAATTATAATTTTACATTAACAAAACAGTAATGGTATAATTCTTACCTGATTTTTGTAACAATTTTCTTCATCCTTGTCACATTTTGTCTCAGTATTGTTCTTACAATTACATTGCATACCTGTAGTCTCCTTACAGTCAAAAGCATGTCCGTTACACATACATCTATATGAAAAAAAAGAATTCTTAAATCAACCATTTTTTTTAAGACACTGATATTCAGAAAACATAAAACAATTGCTTACTTATTTTATTGTTGGATTGACTTGTGTTTTATGGTTTACCAACCTTTTGCAGAGTATTTAAAGCCAGAAAATATTTTTAGATTGTAATAATTTTTTTGGAGATAATAATGATTTACTGATACAAATCTTACTTATAAACCCATAGTTGAGGGGAGAAAAGGTGGATTTATACCTTTCTCAAAAGTATTTGCATATAAGTAAATATAAAGAACCTGATTGGAATTGGAACTTAGCTCTGAATTTCATTTTTAAATGTTGTTTATTCCCCACCACCCACTGACAAATTGTACATATGGGCACTAGTTAGGACTTCATAGAGACCTTGAGGTATTATGGTGACTGTATTAAGAATGGTAAGTAAGAATGTGTTGTTTTACTGTAATACTGTGGTATGTTTAGGTTAGTAATCAAGGTTAGCTAAGTTTAAGATAGATTGAAGACCAGCCTTCCCCTATCACCCCATTTGACCTTGTGCCACATTTTTGTATTCTTCAAAAATAAACTACAGAAGAACTCAAAATACTTTCTCCAATTCCAAGCCATTATCCATTACACCACCTCCACATCCAAATTTACAGCACCTGGTATTCCCTCTCAAGTAAGTCACTCATTTAGGTACTGACCAGGTTCGATGTTGCTTAATATTGGTAATTGTACTAAATATTTCGTATGCAATTTTTTTTTTTTTTTTTGAGATAATAATGGTTTGGTGATACAAGTCTTAATAATTAATCCATAGCTGGGGAGGCAAAAGAGGTGGATTCATACATTTTCCAAGGTTATTTTTGCATAAGTGAAAATGTGGAATCCAGCCGGAATTGGATCTCTGATCCCCAATTAACAATTCAGTGACATTATCCATTACACCACCTGCACATCACCTGGTATTCCTTCCCAAGTAAGTCACTCATTTAGGTACTGACCAGGCTCGATGTTGCTTAATATTGGTGATTGGTAAACTTATTGGTAAACTAGTGCATCATCTTACTTAAAATTATTGCCACATGACACAAGCAATAGTGCATTATTTAATCAAATCAGGCATAAATAATCTATAGTACCCTTTTAAATTTTTTTAACTAGTATACTTTAAAGAATTATTAACAAATGCAGTTCTATATAAAAACCTACTAATGGTATCAAGAGTAATTTAATTATTTTTTCTGCCAGACAATTTTTCTATTCAGAATTATTTATAAATCTACCATTCGACCATGCATTGAATATTGCTGTCATATACTCCTACTATATATATATATCTTGAGATTCTTGACACAATCCAAAGAAGTGTCTGTAATGTAATCAATCCTGACCTGGCATCTCAACTTCAGTCACTTTCTAAATGATGTAACGTGGCTCCCCTCCGTCTTTTCTTCAAATATTTCCATGGCAACTGTTCTGAGGAGCTTGTCTCCTTGGTGCCTCAATTGCATGAATTCATGCATACTACTAGATTGGTAATGAGGTCCCACGGTTTTACAGTTGAACTGGCTAGATGCAACTGACTTGTCTGTAGAACTCTCTTTTGTTTTCTTGCTTCTCTGCCACTTAGAATTCCACCATTTTCGGTCTTCTGAATCCTGTTCTTTTATTGACATTTCTCCTCACTAAAGTCTTCTCATTCTCTTTCACCCTCAGTAACCCTTTGTATCTTAATGGCATTATCACTTTGCCAGGGGTAAAATGATTAATTATAAAAAAAATTCATGCTGTCCAACAATAGTCGGTTCTGAAGATTGTTGAATTAATCAACTTATTGTAAATTTATATACTGATTTAAAATAGTTTTTACTCACGGTCGGCAAGCATTGTATGGTTTGTCTTCACTCAAACGGAAGTAGCCCATTTTGCATCGTTCACATCGAGGTCCTTCAGTATTGTTTTCACATTTCTTGCACACTGCTTCAGTTGTTTTGGGACCACGGCCCATAAAACTCTGTGGAACAGACCAGAAAATTAGTTTTACACGTTTAAAAGATCCCTTTTGTATTGATGTACACACATATTTACAAAACACATTAAATGCATTAGTTGTTAATCATAAAAAAAAATGTTAAAAAATGCTACTCTAATTAAAAGAGAAAACAAATCACTAAGACAAAAATGTATAGGAAGTGCTTTAATCGCTAGATCATCCATAGTAAATTTGCGTCCAGGTTTTTACAATGTTTCAACATTTTTGGCAGATCTTCTATTATCACTATGTGGGATATTTAATAAAAGTGATGGAAACACAAACCATAAGAAAAAGAATCTAAATTTAAATCTAGATTTTTTTACCCAACACATATAAAAAATATATCTTGAAATGTAAAAGTATGAAGAATAGGATTTCAGCATTCAAAACATTAATTTAAAACAGGGCTCAATACAATAGTAGAGCAATAAATATTTATTATGCACTGTTACTTTAGAACTTGTACATACCCACTACAAAACTGTACATCTTGTTTCAACATTAAAAAAATTAATGTTTCTTCAGGTGGGAAATCACAAATAGCATCCTGATTTCCCACCTGAAGAAACCTTAATTTTTTAACGTTGAAACAAGATGTACAGTTTTGTAATGGATGTTCTAATGTAACAGTGCATAATAAATGTATATATAATACATAAAAGTTAATCGTCAGAGTTGAATCAGACCAGAAAGAAACATTAGTATTAAAAAGTGCTCAATACATGTGTGAAAAAAATAAATACATACATATATATATATATATATATATATATATAAAAGAAAATAACATGTAGAGGTTTAACTTTAAAATTTAGGAGATTAGTTGAATCTGCTATCTTAGTTTCAACTTTACAGTATCCTCAGGCAGTTTTTATCAATTGACCTCCTAACATTTTATTTTCAAAAAAACTAATTAGGGCTATATATATATATATGGGATAACGATATTTAAATTAAAGGTATTAGTTGTTCAACGAGACTGACCACAATTTTTATATAAATAATGCTACTCTAATTAAAAGACAAAGTAATTCACGAAGACAAAAGTGTTTAGAACATGTTTTAATCACTAGATTATCCATGGTAAATTTGCATCCAGGTTCTTACAACATTTCACCATTTTTGGCAGGTCTTCTTTTATCATAATGTGGGATATTTAATAACAAAGTTTATAGAAACTTAAACAAAAACGTAAATGAACTCAGCAAAATTATATATCCAAAACATTTTTTTTTAAATAAATTATTTTTAAATTTAAAATTCTCAGCAACTCTCTTCTGTTCATGCACATGTACTTACATAAACATAAACTTAATCTATCAGGCGACATTTAAGCTAGCTCCTGAGAGACTGGGCCTTCATCACAATAGGTAGGGAGAAGTAAATGCAATAGGCAACAATAAACTACAGAAGAACTCAAAATTGATTGCTGCATTTAAGTATTGAATTAATATTTAAGCTCACCTTTTAAAAGTTCAACAGTAATTCTTCTGCCGCCACTTCATTTGAAGACAGTTTGATGTATGTAGGTCCTTACTTTCCATACATACAATTGTTTTTATTTCATGGGTGACTTTTGCAATTAATTTCAATTATTTCCAGATTTATTCCCAAGTTACAAAAAATTCATCACAAAAAATCACGTTAAGAAAAAAATTACAAAAGTAACTGCAATAATGGAATCTTGGGAATCCAAAATTTCAGGATTGCCAGTCCGGATCTGGCCTGGAATGTTTTTAATTTGCTCACGGAACCAGCCTGATTCCAAAATGGTATGATATGTTGGGCTACAGTCTCTAGGAGTAAAGTTGAAAAAGTGTGACACACTGACATTGGCATATATATATATATATATATATATATATATATATATATATATATATATATATAATAGAGAGAGAGAAAAGCACACTACCTGCAAGTAAGAGGCTGTGCCATGGGCACTATTGCAGCTCCATCATATGCTACAATATTCATGGGAAAATTTGAGGAGACTCATATCAATCCCCTCATTGGTAGCGACTACGTATTCTATGCAAGATATATCGATGATATATTCTTTGTAGCAGTAGGGTAGGTCAATTTTGAAACCACAATTAACCCTACCCAGAGAAAGTTACTCATTAACATAAATAATAACTGCACAAAATATTTTTTCTCTAAAAATTAACCAATTTTTGCGCAAATGCATTTAAATAGTAACATAATCAAATATTCCGAATTTAAAAAAATTGTTAACTGAAAAGGTAAGTTGGTCAAATTAACACCAGGTTTTGATGAAAAAAAAATGTAGAAAATAAGCTTAGAAAATGTTTTATTTTATTCAAACTCGTGCAATTCTGGGCAAATTGCAGAAAAGCAAACACTACAAAAATATTTCATTTAAGATTCTATAAACTATAAACAAATTCAAGCTCGTTTTAGGTTATTTTTTTCAGTCTGCACCGGAAATATTGTTAGCATTCCACGTGTTTTTTGCTTACACTTGTTTCAAGTTTATTCAGCTGAGTTAAAACACAAAAATAATTAAGTGTGTTTCTTTTTTATTTTAATAAACTTAATTATTAAAAGAAAAAAAGGAAGAACTTTATATTCACTGTGATATTTAATTTTTTATTTTATTTTTGAAGACAATATTTTTCATTCGCGAGTTTGTTTTTGTTTTTGGCATGAGCGTAAGAAGTGAGTTACATTTATTTTGTAAGGTAAGTAAATACATACTTATTATTTTATTTTTTATTATATTTTTCCAGATTTTTTATTTCACATTAGAATTTATAATTCTATTTTTTTTTTTTTTTTATAATAACAGAATAAACATTTTTTTCAGATATTGTTATAAAAATGGTTGGAAAATAGTTACTGCTATAAAATTTGGAGGACCACCTTGACCATTAGATAAAACAGAGCCGCCTACTTTTTGACAAATCATCCAGTATAGTTATTTTCTAAAAAATACTTATTCAAACTTAACAAACTTTGCTATTTCAAAATTTAATATTTCAGGAACGAGTGGAAGACAGTGAATATTTAAAAGACCAGAGGGCCAAAATAGGACCCAAGGGTAGTTTCCAACTTGGACCTGTTGATAAAACTACCATTCAGAAACCCCAAAAGAGAGTAGTGGAAGGAGAAAGACAAAAACAAATTTATCCATATCCTATTGCCTCCACATCTTATGATCAGGATGTTATTCTTTCCCAGTCATCAAATAGCGATGAAATATATGATGCATATGAGCCTGCCAGACATTCCCAGGGTGTTTACAGCCTTTTAAAAATTCCTCCGTATGCTACTGAGTTGATGAGGGGTGATTGTTCATCAAACTTAGGAGCAAGCCTTGCAAATGACTTTCTTTTAGATTTGCATGGGCCTTCTCAACCCAAGTGTTAATATCGAAAACATAATTTTGGATAAATCTAAAATAGACCGCACAAAAGAGAGAACAAAACAAAATGCCCATCAAAAACACATTGATAAAACAGAAAAAAAATATTTGTATTGGTGTTGATGGAGGACATGACAAAGATACATTGTTATATAAAGAGATTGTGGAGGCAGATGGAAAGAAAAAATTAAAGAAAACAAAGGGAACAGAACACCATTTGACATTCATAAAGGAGATGCGTTGTGGTGAAAGTGGAAAATACCTCACTTATAAAGTTACCACTAATACTGGGGCAACTAGTGCTGTTCTATCAAAGGTGGTTGCTAGGGTTTTGGCAGGAGTATAACAGTGTTGATACCCTAAAGGCAGTTTTACTGGACAACACCCATACAAATACAGGCTGTAAAGCTGGGCTAGTTACAGTTCTAGAGAAACAAATAAAAAGAAAATTACACACCATTGGTGGCTCTCTACATCAAAATGAGCTTCCGTTCAGAGCTGTTTTTAAGCATATTGATGGAAGCACAAGAAGTCTGACATCATTTATTGATCCACTTGGGAGATTATGTGCAAATGACTATCATAATTTGCCCCCAGTCAAATTTGTACCCACAGTTAGTCCTCTAGATAGCCAATATTTTAGCATACAGTTGATCTGAGTAGTGATCAGATACTTCTTTTAGAATATGCAGTAGGGATTTCACGATGGAAAGTCAACCTTAGATATGCTGCATAGAAAATTGGGCCCTTAAATCAAGCAAGCTGGTTGACGTTAGCTGCCAGACTAATGTGTTTGTGGACTTGAGGGATTTACCCTAAAAACATATTTTCCAAATTACACAGCCTTATCCAGTTTATTGTTGGGGTGTATGCATTTAGCTGGTTTGATATTTAAAGGGACAATAAATTTCATAACCAACAATTGTATATTTTCAATAGTCACTTTCTCACAGACGCACCGTCGCCTCCCTCTGTCCGTTCTACAAATACTTTCATGAAAATTGCTCCGTGGAGCTGCATTCACTGGTTCCCAGACGTCATGAGTTCCAGCGCCCTTCGAGGCTGGCATCCCGCTCCCACTCCTTCACTGTCGAAACTCCTAAATGTAGCTGTCTCTTCTACTCTAATAGCTTCATGTCTCGCACCTCCCGCCTGTGGAACTCCCTTCCCCTCTCCTGTTTCCCTGTGAGCTATAATCTCCAGCTATTCAAGTGTAATGTCAATCGACATCTCCAGTTGCCTTAATCTATCCACTACCCTCATCCTTTCTTCTATCACTCCTATCTGATCTTGCTATAAATTTTCTCTAACCCCTTGCATCCTAGTGGCTTCCCGCCTTGCTTGGGGTGAAATGCTTAAAAAAAAAAAAAAAAAATGTTGCAAAGAATTAAGGAACTACCACCTGAAATTCAGGAGATTGCATTCAAAAATATTCAATATAATGATTTTAGTCTCCTACCAGAAAATATATTGTATGCAATACTGAAATCAGATGAACTGGAAGTAAGAGAAGCTATAAAGAGAATTTTAGCCATTAGGTAAGTAATTCACATAATATTGATTAAGATGATTTCATTCATTTATAGTTTCATTTTAAAGTACTATCCTAATTCATTATAAAAATTAAGACAAATAAGGTTATTTTTTTATTTTGATTTCATTTTTTTATATTTTTTCAGAAGTGCAGAGCCAACCAGAAAGAGGTTAAAAAATATCAAAGATAAATTTTGATGCAACACATTGGTCTTAGTTGATAGACCTGTCCCAAAATGGAGTTTGTGAGCCTGGATTCACAGAGGAATTTTATGATTATGAACTTCTGGGGTCATCAATGACTGGGACAAAATTAGAGTTACCCCATTTGCCTTCACACTCACAAAATGTCAAAAGGGGCAGTAAAATTAACACCTGCATCTTCCCAATCAGTCTATGGAATTGAAGCAAGGCATAGGCATATCATTACAAAAGTTTTATGCCATGAAATGAGGCCTTCCTTTGCTTCAAAGGACTCTTATCTAGAGCAATTTAATATGATGCAATAATAAAAATTGCTATTATTCCCACAACATTCATGTTTTTTTGTCATGTCTTTTATAACTTTATTCCTTACAATTATTATATAAAATAGAAACTTAAAAACCCACTATTAATAACCAGTAGATTTTTAGAGAAGTGTTCAAATTACAATTGCACTTTATATTAAAATAATCATCCCTTAATTTGTTTGTAGCAGAGTTCATACTTGTTTGCTTTTGTTTCATTGATAACAGAAAAAAATAACTGTTTAACAATATATTGCAATGTTATTGCTGACGTATCTCAATTAATGAGGTAAAATGCAGCTATTGGGTTGGGGGTAGGGGCTTATAATTTCAATTTAATTTAATTTCTTTTGAATAATATAAATTGACAAACTTTTCTGCATTTAAATTATAAATTTTTTTAAACAATTTCTTATCTAAACTTAACAGAAAGAAGGATTTTCAGGTGCTTCATGTTAGATGATCTTTTAAACCAAATGCTCAAAAATCGGTGCAAGCTACAAATCTACTTTTTGGTGTCAGTACTTATCATACAAATACCCAACTTTCTCTGTGTGATACTTTTTGATATTCAAAAAAAAGTTGAAAATCAACCTACCTAACGGGCAGTGATGACAAACTTAGCCAATTCCTCACAACCCTAAATACAGTACACAACTCAATTAAGTCTGACTATGAAAAGTCCATAAGATTGGTAACATTTTTAGACACTCGCATTTATATAGATGAAAACAGGAAACTACAAATAACACTACACTAAAATCACCGACACCCACAACTATCTACACTTTAAGTCTTCCCACCCTAAACACCTCAAAGAGACCCTTCCCTATTCATAAGCACTTAGACTCAGAAGGATATGTTCCAACTAAATAAACACACTCAAAATCTGGAGCATCAATTCACAATATGTGGCTATAAACAACAGCTAATCAGGGAACAAATAAATAAAGCAATTTCCACACCTAGAGAAGACACCCTAATGTACAAGATTAAAAATAAACCCAGCCACATTCCTCTAGTAACTACTTTCAACTCCACTCTGCCTCCACTATCTCAAATAATCAAAAGTCGCTAGGAAATACTACATCTCAAACCAGACCTAAACCTAAAAAAATTGTTTGAGGAACCCAGCCTTCTAGCATATCGTAGACCTAAGAAGCTAAAAGAAATCATAGGTAGTAACCACATTTCAGGGGACAAGGTAATCTGTAATAAACCAAAAACAAAAGGATTTTCCCAACCATGTAACAACAAAAGGAGCTTATGCTGCAACCATATTAGACACATGAATTCATTCACTAGCTCAGTCACTAAATCTACTTTCAAAATCTACCACGACTAACTGTAGAAGTCATAACATAATTTACTTCCTAGAATGCACACTATGCCAGAAACAATATGTAGGAAAATCTGAATGGCTCTTTCACTACAGAATTAATAATTATCGCAACTGAATTAAGTCAACTCCTCATGAAAGATTATTACCTATAGAACAACATTTCCGTCTAGAAAAACAGGATTTTAAAACCCATGCCAAATTCACTATAATTGAGAGAATAGAAAAGTTCAGAGCAATTAAGCACATTCTGTATTTGTATAAGATTGTCAAAATATCAGGGATGAGTCCATAGAGCTGTAATTTAGTTGAATGTTTTCTCCAAGAGATGTTAAGTATAGCTCTCAGAATCCAAGTGCCAATTCTATCAAGCTTAGACTCAGGTGTTTTAGTTAATGGTCAAGCAGTGATACCATATATTAAAACCAATTCTACAGTGATGCGAAAGAAGCTGAGTTTGAGGTTGTCTCGTAGATCAGATTTCACCGATTTTATTCAAAGCAGCCCAGGATTTAGCTATGCGAATTTTCAAATCCTTTTCAATAGAATATATTTCACTTCCTTGTTATGTAAAAGAATCAAGCTTGATTCACCGGAGATAGTTCATAGTCTTGAATAAGATGAGTAAAATGTGAAGCATATTTTTTAAAAGGCCATTTTAATTTGAAATCAACTCTGCGCAGTACTCTTAGCAGAAGCGAAAAAAAAAAGAAAAAAAAGAAAGAAAGAAAGAAAAAGATGGAGAGTTGACTCAAAGGCAACCCTCCTCTATGTACTTCATAAGGCTCTTTCATTGATTGTGGTCCACTCTCTTTGGTGTTAATGCAGATCTTGGTATGATTGTTGCAATATTCAAAGCAAGATTGGCAGTGGCCTCCATTCCGTGGATCTCCAACAAATAAAGGACTGCATTCTTGGCACTGGGGGCCCTTTGCAAAGAAAAAAAAAGAAGAAAAATATATTTTTTCTCAAATTCAATAAAATTGCTGCAAAGAAAAAAAATTATTTTATAAGTGTTGTAACCTAAGGAAGGTTACTGAATAGAATAATCAAACAAAGGTTGGTAATAAACGATAATACTTAGGACAAGAACAACACACATAAGATTCACCAGTGGCACATAGAAGAAGTAGTCAACTGCTAGAAGTGAGTCAAGTGAATTCCACAATGAATCGCCAACTGCAGACCAACATACAGTATTTACTACTGTATTCATGTGAATGGGGACATACCCATTATCGTCTGTAGGTATGCTAACAATAAGCTACTTCCATACGCTGTATGCTTATTGCACAAGAATTCATACTCAAGCTGCTTAAACATTTTTATGCTTGGATCTAATAAATCAAGAAGAAAAACATTTTGATGTAAGTTAATTTCTTTTTTTTTTTAGAGACATATCAACCTTCATGGATTATTTAATGCCAAAATCTAAATATTTGGACACAATATTATGACTTGAACTAAATATATTTTGAACACTGTTGTATGCCTTCAAAAACAGATAAAATATATTGTTGATCATTTTACTATACAATATGTATTGTTGGTAATTTTACTATATCATATGAATTGTTGGTTAGTTAATACCTCTTTGAGTTATTTAATGTCAAAATCTATATATTTTTTAGTATTGCACTAATTGTCACTTTGCTATAAAAGTGTATTTTTGGTAACTTTATTGTAAAAGAGTACTGTTGATTTTTGTTTGGAGGTTCACTAACAGGTGCTAACACCCTGAATCAGGGTGGACCTGGGAACAACAGCAGTTTAGCAGTAGTTCCACTCCCTCAAAACCTCCCGATCTGAGGCCTTGCTGGCAGATGTAGTTTATCATCATACTCAGAACAATCATTGTAAGTTTGTTTAGTGACATATAAACATCCTTATGGGTCATTTAGTGCCAAAATTTAATTTTCTTGAGAGCATTAGTAATCACTTTTACAAAAATGTATTGCTGATTTTTATATATTTTTATAACCCAAACCATTACGATATGACGCAAGCATCATACTAACTGTACCAATAGGCCTCGGTGACAAAGAGGTAACTAATTTGCGAAGAGCAGCGTGTTATCGAGTCTAATTAGTTACCTTTTAATCACCGAGGCCTGTTGGTACAGTTGGTATATCAAGTGCTTTCTGAATTCTGCTGAGGATTCTTCTAGACTTGATGAATTACTTAATTATGATTATTTCAAATCCTTCTAATGATTTCTTTCACTTATATACACACACAATACAACGCAAGTGTCATACCAACAGGCCTCGGTGATGAAGATGTTAACTAATTAGACTAGATATAGCGGTGCTCTTAACAAATTAGTTACCTCTTCATCACTGAGGCCCATTGGTACAGTTGGTATGATGCTTGCATTGTAACGGTCTGGGTTCGATTCTCGGTAATGGATGTGCACTGCTGATGAGTCCCAAATATAGGGCAAAACGGCTTTCTATTGCTTTCTGCATTCTGTTGAGGATTCTTCTAAACTCGATGAATTACTTAATTATGATTATTTCAAATCTTCCTAATAATTTTTTTCACTTTTATTTATACATTATATATATATATATATATATATATATAGATAGATAGATATAAGTGACTATTTCTCTGTAAATGTGTAGAATATATTGTTTATTATTATTATGCTTTGTTTGTGCAGTCAAATGTAGTTGCAAGTTTCACACATGATAAATTAGATGTACTGAAAATCTACAACATTTTGGCGATATATTTTGGGGGCATTACTTCTTCAGGCTGCTTTGTCTCTTCAGAATGTAGGCGATCATAGATCCCCACAGCTTCCTGTCCTTTTGTCACCCTTAGCAAGGTTTGTCTTAACCATTTACACAAGCTGTTTCCCTGTGCCCCTCTTGCTTTCAATATGTCCTGTGAGTGTCAAATTTTCCAAGTTTTCTTTCTTCATTATGTTCCCTAGAAATATTAACTGTCTCTAGATTCCCTAATCTTGGTTGGCATCATCTCTGAATTAAAAACAATGAAAAAGAGCAACAGGAAACCACTCTACTATCTTTCACAAAAATGCATGGTATGTCACATATAATAAAGGAAGCTGTGGAGAGTCATGATCACTTATGTCCAAGAAGGATATGGCATTTTTAAAAAGAAAATTATCACTTGATGCCCAAAAATAAAAATAACAAAACTTACTTTAATAACTACCTGGCTGCTAGCTATGGGAGAGTGGTTTGTTCTTGGACTATCTTCTCAGCTAGTTATCATAGCATGCCAGAGAAAGGGATGTGGAGTCATGCCCCTCCTAAGGACATGAACGCAAAGCAAATATAAGCAACATCAGCCAAAATTTGAACCTGGTATGCCAATTCTGTTTAAGAAGAGGCATCAACAGATGCACAAGCCTCGATGAAGTTACCAAGTCAATGGGTTATGGGCCTCAACTGCATGACCACATTGCCAGATGCACAGGCCTTGATTAGGTGACCATAGGCCTCAATATAGTGACATGGTCAACAAACATATGGGCCTTGATTAGGAGCGGAAGTCAACAGATGTAAGTGGCTCAACTAGAGGATGAAATCAACAGGTATATGGGGCTAAAATATGGTTTCAACACAACAAACACAATAAGACTCAGTTAGGGGTTCCCAACAACAAGCACACAAGGCTCAATTAAAGGTTCAAGTCAACAGATGCACAAGGCTCAACTTTATTGATACTTACCTGTGTATTATGCAGGCATTCTGTGCACATTTTAGTATGTTTTTCACTTTTGCATTCACTGTGATTATTGCAATCACATTGCACAGAGCAGTTATTGCCTACCCAGCCAAACATGCATTTGCATTGGTCAGGGCTTGTGCATTTACCATGAACACAGCCCTGATTGCAGACTGGTTCACATATATGGCCTCTGCAAGAAATAAAATCAGAAAAATAATTATTTAGTTACACATACCTGCATGTGAATTTAGATGACTTTTTGCAATGAGACAAAATGTATCTGTCATAGAAATACCGTATTTTCTGGCTTACAAGATGCACTTTTTTCTCTGAAAACTACATGTGTGTTTTCCAAGATGAATGTAAGGCAATGCCCAGGCTCAAGTAAACTTGGACAGTCACCTAATTGGCTTGACTGATAAGGACGTGGATTTGTATGTTGAGTCATTACACTATAATATTAGCTATCTAGTTCAGCCTTTTATATGATGTAACCTCAGTACTTAACTGTTACAAGTATTTCCAAGACTATAAACCTTCCTGGAGCCAAGCCACAAACTTAAACAGGCTATATTTACAAGCAGTGGCAAGAGCCTTTCTGCTCTTGACTAGTATGTCAAAAGCCATACAAACAAAATAGGATGAATGATTAATGCAAACAATACGTGGTGCCAGTATGTGAGGGACACATGGTAAATGTGTTGTTATATGAGAATGACTTTTTTCCTTAGAAATTTCATTCCAATATTAGGGTGTATCTTCCAAGCTGCAGTGTCTTGTAAGGCAGAAAATACAGTATTTGAAATTAAACATGTTCTGTTTACTAGCAGTGGTGGGAGCCTTTCTGCTCTTAACTAATATGTCATTGCCATACAAACAAAATTGAACGAGTGATTAATGTAATTAATATGTGGCACCAGTATGTGAGAGATGCATGGTGAATGTGTTGTTGTTCGATAATGATTTTTTTTCTTAGAAATTTCTTTTCAAAATTAGGGTGCATCTTCCAAGCCAGAAAATATGGTATTCATGATTTACTAATTTATGCTTATGATTCTAAGGTTACTTTGGAATCAGCTAACATCCTTTCATTTATATTGTGCAAACATCAGAAACAATTTACTATGAAAATACAAAATCTATTTATTTTTGATATCTTATAGATATTTATCATATAGACGTATTTATTTTTAATATCATATCTTTTAAGCTTTATTTGACAAGAGATGACAACTAATTTCAGATAGCTAAAGTGAACTTATACCAAGTCTATACAAAGATTATACTGGATAATCTTTAATAAAATACTGTCTTTTAGCAAGAAAAAAAATCTCAAGAAAAAGTACATGTCTGCATTTACCGTTTTCTGTAGCCTGGCTTACAGATGCATTTGAACGATTCAGGGGTGTCAACGCATTGTTCTGTTGTGGAGTCGCATGTATGGTGTGAGTTTTTACATTCATCTTCGGGGGGGCATTTCACAAACACCCAGGAAATTTTCAAGGCCTGATTGGGATATTGGTCTTGGATTTTTTCTAAAAGAGAAAAGAAAGTGAGAAGGTGATTTAGAAAATAAATAAAATTTAAATGAAAAACTGTTTTAGTTCTAAAATTAAAAAGAAAAAAAAAGTCATGCATGAAAATTTCTATTTTCTACATAAAATTTTATTTATAAAAAATTTAAAAATAAAAGCCATCTTTTAAAAATTTGAAATAGTCTGAAAAGAAATTTTTTTTTTTTCATTATAGACAATTTTAATAAAAATTAATTTTAAATATAAAAAAATTAATTAACCAATATATTCTTTTATCTAATAATAATAATTGTTGTAACCTAGGGACGGTTATTGAATAGAATAATCACACAAAGGTTGGTAATGAAGGATAATACTTAGGACAAGAACAACACATATAAGATTTGCCAGTGGTGCATAGAAGTAGTAATCAACTGCTAGAAGTGAGTCAAGTGAATTCCACAATGAATCTCCAACTGCAGACCAACACATACAGTATTTTCCAATTGCAGACCAACACATACAGTATTCACTACTGTATCTATGGGAATGGGGGCATACCCATCATCATCCATAGGTATGCTACAACAACAATAATAATTATGCCAAACAAAACACTATTTACACAATTTACATTGTTCGGACTAGTGTCCTCATCTTTATTCTCATATTCACAACATTTTGGCCGTTGTACGCTCCAGCCTTCTTCTTGTGATATATGTTGGAATTTCAACCCAAAACTTTTATTTCATCCACTGGGATAGATTGTTCTATTTCCACATGCCATGCCTCTTCCGGATATCTCAGTTTCAGTTATCGCCCTTTAATAATTCAACTCTCCAAGTTTTTGTTCACGTCTGTGACCAGATATTGAACTCACAACTCTTTGTGTCAAGTCACTGGATTACTTCAACCGACACTTTTATCCACTCGACCATGTGTTACAATACCTCATCTCAGACAGATACTAACAAAACACATTAACCAGTAAATGACTGGAGGATAACATCTTCAAGATGAGCAGATTTTTGCAAATAAAGTGCTCAATATTAAAAAAGAGAGCAACAACTGTGAATAGACAAAGAAAATTTCTATTCATATATTAACAATTTAATGATCTAGAGGTTAGAAATTTGGCTTTGTTTATATGTCAGCAGTTACATAATATTTATGATTACTGTTTTTGCAAGCAAAAAGTTGAGATTCCAGTCAATACAATTTCTGTTTGAAATACTCTAGGGTATTTTTACTGACTGAAAATAGTAATTTTAATCATTTAGCTTTCAATTAAAGCTAAAAAGAAAGCTTCAAGAATGATCTTTCGTTTATAAAAATTCATTTTAAACCAAGGTATCAAAACTGAGTGAAGATATCTAATAAATAAATAATATAATAATGATTAAATAATATATATATATATATATATATATATATATATATAATATATAATAGCTGGCTACTCGTATTCGGGGATACCTATCATTAGGGTGACTAGCCAATCCCTATTGCAGACTCTTTTTCAGGCATATTTGTGTTTGTTCAACACCGACAGAACTCCACCTTTGGTTTATTCTGCAACTATGCTGAGCAAACCTTAGTTACACTTTCTGGGAGAGAGCATGTTATCTAGCACGATCAATAATCTGAACAACGCCAGCACACTCAAACCCTCAGTCACAATGACTTGTGACTTCATGCTAGCACAGCTATCGATGACCCCCAAGTATTCCATCTACCCAGTTTCACTCACAAGGCTTGGGTCAACCCGTGGTATGGTTTTTCAGGTACTTTCCAAAGGTTTCCACACACTGGGATCATCTCCCCTTCAGACTGATAACATCAAGAAGTCTCCTTCCTGACAAATCAACCATGTTTAGATTTGAACCTGGGTCTCATGGTCAGAAAGTGAACGTTCTAACCACTTGGCCGCACACACTCTAAATTTTTATAAACTCTTGGATGTATACATAGCATTGTGCTGTGACTTCCTGAACAGGTAACATAACCAATGGGAGAATTCTTTGTCAATCATCATTGCATAGGCCACAAAATTATGTCCAGCTAAACTTGTCCCAGAGAAACTTGATCAACAACTTCTAAGAACCATATTAGGCTCATGCCTAATTTGCTGAGTCTTACTTACCTGAGAGATGTGTTGAGCCATAGGTGATGTTGGTTTCTGAACAGAGGCCATTACTGGTCCCAGACAAGCCACCAGGCATGCAAAGACCTCGTCCATCTAGTTGAGCCCCGAAAGAACACCATCCACAGCTGGGGGTAGAGATGCAGCGAGAACATTGCTGGATTTCCATGCACCTCACAGGGCAATGATTATATTCTCGAAACAATGACCCACATTCCCCTGCAGAACAATGCAGGGGGATATAAGCTGGGGGGATACACTGAAAAATTAAATATTTTAAATTATTCTCAAGCAGTAATCAATTAATAGTGATATTGTTTAATTAAATTGATAAGAAGACTACTGAAGACAACAAAAATTAACTTCTTAGTCACATTAACCTTTATCGCTCTGTATGTGACTTCATTTCCTGTACAAAAAGTTTATCCTGCCACTGAAGGTGACTGATCCCTGAACAATAGTCTGAATTTTATAGTGTTGTCACATCCTGCTATGGCAACAGAAAACAAATTTGAGTGAAATTAACAATAAGGATATTGCAATTGAGAGGACTTGAAAAAGAAAGCAGTTGAAAGGGAAGTAGTATTAATAATGCAGCATGCTAAAGGTGAACAAAATGAAAGATAATATAGATTTATTTTTGAGCAGAAATTTATTTCTAATATATAGTGAATTGATTGTTTTCTTTATGGATTATCAACCTATTGCAGGTTATTTAAAGCTGAAATATATTTTTGGATTGTATGAACAATATTTTTTTTTTGTATTGAATTTCTAATTCTGAGCCATTATCCATTACACCCTCCACACACACATATATATACGCTCACAACACCTAGTATTTCCAAACATAATAAACATAAAATAATCTTCTAAAATCAATTGTTTTTTTAATTAAAAGTAACACACAAATCTAAAAGACATTTAATAGACAATATAGATAATAATTTACCAATGACAGAAGACAGTTACTAGGTTTGGAATAAGCAAACGGAATGAAAAATTATTTTTTAAATCTACTAAGTGGGTGGAGGTGTAAAAATCTAAGTTGGTAGGATTGGTCTAGAACAAGCAGTGGACTGCATGTTCCCTGGCTCATCTACACAAGATTTGGTGATCAACCCTTCCATCCTCTTTAAAAGTCCAAACATTTTGAATACTAAGTGAACCAATTCTACTGTATGGATCAGAACTTCAACATTATCTGTTCACCTTGAAAGATGATTCGATGGAACATATACAGATCTACTTAAAAAATCCAGAACGTCACTTGGAGATCCCATGCAATGCTTAACACAATTTATAGAGAACTAAGACCAATCTCTCTTAAGCTCAAACAAAAGTGATTACAGTTTGCCGGCCACAGCCCCCGAGCGGATGAGGTGGTTGTCTAATCCTTACTTATTTGGCATCTTTGTGGAGGTGTCTTCTCGTGAAAGTTGACTTTCCTAGATACCATGGCTTTGGACTCAGGGTTGGAAACTGGGGATCTGGGGACAACAATGCAGAACAGGGTAGTGTGGACAAGGATTGGAGTTCTGACCAACCACAGGGAGGTCGAAGGATGATGATGGCTCATCACAAGGCAGACCAAAAAGATTCAAGGTAAATTTTCATAGAAGTTACCTCAGCTGTCTTCACTACAGAAGAGCAGAGGCATAAGAATCTACCATAGAAATGTGATAAAAGTTTGTTTTTTTTTTTGGCGGGGTGGGGAGAAAAGATTTTTCTATAATTAAAAAATTAAAGTCTTGGTATATTATCACTAATGACAGTGCAATTAACACATGTCACTGTGTCTGAGTTATTTCTAATTTATTCATTTGAAAATAAAAAAGCATGCTTCTTCTACAGAGAAAAAAGCTTATCTCCTGTTTCAAAAGCAAAATATGTTTACACGTATGATCTTCCTTAGTGAAAATCACCAATGGTTTAAAATGATGAAAACCTTACTTTCACTAAAGAGTTTTCAAAATTCAAGAAACATTACACTTAACCCCATACATACATGAACAATGATTATGTATGAGAAATTGCAAGTAAACAATTGAGAAAAAAAACAAAAGAAAAAATTTTTTAAAAAAGGTTATTTGCCTTATGAAATCACACATGCCATTCAGAAAGACCAAATGGGCCGAATGTGGGCCGGGGGCCGCAGTTTGTCCATGAATGGTCTAGAATTTAGATTATTTGAATGAAGATATGAAATGTAAATGTTATGCTCCATTTTTGCATATAGACGTAGACTGATTGGAAAAAATCTATCAATCATGTCAAAAAGATTCACGTTCATCAAGTATGAACATCCTTTTACATTTCAAGCTTAACTGAAAATTCCCTTCTTGTAAGAATCCAGTACTTGTAAAATCTATTACCTCTAGACACTTTAAATATCTAAAACAAGAAAAGATGTGTCCCAATAACTTGAACAGATTTTAAATGTGAATTAAGTTTAAGCGTCTTTTTTTCTTTTCCTTTCAAATTTAAGTCTTTGGCAATTTCAACCATGGAAAGATTAACAATATGGTCGAAATTAGAGAGAGAAGGGAGAGATAGGAATAATTTTAAATCTATTTTTATTAAAATACTTAACAGTAAGCGAGCAGGGTTAAGGACCAGACATTGACCTATTTGATAAGTCATCCAACAGGAAAAGAGACAAAGAGAAGAAAAGATATAAGAAAGCAAATGTGGAAGCAGGGGTGGGAGGAAAAAACTGGGGAAAGAAGAAAAAGAAGAATAAATTAATTTATATAGGCATATTGCAGTTAATTTCAATAATACAGATTAATATAATTTACAGTTAATGCTTGATATTATTTTAAAGACTACCAACAAAATAAAATAGGAGAATTTAAAATTAGAAACAACTTAAAAATTCCAAATAGTATTGAAAAAGTATAATATCAAAAAGAAAATAAATTTGAACATAATAATATATATATATATATATATATAATTATTTATATATATATATATATATATATTTAAACATTATATATATAATGTTTAAATTTGAAATTAACTGTAATATGCCTATATAAATTAATTTATTCTTCTTTCCCCAGTTTTTTCTTTCCACCCCTGCTTCCACATTTGCTTTCTTATATCTTTTCTTCTCTTTGTCTCGTTTCCTGTGGGATGACTTATTAAATAGGTCAATGTCTCGTCCTTAACCCCACTCGCTTACTGTTAAGTATTTTAATAAAAATAGATTTAAAATTATTCCTATCTCTCCCTTATATATATATATATATATATATATATATATATATAACCTTCATGACTAAGATCTGTCACACCATTCACATTGCAGCAAACCACCCTTCCTTCGTATTCCATTGGGGAGATGCAAGTTCCACACAAGTAGCTTCTTCCTACAGACAGACTCCCAAGAGGATGCTTCTCCAATCATTCCATTATTAACCTGTTCAAATCCAGAGTTAGCCATTATCTTTCCCACACATCTCCATAAACTATGCCTCTTAAGCTGTAACCCTAACCCTCAAGTGGCTTTTTGGCTTTGTACAGAGCAAACATCATTGTAAAATGTAATAACAAAATTTTTTTACTGCAAATAAATATGAAAAATTACAATGCCTGTTTCTAATGTCGTTAATTTTGTTATTCTTTGCTTCACAAATTGTCATGCACCATTGTATATAGCCACGGACTGATTGCAAAAAAGCATGAATAATATCAAAGATTTGTTTATCAAGCCCACCAAATGTTCTTTTTAGAGTCAAGTTTTCTAAGTTATTTTTTAAAACAAGAAAAGATGGCACATTACAATGAAATGAATGAATTTTAATTTAATTGAAATTTTAGAATCAATAACAAATCAGTTTTGCAATCTTAAATTATCATTTTCTTAGAATTTAAATTTTTTTTATTGTAAGTTTCCATGAAAATAAATAAGTAGAAGTATTGAATTTTGTTTTTTTAATTGGCACTACTGGTTTATTTGTATATAAAAAAAAATTAAAAAACAGAGAAAAGATGTTTTTTTAGGAAGTAATTTGTGTCTATATTTCCGAGATGTAAATAGTGAAGTAATTTTTGCAGATTAGCATTCATTAGGCTGCAACACTTTTCAGTATCAAAAAATATTGATTTTTCTATCATTTTAGAAAGCAGGTCCTGTTCATATGATTGATACAGTGTAATAATAATTACCAGCTATTTACAGAAATACCTCTATTTATCTATTCTGTGTATGAAAACATACATTACCTTTTTTTTTTTTTTGCATATGTGTGTTTAGTCTTGATTTAAGATAAATAATTATTATCATAATACAATGTTTGTGCATGTGTTTACAAAAACTCCCCTTACCAAAGTTTTTAAAAATTAAAAAAAAAAAATGTAGATGTCAATGATGCAAGCCCAGTTTGAAACTTGACATTTATAAATAACAACCTAGCTCAATAACTCTAAAAGTCAGGGATCGATTTTACACAGTATCAATATTATGAACAGAACCCCTACTTTCTAAATCAATAAAAAATTCAATATCTTTAATTCTGATAAGTGTTGTGGTTTAAGTTTTGTGGCTTTGCTTTTTTTTTTTTCAAGTGGTCCTGTCTAGGTATTACCCCAAAATTAACAAGGGGTGGCAGGTAACAATTATTATTATCTACTAAGACATCAAACACTTATTACAAAAAAAAAAAAAAAAAAATGTCACATATCACAAGAGTGAGAGAATGTTCAAACCTCTTTGAGTTTTTCACTCCAGACACAGTGCTGGGATCCACCTTCTGCCCCATGGGACGACACACACTTCTCACAGGTTTGGTTTCGGTAGCACTGAGTGGGGCACTGCCTGGAATTGTACTCTCTATCAGAATGGTCACCTCTTTGGATTCCTTTAATGACGAACTCCAAGAGTATTGTGGATTTCCACTGAGAATCCGAGTCATTTCGCCTGAAATGAGAAGGGAAAAAAATGTCAGATGTAAAACTGAATTCTACTGACGTGATTTTGTGTGTCAAAACCAATGCTCCTCAAAATTAATGGTCACAACCCAAATGAAATTCCCAAGCAAGATCCTCAAGTTCAGTTAAGAAAAAATATAAGAATTTTTTTTTTTAAATTTTAAAAGTAAAAAAAATTGGGGAAATTCAGAAAATCAGCATCAGTAAATGTCTGAAAACTCCTATTTAGTTATTTTATTTTTCCTCAATAGGAGTGGATAGATTTGCCTATCATCTGGTTCACAATCCTCCCCAGATTTTTGAACAGGAGTAGAGGTTTATTCTTTGTTTCATGTTTAGGATTGGGTTTCCAGTTCCTTCTAAAGTTTACAACTCTATACTTCTAACATTTCTGCCTAAACTCTGAAATTTTATTTACTATTTTTTCCCCTCAATAGGAGTCGATAAGTTCACCTATTGTCCATTTCACACTCCTCCCTGGTTTTTTAAAACAGTAGTAGAAATTTATCCCTTGATTCCTGTTTAGGGTTGGGCTTCCAGTTTCTTAAGTCTTTTCATTCTCTTTCACTCCAAGTAGCTCCTTGCATCTTAGTGGCATTATTGCCTTACTTGGAGTCAATTGATTAAATAAAATGATATTCCAACCTTAATGCCCAGTGCTTATGCATTAAAGTGGTTGAAGCTTGATGCAATCTCAGTATCATTTTTTTTTTTTTTTGCTCACTTCTGGCATTGTTGTTTTTGATGACTGACTTGCTGTGATATGCATATAAGACAAGCCTGTCAACAAAGTGAGGGCCCTGAGGCATTACCCCCTACTAGGAAATTATTTGCCTTCTGCAACCCCAGAAAAGAAATCCTATTATAATTGGGCTCATCCTTCCCTTCATTAGTTCACATGACCATTACAACCTGCCAATAACCATAAATAATGGATTATTCCATTTCAGTTGTGTGAAAAGAGGGGAAAAGACACTACTTGGTTCCAGTGAGAAAATGAAAGAAAGAAGGGGAGATGAAGCAGATAACAACAGATACTACACTTTGATCTTAGCTAAAAGGGCAAAAAACAATGGCGACTACAATAAAAGTGATATTTTTCAGACAAACAGTATCAAATGTCAGTGTCTCAATATACAGGTAAGTGGTGTGACCTTATGTAGTTTTGGCACAGGTTATTGTATAATGTAGCCAAATTTCATTTACCGGTAGGCCTAAGTTTTGAGCCAACTGTAGCCTACCATATGTTTGGGGATTGACGTATACATTTATACACTGCTAGCAGCATGGCCCAGCATTGCCCGTGCTTGATTCAAAAATCGTACGACTCATACAGCAATCGCTATCATTTGACTTAAAATATTTTTACCCTTCCTTTGCCGTGCTGATGTTGCTACATGCCTTACTTCTTGCCTATCTCACACTGCAAACTTTTTCTAAGCTCTATACTAAACATTAAATCTGTTACGAAAAAAGAACTAAACAAAATGAACACAAAATGATTAGCTTTAAAAAAGGACTCGTAACTGGAAAAACCGAATGAAAAAAGAATGTTAACAACAAATACTTTTTCACACCCAACCCAGTTCTGCGGAATCAGAATTAGAATCAACGAGTTTAAGCAAGCGAATGAGCCAATTGAAGTAAAGTGCTATGCAGATTTAAATTTTTCCCACTTATGACAAATGCAGCTATTGATTTTTTTTTTTTTTGCATGCTATCATGCTAGTTAACATTCGTGTCAGTCAGCTGTTGGCTCTCACGCTGGCCAATAGAATCCTCCTGCCTATTCGTGGCAGCCAGCTATAGGCTCTCACTCTGGCCAGTACAAAATGGCCACAAACTACATGAAAACTGCCGTAGAAGCATAAAAAAATTGATTAATTTCCACTATTGATGGGAGTTGGTAAATGCATAGTCAGTCTTGGTCTTGCCGCTAACTTGAAGCATGTGCATGTAAATTTTGGTGCAAATCCGCCGAAAATTATGGCTGTGCATTCGTTACACACACACACACACACACACACACACACACATCCTGCCTTTTATAGATAGCGATGCATAGGCCTGATTCAGAATTTTCAGCTAAAAATGTTGAGGCCAACTTCTATGCCACAATTTATGGTAAATTAAAATTCAATATTTGTTTTTTCTGTTTGATTTCTAACAGGATTTCAACTCCTTTAGTGTTAGCTAAGGCCATGATTTGTTTTCTATATAATTGGCATCTGAACTTCAGACACTTTTCCTCTGCTGTAGTGTAATTTCCCTGTGCCCTTTTTTATAAATATTTTCATGAGTTTTCCTCTTTGGTACTGAGACTTCATGAATTTAAACATAGTACTAGATTGGCAGTTATGTCTCATCATTTTACACTTGAAATGGCTAGATGTAAACACAAGTTCTATTCTAATAGTTTCTTCTCTCACACTTCTCACTTTGGAAATCTCTTCTCGCTTTTATGTCAACTACGATCTTCAAAAATTTAAATGAAACATCAATCACCATCTTCTGTCTTCTTGAATCCTATTCTTTTATTGTCTTTTCTCTTCACTAAAGTTTTTCTCATTTTCTTTCACTCTCAGTAACCCAGAGGTTCCCAAATGGTACAATGCACCTCATAGGTCTAGCAGAAAAGAATAACAGGTGAGGCAGAATAATTGAAAGACAATCCCAGGTCCCAATAAATAGTTACAAATAATTATTGACCGAATTTATCCTTGTGATATTTTTGCATTATATCAAGTATTAAGAATATAGAAACTAGGGTCTGCAAATTGGAGAAGAGAGTTATCAATGATAATTCTCTGACTCCAAATCTGTGGTTATCTCCCTTTAATCCTTTTTCTGGATATTCTTTACTGTAGGGCTGCTTGCACATTTTCACCAGGACTTCCTTTTGGTGATGTGCAAGCAAATTTTAATTCTGAAAATGCGGCCCAGAGAAAAAAAAAAAAAAAGTTTGGGAACTACTGTGCTAACTCCTTGCATCTTAGCAGCATTATTGCCTTGCTTGGGGTGATAATATATATATATATATATATATATATATATATATATATATATATATATATATATGGTCAGTTCCACATCAATTAATAGGAATGGCTCTTGACTTTTTCAATTTCCCTGGCAAGATTAGGGAAATCATAATGAAGTATTTTGACTCAGCTTTCATGAAATTCACCGTTAAAAATTATACTACCAAGTGGCAACCACTTGAGATCGGTATCATGATGGGCTGTGTGATTTCCCGCTTCTTTTCGTTTTGGCCATGGAACTGATTTTACGAGGCGCATCAACCACAGCCAAAGGAGTGGTGACTGAAGAACAGCCAGTCCTTCCCCCTTCTAGGGCTTTTATGGATGATATCACAATTCTCGTCTCTTCTAAAATTGCTGCCAATAACCTGTTAGAAAAGTACCACAATCTTTTCATAAGGGCGAGAATGAAGGTAAAACTCAAGAAAAGTCGAAGCCTGTCATTAGTTAGGGGATTTGTTAAGGAGATTCACTTGAAAATTGGTGATGACACGATACCAACAGTTAAGGAAATGCCAGTAAAGAGCCTCGGATTTGCTGTATACAATCCCACTGACTGATCGACATCGGGTGCGGAGGTTCATAAATCAACTCTAAAGGGACTAATTTCAATCGATAGAACCTATCTGCCTGGCAAAATGAAGGCGTGGTGCTATCAACATGGTCTATTACCCCGCCTTTTGTGGCCTCTGCAAATGTATGAAATTGCATTATCTCGTATTGAGCGCATTGAGCAAGTGATCAATAAGTACTTGCGTAAAAGTGGCTTGAAGTTCCATGCTTGTTTTTTTTTAGGGCCTATATACCAACTCCGGACATCTGCAGCTCCCTATACATTCATTGGTGGAGGAATTCAAGGTTGGGAAGGTATGCCTTCATATGATGATGAGAGACTCAGCTGATGATTGCATACGGAAGGTGCATCCAGAGATTAAATCTGGTACAAAGTGGTCAGCTGCAGAGGCCACACAAGAAGCAGAAACCAGCCTGCGAGTCAGAGATATTATGGGTGTGATTCAGAATAATCGGGCTGGATTGGGTAACACGACACACAAATACTTCTCCAAGGAGAATGCAAAGGGAAAAAGGCGTATGGTAGTTGAAGAAATCAATATGTTCGAAGAGGAGCATAGAATAGCTACTGCTATTACTCAAGCGAAACAATGTAAGTGGACAACATGGAATGATATTGAACCCATTAAATTTTCATGGAATTCATTAATTGCGATGGAACCATTGGCGATATCTTTCCTTCTTCGATCTACATACGATCTTCTCCCAAATGAAACCAACCTGAAAATGTGGGGATACACAGATACAGATCTCTGTTTTTCGTGTCAAAAAGACCAAGGTACCTTGCGTCATGTGCTTTCTGCTTGTCCACATTTGCTCCATATGTACACGTGGCAACACAACAAGGTATTAGAGGTGATAAGGGATCTAATAAGAACACAATGTGAAACAGTAAATCAACAGCTTGTGGCAACCAAGGAAACTAAGATTGAATTCCATAAGGAAGGGGAATGCCCTGCAAAGAAAAAACAAACAACCCCCAATATAAAGCTGCTGAGTGGTGCCAGTGATTGGAAGGTTTCAGTGGATCTAATGATATCCTTAAAATTTCCAATACACATCGCACAGACAGACAAGCGTCCCGACATTGTGCTGTGGTCTGACTCTAAAAAGACTGTCTTCCTAATAGAACTAACAGACCCTTGGGAAGAGAACAGGGTGGAGGCGCATGAACTAAAGAAAAAATGCTGCACGAGTCACTGCGTGCGAGTGTATGAAAAAATGGTTGGGCGTGTCACGTGATGCCTATTGAGATTGGGTGTCGGGGGTTCCTGGGACATTCGGTCATTTCCTTCCTTTCAGAAATAGGCATCACAGGCCGTTGGTTGAAAAGCGTTTAGCATCACCTTCAAAAACTGTTCAACACGCGTCAAGTTGGATTTGGTCGAGATCAAAACAAGCAAATAGAATGCGCCGCAACATCACGACCTAACATGCACAAGTGAGATATTTGTGTGTCGTCTATAACGACTTTTACGAAGCGTCAATAACAGCAAACGTGTTCAAGAAACTTTCATTGCAGATAGATTTTACTTAAAGGAACAATTAGTTAGCTTAACTTCATACCCTGCCATAGCCACCGAAACCATGAGATCACCCCTGGTCGGGCGGCTGATGAAGACAGGGTATCGCACGTGCTAACACACGTTGTATGTTAAAAAAAAAAAAAATATATATATATATATATATATATATATATATATATATATATATATATATATATATATATATGTCTTTTCTACAAATATTTCCATGGCAATTGTTCTGATGAGCTCTCCACCTTGGTACCTCGACTGCGTGAATCTAAGCATGCTACTAGATTTTTCTTTGCTTTCCTTCTTTTTCATTTCCTTTCCTTTTTATTTCCTTCTGTTTTCTTTCTCTTTTTCCTTTCCTTTCTTTTCATTTTTTCTGTTTTCTTCCTCTTTTTTCATTTCCTTTTCTTTTTTCTTACTCTTCATTTTTCTTTTTCTCATTTCCTTTTCTTTTTTCTTACTCTTCATTTTTCTTTCTCTTCTTTCTTCATTTTTTCCTTTCTCGTCTTTCTTCATTTTTTCCTTTCTCGTCTTTCTTCATTTTTTCCTTTCTCGTCTTTCTTCATTTTTTCTTTCTTTTCATTTCTTTCATAATCATTTTCAATATTTTGTAACCCTCCTTATTAGAAATTTTTTAAAACGTACATTTTTATCCTGTTAATATAATTTTTTTTTTTTATAACAGATGAAGGACTTACCTGTACGAATAACCTGACGAGTCCACATACATTTCTTAGAGTCATGACACGAGTGGCAGTTGACAGCATTGCAAATGATCCCATCACATTTGGTCATGTCCCGGAACTCCTCCTGGGTACGATTGCAAGGATTTTCTTCTCCACATTTTTGGTTGTATCGAATACATTTTCCAACTTTGCAGTGCTTACACCATTTGCATAACTGAAATCAAGATGTTTTAAAATCTTTCAGTTTTGCATTTTCACTGCACGAACTTAAAATCATGACCAATTGTGAACAGATCATACAAGAACCATTTATGGAATGCCATAGTTAAAAATCAGACATTTGTACAATATTTATCATTGGTAGATCCATACATTTGTTCACTTTTACAGAAACAAAAAAACTGAATTATATATATATATATATATATATATATATATATATGTTGAAATAAAAAGTAAGGACAATCAGATTAATAATCCACAGTTCTTTAGCATTTATTTTTTTAAAAAGTGCTCGATACAAAGTAGAGCATAATATTATAATATTATTTAAAAACGTTTTCATTGCGACAAAGAAAATGCTGTGTTTCAGAACTAAAATTTAAAATTAAAATTTTTGTTCCATTCTCAAGCAATGTTGAATAACTCCAGATAAAAATGATTTACTTTTTTAAGCAAAGTAGTATTATATTTAAGAGTTTAAGTTGTAGGGGAATGAGATTTCAAAATTATAAATGAGTGTTGTCTTTTTTGACGGATCAGGGAACAGTTCTAATCTAAAATGGAAAAGTGAAAAATGTAGGTTAAAGGTTTGGTGTGGGTATGTAATTTCTGCTTACCAAAACGGGCTTTCATGTAAGAGACGTATCGTCCTGTCTACCTTTTTAAGAACATATATAAGATACATATGATTCAATGTATTTTAGTGTATCGAACAAAAGGTTAATTTTGGCATTTTTTTTTTTTTCAAACACATTGCGTCTGTCTTAAAGAAACTCTTAAATATAATACTACTTTGCTTAAAAAAGTAAATCATTTCTTGAAGTTATTCAACATCGCTTGAGAAGTGAACAAAAATTTTAACTTTTAGTTCTGAAACATAGTCATTTTTGTGTTGCAATAAAAACATATTTGTAAATAATATTATAATATATATATATATATATAATGTGTGTGTTTTTGTGGATGTATAATAGTATCTGAAACAAAAGTGTATATGATCAGACAAAGTGGAAAATCTATAAACGAGACATTTCACTAAGAGTGTCTACTCCCTCTAGATTCTTAAGTTTAGAATGAAAGAAAGACAAAGCTGTATATAAGGAAAAATGAATTGGGATCTCTGGAGATAAGTGAGAACCATAAATCACAAGTATATACATAAAAACAGTCTACTTTCTGTGAACTGATTTAAAAATCCAACAGACACCAAATGGCTCTTTTATATATATATATATATATATATATATATATATATATATAAAAGACAATAGGAAAACTGTAATATTAGCCGATATGTTTTGTCTAATGTAGACTTTTTCAAGCCAAAAACAAAATGAATTTATTAAAACAAAGTAACTAATAATAACAAAACAAAATGTCCCTGGAAGAATTTAGAAAACGCTATTATATTCCTATTGTCTTTTACATTTATAAATATTGTCTTTTTCTACAGGTTCACTCTGAGAAATTTTTATATATATATATATATATATATATATATATATATATATATATATATATATATATAAATAAATAAAAGTAGATATTGAGGTCAACACCCAGAGGTGAAGCCAGAGTGTTGACTTCAATGTCCACTTTTATATTTACATATGCTCTATACCTGACTGATATTGAGCTCGTAAACCCATAAATATAGCATACCTTAAAAGTAGCCACACTGATGAGCTATGATACAGTGAAACACTCTGTGGATGACAATATATATGCTCCTGAAAAATTATTTCAGTTAAGCTCTCTGGGGAGAAAGTGTTAGTTTGTAAACAGTGACTATTACTGCTACTAATGCAATACTCTTCTATAAAACAAATCAAGTTCTCTTAGTCACTGGTGTGTTTATTGAAAAACGCATTTTCTTTAAGGAGTAAATCCCTAACAAAAAAAATAAAAAATAAGAAGATCTCACTTTTGGTTTACCATAAACAAAAGAATCGCTTATTTATGTGGATTACAAAAGATTAGAAACAGGTAACAAAATCATCAATTTTAAAAATTTGATTTTTAAACTGAAAATATAAGAATCTCTAAGTTGGGCCAGATATAAGACACATGCTATTAAAAATGACAAATAATATTGTATTTATCTGAGATCACAGTTTTATGCAATATTTGCACACACAGGGTTTCAAGGTGGACACACACATACACAAACGTCAAGCTTTATATGTTAGATTCATATCAGTTAATATAATTATAGAAGAAATTTTAAAAGATATTACCTTTGGTGTGTTTTTAAATTCTGGATAGATAGCCAGACATTGGTCACATGTATGATACTGGTTGCAATCTCTTTCCAAAAACCACTCTTTGTCACACACCCTGCCTTTACTGATATTTCCACTGACACAACTTGAAATAGAGAAACAGAAAGACATATAAACACATTGTAACCAATAGATCACAGAATTTCAAAAATAGAAATAGTGGAGTAATGGTTAGCAGCTCAGATCGAGGAATCAGAGAGCCAAGTCTGAATTCCAGTTGAGTTCATTAGATTCACTTATGTATTAATATTCTTGGGAAAGGTATGAATCCATCTCTTCTCTCACAACAGCTATGAGTAAAATAGCAAGACAGACTAGGTTCTATAGCCTTAGGTGGCAACCAGTCTAGAAGAAGGATGTTAGAATTTTTGGATACTTCGGTGTACTAGTGAGCTAGCAAAAATGAGCTGACTCATTTTATAGTTCACCAATAGAAGGGTTAACCAATCAGAAGGCTCAAAATATTCAATGCGTATATGTGTATAAAGGCAGCCATGTTTTTTCCCGAATATTCACTGACAGTCAGACTTTGATATCGAAGACTGAAGAATTGCAGAACGGCTGCTGTTGTTATTGGCGATATAGGCGGATTCAGTAGAGTGTCTGACTCGTGAGTATTAATCTTTAATGTTGTTTTATTGAACAGATTACGTACTGCGCTGTATTCTATATTCATAGACTATGGTGAACATGGTTAACAAAGGAAACGTATAATTCAGACTACTTGCTGTCTTTAGGTTTTGCCTCTTTAGGCAAAGGTAGAAGAACATAACATCAAAAACAAATCCACCTCCGAGAGGGGTGGGGTAACCTCAACATCCCCGGTGCAAAAGGAACCAGCAAGTTATTTGCTCTATTCTACCTTGAATCTGACCATGAACCACAATTGTGGGAGTGGTGACCAAAGCAGTGACAAAAAATGTGCTAACTAAATAAAATGAAGGAAACAATTATTTACCAAATTAAGTCAAAGGGAAATAATATAACTTATTGTTTTTTAGGATGCTGCGTTTTCAGTTGTATACATATTATTTTCTTAGTTTTTTTTGCCTTGTTCTTTTTCTTCCTTTTTTATTGTGAATTTTGTCAAAGTTGGTCTGGAGAGGTCATGGATCTGAGCCTGTCAGATGGATAGCTCAGCATTTGTTTTACTAATCAAGTGCACGCTTAGAAAACAACACACCATTTTTATACTATGAGCCTTTTTGTTATAATGACAAGAAAAAAAATTGTCCTTGAATTGACTCCCTTGAAGCTTATATTACTTTATGTGCAAAACTGTTTCATTTTATTTTTTACACTCCGGCTTTTTACACATATGCAAATAAATAAGGGATTGGATTCTATATTTAGCATTTAATAGTTATCTCCTCTGAAAAATCTTCCCTTCACCATCACTGCTAAGTTAACACAAATGTGGACCCCATAATATGACCATTCAACAAGATATCATTCAAACTTTTTATGCATTAATCAAGATAGTGCATTTCATTCTCAATCTCTGTGTCAGTTCACCTCCTTTGAAAAATCAATCTGTTACATGATAGTTACATTTTGGAGGGATTGGTTGTTGTTTTGTTTTATGGCATATCAAAACCTCAGTGGGTCATTTAATGCCAACAAAATTTTGAAATAGATTCATAGCAATAGTTTGGTAAAAAAGGTGTGTATGTATCTTTTTTTTTTTTTCAAAAAATGTATTGTTGGTAATTTTTCTTTTTTTATCAAAAAATGCATTGTTGGTAATATAAGATTTTTTTTTTTTTTTTTACAAAGTATTTTTGGTATTAAAACCTATTTTTACACTTACATAGTGTTTTAACCCTAGTTTGAGGGTTAACTATTTACCCATAGCTGGGACCCTAACAGGTGTTACCGCTCCAAGTCAGGGTGGACCTGGAAACACCAGCAATTAAGAGGTGGTTCCACACACCTCAAAACCTCCTGATCAGAGGCCTTGCTGCTGGACGTAGTTTATATAGACAGATACTGAGGGATTAGATAAATATGGCAACAAAGATGAGGACAATAGTCGGAATAATGTAAAGAGTGTACATAATACCTCATCTCAGAAATATAGACAGATACTGAAGGATCGGATAAATATGGCAACAAAGATGAGGACAATAGTCCGAATAATGTAAATAGTGTACATAATACCTCATCTCAGAAATATAGACAGATACTGAAGAATCGGATAAATATGGCAACAAAGATGAGGACAATAGTCCGAATAATGTAAATAGTGTACATAATACCTCATCTCAGAAATATAGACAGATACTGAAGGATCGGATAAATATGGCGACAAAGATGAGGACAATAGTCCGAATAATGTAAACAGTGTACATAATACCTCATCTCTGAAATATCAACAGACTGAAGGATCGGATAAATATGGCGACAAAGATGAGGACAGTAGTCCGAATATTGTAAATAGTGTACATAATACCTCATCTCTGAAATATAGACAGATTCTGAAGGATCGGATAAATATGACAACAAAGATGAGGACAATAGTCCGAATAATGTAAATAGTGTACATAATACCTCATCTCAGAAATATAGACAGATACTGAAGGATCGGATAAATATGGCAAAAAAGATGAGGACAATAGTTCGAATAATGTAAATAGTGTACATAATACCTCATCTCAGAAATATAGTCAGATACTGAAGGATTCATAGAGTTAAAGGAAAAAAACTAAAAAAAAAAACAAGTCTATACATAATAGCTTTGCTAACATGTAATCAAGGCAGTGGGGGATAAAAAAAAGGACTTACATTTCCGGAAACATATTATTGGGCAAAATACAAAAAGTAAGAGCAACATCACTGATCTTGACTTTGCATGCTGAACACTCCACAGTTCGTTTGCACATCTCATAATCGTCAATAAGCTTGCAGGTGTCGTCTGGAATACCAATCTTTATTAACTTGGCACTTTCTACTCCACTAAAGCCTCCCATGATGTAAAAATGTTTATTGACAGTAGCAGCAGCAGCCCCGAAGTATGATCTTAGATACAAATTGATCTGGCTGTCTGAAATTATAGAAAACAAAAAGAAATTATTCTCCAAACATACAAAGCAAAAATCAAAGCCAAGTGAAATGGTATCAAACTTTATAATGAGGCAATCCTAAGAGAACTAGCAATCTTACCAGGGTTTATTATTGGGGGATATACTCTTAACAATATAAGATACTAGCAGTAGAGCCCGGCGTTGCCCGGGGATGCAACAGTAAGAGATAGATCAAGTATCGACCATCATAAAGACTGAAAAATTGACAAAGATTATTAAGTTGACAGACACGAATGTCTTAATTAGTTTTTTTTTTTTGTTTTGTTTTTGTTTTTTACGAATTGGTCAAACTCAAACAAAAACATTGTTTTCAATCATTATGAGTCTACCCATTGAATAGAATTTTATTATAAACAATTGTCTTGTAAATTGAATTTTTAAAGCATTCTGAATGTAAAAATAAAGAAAAAAGTGTGCAAGACAATAAGAAACACTACCTGCCAAAAAAAAAGTGAAGTTTTGTTGAAATTGGTTGAAAAATGTAGGAAATCCGATCCCATATATAAAGGAACACACACACACACACACACACACACACACACACACACACAACAAACCTGGGTTTTATAATAAGTATAACTCAATATGAGTTGTCCCCTTTCATTCTCGCGATACCTCTTAATCGTGTTTTCAAATTGATTTTGTGCAAAAACAATTGTTTTTTCCAATTTTTGGCTCTGTCAGAACCACCACCAAAGGTAATTTTATTTTGTAGTCCTGTGAAGTTTTGTTGAAATCGGTTGAAAAATGTAGGAAATCCGATCCAATATATAAACGTACAGAAACACACACACACAACCTGGGTTTTATAATAAGTATGATGTACATGGCACCATGTTGACGGCAGACACAGAAAGAAAACAACAGGGCCTCAAGGATTCGGTTTGGTTTCTTTTGGTTTGTTTTACGGCATATCAACCTCAATGGGTCATTTAATGCCGACAACTTTTTTTTTTCCTGGTAATATTTTTGTTTTGTCAAAAACCTATTTCTAGTAATATTTTTTTCCTCAAATATAATAATAATAATAATATATGGTAATATTTTTTTTTCTTCAAAAATTTATTTCTAGTAATAATTCTTTACAAAGTATTTCTGGTATTAAAACCTATTTTGACACTTTTATAATGCTTTTTACCTCAGTTTCAGGTTTAACTATTTGCCCATAGCTAGGGCCCTAACAGGTGCTACCACCCCAGGTCAAGGTTGACCTGGAAACACCAGCAATTAAGAGGGGGTTCCACGCTCCTCAAAAACTCCTGATCAGAGGCCTTGCTGTTGGATGTAGTTTATTGTCTTACCCTGAACGCGGATGTAGTTTATCATCATACCTAGGACCGAAGATATGCAGATGACACAATGTTGATGGCAGACACAGAAAGAAAACAACAGAAACTCCAAGACAAAGTAGTAAAGGAAAGCAGGAAAAAAGGACTAATCATCGATTATAATAAAATATACTCCATGACTATCAGCAAGAAGAGCAGCCGAGGATATGAAATACAAATTGGATACGTCAAAACCAAGCAAAGACAGAAGTTTAAATATCTGGGAAGCACTGCTGACAGAAAATGTGAAATGGAAATCCAAGCGTGCATTGGAATAATATGTTCTCAAAAGCTGAAAAAGCAGCTTCTAAAAATACCTTCTAAAAGTTAAACAATTTATTAAGGAATACAAAAATTTAATCGGAAACAAAGAAAAGTATGTTGAACTGCAATGTAACATCAATTCAACTATATGGCAGATGAAGAGAAGACGTGAGGTAACAGAAACAATGAAAAGAGTGCTGAACTGCTATGTAATATCAATCCTCCTCTATGGCACAAAATGCTGGACAATTTCCTCACAAATGAAGAGATTTGAGGCAACAGAAACAATGAAAAGAGTGCTTAACTGCTATATAGTATCAATCCTATACGGCAGTTAATGTGCAACAATCTCCTCAAAGATGAAGTGAAGACTTGGGGCAACAGAAACAATGAAAATAATTTTTAAATATATATATATATATATATATATATATATATATATATATATATATATATATATATATATATAGTTGTTGTGAGGCAAGCAAAACAAATTTTGATTTAAAATTTATAATTTCATAAGTGTGCCAAAAATTTAAAAAACAAAGTTTGATTTAAAATATAGCAAATGTTAGATAATTTTCTCAAAGATGAAGAAGAGACTCGAGGCGACAGAAATGTAGTTCTACAGAAGGATGCTAAGGATATCATGGACCTAGCGTGTGAGCAACAATGAGGTCTGAGAGAGGATGCAAACAAGGAGGAGGCTTATACTTAACATCAGAAAGAGGAAGCTGAAGTTTCTGGGACACATAATGAGAAAGGAGAGCCTGGAGAATCTGATACTCATGGGTTGAATAGAGGGAAAGAGAGACAAGGGAAAGCAGTGTGTGACATATCTGATGAGCTTGAGCAGGTGGATGACAGAACATGATCTGAGGGAAGGAACTTGCTGAGAACTGCAAGAGATAGTCGGAGGTGGAGCGCCATGATTGCCTACATCCTGAAAGGACATGGTACATAAAAAGAAAGAATTTCTTGGGGGTGAATTAATATTTGTGATAAGTAACAATTATTTGGGGTGAATAAACAGAAAAGATTCTGATTTTTCAACAAAGTCAAGATTTGATTTGGCACTTTCAATGAAGCCAATTTTGAGGGCAAATCAAATATGCTGTTACAAATTGGACCAACATATAATACATCCAACAATCGTGAACCATACTTATTACCTACCTTTGAAAGTGATGTTCTGCCAGGTGTTACACTTGAATCGATAGAGGAGAATATAGTTTGTAGCTTTCCTATCAACAGTCCACCCTCCAATCAAAAGCATGTAGTCGACCGTGTTAACAGCAACATGAAACATTCGAGGTTCAAGCTGGAAGGAAATACAAATGGAATTTTTACAATTTTCTTTATTTGAACTCATATTTCAAACAGGCATTTTAGTTTTAATCAGTTCTTCTATTCATACCAGAAATTCAATCAACTTGATTACACAACATACTTTAGAGCCTTGTCCAGCACAAGGTCACAAACAAAATAGTCATTAATGACGACCTTCATGGACATTGCATAAATATATTTTTAATAATTATTTCAATGGTAAATTTATGCCAAGGATCATACACAGTTTCCCTTTTGACAATTTCTAAATGTAAAAATATTACAAGCACTTGTATTTCATTCCCCACTCACATACATATAAGGCTGGCTACATTGATAAAACCATTATCTGCCTGAAGAAGTCGCTATTAAAGTCGAAATGTAATAAAAGCATTTTTTTCATTTTGTCATTATATATTTTCTTTCATTAAAATGTTATTCCCTGTGTCAAAAATCTTCCAAAAATAAAATATAATTCTCTGAAACTTTGAGGAATATCAGCCGAAAGTGTAATTAATTAAAGTGTAATTAATCTGATTTGAAAAAAGTATTATTTACTTTAAGTTTAAAATAATACAGAAATGTATTTTTAAAGCAAAACAGTAGCTGTCTTTTTAACCAACATCACCATGTTTTACATAATTGATGAGGTGTTAACAGGTTGTGTCATGATTGTTGTTCTATGGAGACTTTATCTGTTAAAACATAATTTAAGAAAATGATGTGTGTGCTTTTTTTATATGATTTTTAAGTACTCAGTAATCTTTAAAATTTTGGAAGATATTCTCCATAATCTAATTTTAGGATGTTGGCTTTAAATTTACTATAGTTATTGCTCTTATTTTCTGATAATGTTGTGCATGTTTGACAATACTTTCAAAAATGGGCACATTACATATTTTATATACTAAAATAAAAATTATTTTTAAAATCTTGATGCAAAGTGATTTGTATTAATTTTTTTTTAATTTTTGATTAGTAAATATAGTTTTCATTTAACAATATCACCTAATGATATTAAACTAATGTAGAATTTTAAGATTTTTTTTTAATTATTATAATAAATTATTATAAGTAAAAATTTTTAAAAATGGAAACAATTCTTGCAAAAATTCATTATTCATTGAAATTTTTTTTTCTTAAGACAATAGTGATGTTGATAAATATTATTTATAAAAGCAATTAAAAGTTTTTCTAATATTGTATTTTTTTACTTTATGATTTTAAGCAGATTTTTGGAAAATGAGTAGCAGTTTGCAAAAAAAAAAAAAAATTAAGCAAAAATTTGAACATGCTTTTTAGCATGTTCAAATTTTTGCTTAATTTTTGCTTAAATTCTAAAATTTAATAAAATAAAAAAAATACTTTGGTCTTTCCTCTTAACAATAAACATTTTCATGATAAAATTTTGTTTTCATTAAGTGTGGGGCCTTTTTTTCATCATGCTATGCTGTTTTTTCAGCAAAAAATGGAGGTACCTAACTTGTATATCACAGCTGTTATTGGAAATTTCTTTTAATATCTGACTTCACAAATTTCATCCTAACCAGGCCTTCTGATTGTCTCAAAGTTGATATTGAATTTTGAAGGTGATGAAACTATGATGTATGAAAATGTTGATATGTTATAAATAAACTTGTGGCATTAAAATAAATTACAATACATTAATATAGTAAAATAATTTAAAACAAATTCCTATAGTAAAATTGTTTCCAAAAAATTTCTACAGTAAAACCAGTTCCAAAGAATTTATATATATGCTTTTAGTTTGGATGGATTTGTTTAACCCTAGCCATTATATTCCAGGTTCCATAAAGAGCTCGTATTCAAATCATTTCAAATGAATTTCTATAGATGCTTTTAGTATTTGCTATATCACTAGATATGGAATCATTAGAGGGAATGAAAGTTTGGATGGATTTGTTTCATAAATCCTAGCCATAATATTCCAGGTTCCATAATGAGCTAGTATTCAAATCATTTCTAATGCATTTCTATAGTAAAATCATTTGCAATGAATTTCTATAGATGCTTTTAGTATTTGCTATATCACTAGATATGGAATCATTAGAGGGAATGAAAGTTTGGATGGATTTGTTTCATAAATCCTAGCCATAATATTCCAGGTTCCATAAAGAGCTAGTATTCAAATCATTTCTAATGCATTCCTATAGTAAAATCATTTGCAATGAATTTCTATAGATGCTTTTAGTATTTGCTATATCACTAGATATGAAATCATGAGAGGGAATGAAAGTTTGGATGGATTTGTTTCATAAATCCTAGCCATAATATTCCAGGTTACATCAACAATATGCCAATTAAGCAAAAGCCAACAAACCATGCTATTATCTGATGCCTGAAGTATGTTCCACTGTAGATTGTCAGGGTCAAAAGTGTAGAGTTCTTTGGAAGGGGCAAACTTGTAGTACTTAGTAAATAACATGCCCCCAAATATATAAATTGTAGCCACTGCTCGATGATAGACTGCACTGTGACCATAAATACCTGCAAGCAAAGACAAAAAAATACAATAAACAGAGTGGAAAGATAAGAAATAAGACGTGTATTTCATATATATTTTTTTCTTTATTTTGACAGCATAAAGTTTCTTAGTATTGCACAAAGTAAAATGCACATAGAGATTTCAGGAAAAAATAATGCACCATTAGCATGACGCATCTTTTAAAAAGTTTAAACTGAGGAGGTACAGTAGGAGTAATGGATAGTGGCTCCGATTGATGAATCGGAGAGCAGAGTTCAAAATCCAGTCAAATCCATTACATTCACTTACATACTAATACCCTTGGGAAAGGTATGAATCCTCTTCTCCCCCCAGCTATGGGTAAATCACAGGACAGACCAGGTTCTATAGCCTTGGATGGCAACTGGTCTACCACAGAAAGAAATGGCAACCTACTGCGGGAAAAAACCTGCCTGATCAGTCATTTACATTAGTCGGACTATTGTCCTCATCTTTGTCGCCATATTTGTCACAACGTTTGACCGTTTATGCGCTCCGCCTTCTTCAGGTGGTTTGAATTTTGAACTGAACCCTTTATTTCGATCACTGGGGTAGACTGTTCTAGTTCCACGTGCCATGTTTGGTGGATGTCAGTTATCAGTTATCTCCTGCTAATTTTCCCTCTGAAAGTTCTCCACTGCCTTAACCAGGTATTGAACTCACCTTCTTTGGGTCTGTCACTGGATCTAACCAACGTCTTTATCCACTGTGCCATGTGTCCTTGAGGACGTTGTGACAAATATGGCGACAAAGATGAGGACAATAGTCCAACTAATGTAAATACTGTACATAATACCTCATCTCAGAAATATAGACAGATACTGAAAGATCGGATAAATATGGCAACAAAGATGAGGACAATAGTCCGAATAATGTAAATAGTGTACATAATACCTCATCTCAGAAATATAGACAGATACTGAAGGGACGAAACGTTGTAATAAATATAGCAACAAAGATGAGGACAATAGTCCGAATAATGTAAATAGTGTACATAATACCTCATCTCAGAAATATAGACAGACACTGATCAGTCATGTATAGAAAGATACATGATTGCCTAAGCTTGTATCACGCATGACACATAAGTGACTGAAACTGAATAGTTTTCTTTAGATGCCACAGAAAATTTTTTTTTCTTTGAATAATAATCAATGTCAGGTAATTAAGTCCCATGACTAAGTTATATATATTGCTTTCATTAAAGCATATGTGTTGCAGTTATGTCCTTTGAACACACCATCCATAACTTATTTTCTTAAGTTAGGTTGCTGAATATATAATACAGAATGCAGTAGAAATACCTACCATATAATCATAAGGCATTAGCTAGATGAAGACCTTATTGCCATTAATGTCTTACCATTACATAGGAGGAATTTCTGAATGGTATATAGGTGTGGCCTGTTAGGGGCCAGAAAGAAAGACACAAGAAGAAAAAAGTAGGTTAACAAATGTATTGAAATAACAGATATATACAAAGTAAGAGCGTGATTAGTCAGTAGATAGAAGTGTCCGTCCAAACTGTCAGCTTACACTGCATCTCAAGTGTCTCCCATAGGAAGTCTTGCAGGTTGGTATTTATGAAAGGAGGAAGAGTTCATTCCCATGTAGGTAGGTCACCATAACATATATGCAAGCAGGTTTTCTGCCACACTTTGTACAATTATGTGGAATAATAAAAATGAAAGAACAATGTGTCTCTAATAAAGTTGGATTGATTTTATGACATGACAATATTTGTTAGAGTATTTAATGTGAGATTTCTGTACAGGACATCCAGAGAGGATCAAACTCCCTACTCAATAACAATGGTCAATTAGCCTTGCTATCTCACAGTGATTTTTGGTTGGTCGTTTTATGATATGTCATCTCATGTTGAGTTATTTAATATGACACCCGATGACGACACCAACTCACTATTCAGTAATAATGGTCAACCAAAATAGCCTTGCTAACCATTACTCCCATGCCAATCATTCGTGGGTTGATTTTAAAATATATCAACCTTTGTTGGGTTATTTAAGGTCAATTTCATGTGGGGCACCTGGTAAAGATCCAACTCACTATTCAGTAGTAATGATCAACTAGATTAGCCTCATTAACCATTACTCTACACCAAACAATTACTGGCATCACAGGGATAAAAATAATTGCAATAATAAACAGATGTCCCATATCAGCCAAAACAACAGACACCTGATGATGGCCAGGGGGTACTTGGTTGAAACGTTATGCCTACGATAACATATATCAACCCAGATGAGAACAATAGCTCAAAATAATATAAGTATAATGACAATTACTCATCTTAAAAATGAAATATTAACTATTCAAAAATGGTACAAACTCGCCATGATAACCAAATGTCAAAACCAACTCACAATGAATATAAAAGGCTCCAAAAATACACTATTAATGTCTTTTAGATACACAAATTGGTTATACATGTGTGTTACTATTGGAGTTCAATCCCTGGATCAGACAAATGAAACATGGGTTCAGCAGGGACAAAACACAATAATCAGCGATATCCAAAACAATGGACATCTGATGATGGCTAGATTGCACTTGGCCAAAGCATTGAGTTTGTAATAACATTTATAATAATCAAAATGAGAACACTGGACACTTGAAGATGGTTAGATTGTACTTGGCCGAAACATTGTCTCTATAATAATGTCTATAATAATAAAGATGAGAAAAATAGATGGATACCTGAAGATGGCCAGAGGGCAATTGGCCGAAATGTTGTGTGTATATAACATCTCTATAATAATCAATATGAAAACAATAATCAACCCATATTAGGATATTTGATATCACATTTTATGTGGGGACACTGAATGAGGACCTAACTCACTACTCAGTCAATGGTCAACCAGACTAGCCTCACTGCAGAGGCAGACAACTCTAAGACAGAACAAATATCAAAAACACCATTTTTCAACAAGAATCAAAAATTGCAATAAACTTACCAAGAGGAATGATGCCGCTCAAGTTTTTCCGATGATACATTTCCCAGGATGTTTCAGCAGAGTCATAAATCAGAACTTTATCCAAGAAATACTTTTCTGTGGAAAATCCCCCAATAACAACCAGCTTAATGTCCTGTACATATGTAAGAGTATGGCCGGCAACAGTAGGAAGCCACCAATCACTCTACGAAAAAGAAAACATTGAAAAGAAATACATTAAAAAATAATTTCGCTTTGTCCTGTTGGTAGTTTTTATTCAGCTGGTGACAATAAAAAAAAATAGTACATTATTTTTGTTATAATTACTATGCATTTGAATGACGAATTATTAGTTAATTAGTCAATGTTAACTCATGTCTGACTATTTAATGTTAAAATCATATTCATTTGTTTTGAAATAAATATTTTTTTAAATTTTGTTAAATTTTTAAAATTTTATTAGATTAAAAAATTTTTTACTCATTTAAACATTAACTTTTTTTAAATTCATATTGAATTGTTTTGAAATAAGCATTTTTTAAATTTTATTAAATTTTAATTAAATCTTTTAAATTTTATTAGATTAAAAAAATTTTAACATGTTTGACTAATGTCAAAATCATATTGATTTGTTTTGAAATAAACATTTTTTAAATTTTATTAAATTTTTATTAAATCTTATTAGATTAAAAAATTTTTAACTCGTGTTTGACTATTTAATGTCAAAACCATATTGATTTTTTTTTTTTGCTGTTTATCAAACTTTTGCAAGTTATTTAAAATCAGAAAATATTTTTAAATTGTGAGAATTTTCTCAATAATGATTTACTGATACAGGTCCTAATAATTAACAGGTGAGATGGTGGAGGTGTTCATAACTTAATTTTCCCAAAAGTATTTGCTCATAAGTGAATATAACAAAGGAATTTGAACTTGGCTCTCCAATTTCCAATTCCAAGTCTGTATGCATTACATCATCAGCAAAGCGGTCACCCATCTAGGTACTGACCAGACTAGATGTTGCTTAACTTCAGTGATCATATGAGAATTGGTGTTTCAATGTGATATTGCTGTAAGCACACTATCAAAATCAGTTTTTATTATTATTCTATTTAATTTTATAAGCATTTACTTAGTCTGCAAATAAGTAAATATTGATTGATTATTTATAGTTGTCTATAACTATTCACTTGGTAGGTAGCCTCTCTTGGTGGAGTATGTGGGAGGAGGTCTTACCTCAATGCTTTCCAATCAACGTTTCTGTTCTATGTTAGTCTTGGCTGACAGATGAAGCATCAAACTTAACGCTGGTAAGTTCAAATTTTGAGGGGAATTATCTCCCTTTCATTAGAGTTCACTTGTACTTTTCACTAATTTCTTCTTTTTTTTTTATAACGATTTTTGCATGTGAGCTGATATTTCTGGGTCGAAGAAATTCATACTGTGATTTACAGTCAAATGAATAAAATTGGGATCATCCTTCAAAGATCCTTTCCAACAATCCGACATAATCGTAGTAGCTTAGGATTGTGTCCAGTAATGTAGCGGCTGTTCTATACTCCAGCAACTTCATGGCAAGCTAAATAAATTTTGTTTTAAAACTTATTATTTCAAAAGGGTGCCAAAAATTTAATAAAAGAAAAACAAATTTTGATTTATAATTTAAAAAAAAAAAAAAAAGAGTGTCAAAATTTAATAAAAAAAAATAAAAAAAATACATATTTTGATTTAAAAAAATTTATAATTTCTTGGGATGAATTAATATTTGGAATAAGTGAATTAACAGAAAAAATCCCAAAGCTAATATCCAATCATATTTTGTCTTTCTTTTGCAAACTCTGTTATGGTTACGAATGTTTTCAATTATATACTGTTCTGAAGACAATTTCATGAAACATGAAAAATAAAATAAATAAATAAACAGAAAAACTAACTTATTGAATTAGTTACTAAGTTAATAATTAGTATTAACTTTGTTAAGTCAAGGAAAATTGATAATCCACAAAAAAAAAAAAAAAAAAAAAAAAAACTAATACCAGACGAGCTGGAAAATCAATGGTACGCTAAAAACTAAATCCATGCACGAATGACAGCCTAATGTTTCACGACACGGAAAGTGGAATTATTTTTTTATTTATTTTTTTTTTAAGCCAAGTTCAAATTCCGGCATAGTTTGTGTTGACAATAGTCACAATATCCTTAGAAAAGACGAATTCATCTATCCCCAAAATCACCTATAGGTTAAGTTGAAGTTTTACATTTTACGTTGACTGAAAATAATTTTTAATCAATCTTCCTTTGCGTTTAAACTCGAAAGAAAAAGAAATGGATGTAGAAAAGAAAAATCAAGGCGATCCTTATATCGCCTTGTTGTAAAAATTTTCAAGGGAGGTCATTCTTATTTTATAATACCTAATTACCTCCCTTAGATTTTTACGAAATTAATAAAAGGATTTTATTAAGATTTCTCCGTTGAATATACTTATCAAAATCTGAGCATTATTTTCTGAATGTAACTGGGGCGGAAAAAAAAAGCGTTCTTGTATATTTCCAATTTGCATGATACTTGTGATGCATTTTGAATTTGTTTCAGATCACTGACTAAACAGGCAACAGAAAAATGTGTGTAATAAATAAGAAAAAGGAAATTATATAAAAGATTAATAAAAAGTTGAATTAAAAAAATCATGATGCAATAGACTAGGTTTGTTTATCACACTTTCTTTTGGGAGTAATGTTTTAAAAAATAATTATATAAAGAAAGCAAAATAGTGTAAAAAAAACAAAAAAGGGATTGAATAAAATTTGATATGTAAAATTTTGTATATATACGGCTCTGATCTCATGTTGTCAACTGTAATCAAAATCAAGTCAATATGAATAATCCTTTCCTTAGATGCATAGCATGTGGTTTGCTGGAGCTACATACAGTTTAGTTTTCCTTCTCTTAAACCAGTTGCCACCCAAGGCTGTAGAACCCAGTCTGTCACTTTTGCACTGGGGATGTGTGGTGAATAAAAAGAAAACAGCAACCAGCGAGTAAATTCAAGCTCTCCCAACTGGTATTCCAACCTCGAGTCGTTCCTTCTTGAGTTCTGTCACAAAATCGCACTAACAGACTTTTCTAGCCACCAACTGTGAGCATCACTCAAAGCACCCTGCACTGGGAAAAATTAGTTGCTTTTATATTTGTCCATATACCCATAATCCCTTGCGTCTTCATGCAATCCCATAATTCATTGCGTCCCTGTCCCATAATGCATTGCATCTTTATTGCATAAAAATGCAATGCAAGTCCCCCCCTCATTCTTTTATGTTATCTGGCCAAGGACGTATTACAGCAGAGTGGTAAGTGCTTTTTTCTCCCTCATTTCAACTGCAGTAGCTTTACATGCCAAGCAAATACAGGCTCTTTTTTGGCGGGGACAAGGCAAGTCGGAACCAGTTGTGCTCGTCCCAGGTTCTGTCTCATCACATCTGCCACGGGATGTTAATGTTACCCTGTTCCACCTCTCTGCTATGTGGATTTGTTTTTGAAGTTCCCTTTCTAGCCTTTGCCTAAAGAGGCAGGACCTACAAAGCAGCAGGTTGAATCATGTATATGAGTTCCACTGGGACAAATTTGAGTCTCAATAGGCATTTAAGGCAAGAAATCTCCTTGAGAGACCACACCCATTCATTACAAAAAGGAGTCAACTGTAGTCTGAGTCAATTGCAAACAAGCCTTTCCTTTAGCTTCATAGTACAGTGTCACCCGGATATAAGAGAGTTGTCGGGACCGGAGAAGAAGTCACTTATATCCGGGTTTCTCTTATATCCAGGTTTGGTCTATTTTGTTTAGGTAAGTATGGGCTCTAATTTGGGACCAGAGAAAATCTCTCTTATATCCGGGTTTCTCTTATATCCGGGTTACACTGCATGTCCTTTGCCAGAGCTACATAGTTTTCAATTCAGAGTTTTCCTTCTAGACTGGTTGCTACTCAAGGCTATAGAACACAGTTTGTCCTATGATTTACCCATAGCTGGTAGGGGAGATTTGGATTCATACCTTTTCCTTTAATAATTCAATTCTCCAAGTTTTTGTTCACCTCTGCTGTGGACAGGTATTGAACTCACAACTCTTTGAGTCAAGTCACTGGATTACTTCAACCAATGGTTTTACCCATTGGTCTATGGAAAGGGAAATAACAGAAACTGAGATATCCAGAAAAGGCATGACGTGGAACTAGAACAATCTACCTCAATGGACAAAAAATAAATAATTCGGTTTGAAATTCCAACATATATCACCTGAAGAAGACCAGAGTGTACAACATCCGAAACATTGTAAATATGACAATAAAGATGAGGACAACAGTTCAAACAATGTAAATAGTGTAAATATCCAGTGACACTTATGTATTTGCCATCCTTCTCAAACATTTTCGACTGTTGAATGTATGAAAATGAATATTTTTTTGAAAAGAACTATAATTGTTTTTAATTTTTATGAGCCTAACATATTGTAAGATTAGAACTTGTTATTTTGCTGAAGTATTAGGCACACAAAGGAAAATTTTGTGTAAGCTTATTTGTGAAGTTTGTATTGTTTTATTATTATTTTTTGTTTTATCTGTTTCTTTTGAATTTCACATCAGTGTACGAGTCTTGTTTATTTTTGTTTGCAACTTTTATAACACTCAGGATAAGAGATGAGACATTTTCTCTTTTCTTCCTCTCCTTAGAAATCCTTTTATGGATGAGGCAAACATTAGGTGACAAATCATATTCAACTGTGAAAAAGCAATATACCAACTTTCAGCATGAAGACTCAAGATGCAACATACTTTGGAAAGCCTTCAATGGTATCAATTCCGGAAATTATTATGTCAATGATTTAATTTTGACATACGAATAAATGTTAACCATGCAAGTTACCTTGAGAATGCATTAGGTTTATAAGTCATGAGCAGTTAGGTAAGCAGGTAAACATTCACTGGTCAGTGTAACATTGTCACTACATCCTCTACTGGTGTTCAGTTAACTAAGGGCATCACTTCACAGCGGGGGTCATATTGGGGGTATTTGTCTGAAAACAAAGTCACAGCATCTTAATTTCTCACTGAAAATTGAAAGCCATATTTTCACCAGGCAGAAGGTTTGCTTATGATAATAAGCATCACAATAAGTGGAATCTGTATTGGCCAAATATTGTTGTCTCCAGCAGGGAGGAAATGTTGCTGACTACTTGTCAGCAATGGAGAGAATAGAGTGAATGAACTTCTCTACTCCAGCATTTTTTTTTAGGCCATCTGCTCACTACCAAAAAACACACTAAAAATCTTGGAAGAAGGAACTCCATTTTTTCTTTTTTTTTTTTTAAACCTGGAATTCTTATTTTTCACTCATTGTTGATTGGTCAATTCATGGACCAATGAAACGACCTTAATACATCCTGCTTTTTAACCTTTTTTGTTGGGGAGACTTGGAACTGTCAACTGACCCTGTCAAATATATTTCCAACAACTTGTGTTAGACAATTTTTTTTTCTCCTCATACTTAACATTTAGTCTACTTTACTTTATTCTATACCCAGAATGTTACACCTGGTATGTACTTAAATCTGCAAACATCCACCCGAAGGGTTGCTTTTTTTGGGGGAGGGTGTCTTAACCAACTACAGGAAAATCCATCAACATATTCTTGACACCACAGACTGAGATTTAAAGACCTTAAAACCAGATTTACTAAGCTTTAAGACATGAAAGACCAATATAGTATCTTGCATATGGATGTTGACACTTAGTGATTCAATTAGTAAATACCGCTGTTGATAGTTGTACTACACTCACAGCTATCCACTGGGTACAAATATAAATTATTTACCTTTTCTTTAGTCCATTTTCTAGATTCAATCGCAAATTTCCAGAATTCATTGGTAGCTTGGTATTTATCTGGATTCCTCCCGATTTGAACAATTCCACCATAGACAAATATTGTTTTTAAAATTGGCACACAGACAGCGGCATGGTGGTATCTACAAAGATACGAAAGAAACAAGGGGAAATAGACTGTCAAAATGGAGACACAAGAAACTTATAACATTTCTAATTGTAAGCAATGAGGGTGTTTCAAAGGAAACAAAAAGAGAGACATGAATTTAAGGGACACACAATGAAGAAAGAGGGCTTAGAGATTCTAACACTCAAAGGATGTAATGAAGGCAAAAAGATTAACAGCAAATAACCTACCTTGCATAAATGATTGGTTGATTGTTTTTTATTTAATGGCATATTATTTCTATGACTTATTTCATGCCAAAACCTAAATATTATTTCAAATGCAATTTTATTTTATTTTTTGAGATAATAATGGTTTTAGTGATACAAGTCTTAAAACATTATTATCTCAAAAGAAAAAAAAGGTTTTATTTTTACATATCTTATGGCGGTACAATGGAGTAATGGTTAGCAGCTCAAATTCAGGAATCAGAGAGCTAAGTTCGAATTCCAGTTGAGTTTATTACAATCACTTATGTGCTAATACCCATGAGAAAGTTATGAATCTATCTATTCCCTTCCCAGATATGGGTAAAATAGCAGAACAGACTAGGTCCTATAACTTTGAGTGGCAACTTGTAGATCTTGCCACCTTTAAGCAAAGGCTGGAAGAAAATGGTATAACCTTAACATCCCCAGCACAAAAGGAACCAGCAAGCCATTGCATTATTTTGTATTGAATGTCACCATGAACCACAATTGTGAGATGAAGGGGAGTGGTAACTATAGCAGCACAAAATGCACTAACTAGATAAATGATAATGATGAAAGTCTTACTAATTAACCCATAGCTGGGGGGAGAAGAAGTGGATTCATAGCTTTTCAAAGGGTATCTGCACATATATATATGTGAATATAATGAACCCAATTGGAATTGGAACTCTAATATCCAATTAATAATTCGAAACCATTTTCAATTATACCAACTACACATGCAGGCTTACAGCACCCAGTATTTTCAAACAGTTACCAATCTAGGTATTGACTAGGCTCAACATTGCTTAACTTCAGTGATCATACAGGAACCGGTGTCTTAACATGACATGAGCATAATTTTTTAGATATAATAATTGTTTTCAGAAACAAGTTCTACTATTCAACCCATATCTGTGGGGAGAAGAGGTAGATTTATTCCTTTCCCAAGAGTATTTGTGTGTAAGTGAATGTAGCAAACCAGACAAGAATTTGAACTCAGTTCTCCAATTTCTCATTCTGAGTAGCTATCCATTACATCACACACACTTCAAGACTTACAAAACCTGATATTCCCAAGCCAACCAGACCCAATTGGAACCATGAGACACTAATCTGAATCTTAGCAAGATCAATTTATCAAGGTGATTTCCTGATAATATCAACCTAGAGAGATGATCCCAGCATTGTAAAGTGCATGAAGTTACAAGTCATCGTGACCGAGGGTTTGACTATACTGGCCTTGTTCAAAACTGTTGATCATGCCAGATTATGCACACTCTCCCAGAAACTATAACTAATGTCTGCTCAGCATAGTTGCAATATATGTCACAGGTTGGTTCTGTGAGTGTTGAACAAATACAAATGTTCCTGTAACTGGGTTGTCCAGAATATGACGATAAACTACATCCGGCAGCAAGGCCCCTGGTAAGGAGGTTTTGAAGAGCATGGAAACACCTCTTAATTGCTTTTGTTCCCAGATCTTCAATGACTTGGGATGGTATCACTTTTTAGGGAACCAGCTATTGGCAAATAATTAAGCCTGAAACTGGAGTCAATACACTATGAAAGTGTAGAAATACATTTTTATATTAAAGGTGCAAGCAATACTTTTTCATAGTAAAAAAAAAAATTAACAGCAATAGATTTCTTAAGAAAAAAATAAATATTACCAGCAATAGATTTTTGTAAGGAAAAAAAAAATTTTTTTTTTTTTAAGCTTTTCACCCCAAGCAAGGCGGGAAGCCACTAGGACACAAGGGGTTACAGAAGATTTGGAGCAAGATCAAATAGGACTGATAGAGGAAAGGATGAGGAGAAGGATAGTGGATAGATCAAGGCAACTGGAGATGTCGATTGACATTACATTTGAATAGTTGGAGATTATAGCTCTCAGGGAAACAGAAATAGGGAAAGGAGTTCCACAGGTGAGAGGTGCGAGACATGAAGCTATTGGAGTAGAAGAGATGGCTACATTTAGTAGTTTCGACAGTGAAAGGATGCCAGCCTTGTAGGGCGCTTAAATTCATGAAGTACCAGCAATAGATTTTTATAAAGAAAAAAAATATTTCCAGCAATAGATTTTTTAAAAAAATGATATTATCAGCAATAGATTTTTGTAAAAGAAATTACTAATGCTCCTCAAAAAATTAATTTTCAGCATTAATTGACCAATCAGGAGTTGATATGCCATAAAACAAACTTTAACAGGGATTATCTAACTACCAGAATAGTCAAGTCGGAAGTAAGCATTCTGCTATTTTAAATCCTGACTGTAACAGAATAAAAACCAGGCAGAGGAAGATCCGAGTTCTAATGCTATCAAGAGCCCCCAGGCAGGAACAGCAAAACATGTGAAACACAATACTAACCTTCCAGATGGTTCTTCATCGGTACTAGCAATTACTTTTGACCATTCCGAACTTGTAAGATTAAACATCCACATCTCACGGACGAGACCATACTTGAGAGAACGGCCACCATAGAGATATAGCACGTCGTCACCACAACTGATGAGACTGTGGCCCATACGGGCAAGATGAGGTGGATAAGAGACTTCTAGACGGGTCTCGGGGTTGAACAGGTACTCCGCAAACAGTGATTCATCATCATGACATCTGTGACCATCTGGGCACACGCACTATGAAAAGGAAAGAGAAAAATGTTAATACTGTACACTATATTGTGCTATAATATTACACATAGCCATCCTCATCCTAACTTATTTTGGGAAAATTCATGACAAAGTGAAAAAAAAATTTTGTGTGGTGTGTTTTGTCATTTAGGACTTCACTGGACTAAAGTGATGTTTACACTGATGCAACTATATATGGGCACGAAAAAAAGATGCTGAAATCTAAAATTAAATTTTTTTTTTTTCGTAAAATTGTTCTTGACATATAAAAACTTATATATCATTTTCCCATCTCAACATATGTAATTTTGTTGCTCAACCTCCTGCATTGTGATTATTATTCGTTTTTAAGTAGTCGAGACAATCTTCAACTGAGATTCACACAATGCTACTACTAGGTGTAAAGTAGCAAGAGAAATAAGATGAAAGAAAGACAGGCAAAAATTAATAATATTGATAATGCGTCATCTAAAAAATCCACATAAAACTACTACTACTACTATTAAATGTAAAGAAGGAAGAGAAATAAGATGAAAGAAAGACAAGTCAAAAATTAATAATAATGAAAGGGCTTCATCTAAGAAATTCACACAACACTATTACTACTAGGTGTAAAGAAGCAAGAGAAATAAGATGAAAGAAAGACAAGTCAAAAATTAATAATATTGATAATGTAAAAATATCCACATAACACTACTACTACTACTACTACTAGGTGTAAAGAAGTAAGAGAAATAAAATGAAAGATGATTCAATAAATAATAAAATCATCTTTCTTCATTGTTAATCACTTACAAGTAGATTCACTAGAAATAATTGAAACACAATATTTTTTGATGATATGAAGAAAGACTGAACTATTCAAAAAATTGGTTTTATCGTTTTCTCATCAAATCCATCCTACAAATGACCATTTTATTCTGTATCACTTAATCCTTGAAGCAATAGTTACATTTTATTAATAATGTTAATTGCTTTAATTAATAATAAACATATTAATTTTGACCACCAAGAAAATAGCTTTATACTATTTACATCATTCAGACTGTTGCCCTCATCTTTATTGCCATATTCACAATGTTTCAGCTGTTGTATGCTCCAGCCTTCTTCATACATTGGAATTTTGAACCAAACACTTTATTTAGTCCATGAGGGTAGATTGTTCTTGTTCCACATACCATGCCTTTTTTTGAATATCTCCATTTCAGTTAATTCCCTTTAGTAACTCAATTCTCCAAGTTTTCGTTCACCTCTGCTGTGGCCAGGTATTGAAATCACAACTTTTTGGAACAAGTTATTTTTGGATCACTCAACTAACATGTTTATCCAAGGACATGGCCCAGTGGACAAAAGCATTGGTTGAGTGATCCAAAAAGTGACTTGACTCAAAGAGTTGTGAGTTCAATACCTGGCCACAGCAGAGGTGGACAAAATGTTGGAAAACTGAGTTACTAATAAATGAAACTGAGATATGAGAGATGGCATGTGGAACTAGAACGATCTGCTCCAGTAGATGAAATAATGGGTTGAGTTCAAAATTCCAACTGATATCACCTGAAGAAAGGCAAAGTGTATAATGGCCGAAATGTTGCGAATATAGCAATAAAGATGAAGACAACAGTCCAAACAATGTAAATAGCTTAAATAGTTAGAATATCTCATGTCAGAAATATACAAGAACATGTTGAAGAAGATGGCTTATAAAAAAAAAATATAAATGAAAGAAAAAGAAACGTACATCATTACATTTGGGGTTCCCTTTGCTTTTGGAGCAGTTAAGTGGGCAGAGATGCATGTCACAGTTAGGTCCCAAGTAACCATCTTTACATACACAACGGTCGCCATCACACGTACGGTTGCCTGTACAGTGGGCAGGGCACCAATTTATTGAATAAACAGCATTAAAACCTTGACGAATGGGATCTGAAAATATAAAAAGAATTTTTAAAAATTGTAAAGCATATTTTAGAAATCATTTTTAGTCAATAGGTACTGATAATATTAGCTGTTTCCTTACAAAGAAACATTGGTATTCACTGACTGAGCAGTCAGTACTGTTTTCAGCTGAAATTTATAAAATCTTTCACTTAAAACAATTTTTTAGGAAAACAGGTTTCTCAAGTCCAGTAACCGTTATAGCTCTTTCCAGTACTGATGGGGCTTCCTTCCTAACATTTTGTTTGGGGTTGTGTGGAATGTCAGTATCTTGATTATGTCATTATTTTCTCTTTGAGTTACATGTGCCATCCATTTTAGTTGTTGCTGTTGTTGTTAGTCCTCAAGTGATGTGGTTTCTGTTATTTGGTACAGTTCTTTATTTGTGATTCTATAGCACCAGCCCACAATGTTCAAAGAAGGATGATCTTTGCCAAGACCTTCAGGATTCACTTGCTCAAAACATTTTCTCACCAGTGATCTTAGAAAGTGGTTGTATACAACTAATAGTTTAGATATTTGTGAACAGGTCTGATGCCATACATGACCTCCGTATGAAAGTCTTGATCTGATGAACTTATTTAAAAACAGGATTCAAATTTTCAGGTTGGTGTTTTGGTTTTGTAGCAATTTGCAGTATTGGGTGAAACTATCTCTAGCACAGGTGATTCTATTTTCTTTTTCTCCAGTACTTAATTTGTTTTAATTGATCCACATCCTGAATTTTTATGATGCATTCAGAGTAGGTGCTATCACTGCTTTCATTCTAATACTAGATTACTGTTTCTATATCTGTCTATATTTCTGAGATGAGGTATCATGTACACTATTTACGTTATTCAAACTATTGTCCTCATCTCTGTCGCCATATCTATTACAACATTTCGGCCATTGTACGCTCCGGCCTTCTTCAAGTGGTTGGAATGTCAAACTGAACCCTTACTGGTGTAGACTGTTCTAGTTCCTCAAGGACACATGGCATAGTAGATAAAGGCGTTAGCTAGATCCAGTGACAGGACCCAAAGAGTGTGAGTTCAATACCCAATTAAGGCAGTGGAGAACTTGGAGAGGGGAATTAACAGGAGATAACTGATAACTAACATCCATTAAATATGGCACGTGAAACTAGAACAGTCTACCCCAGTAGTTCAACATTCCAACCACCTGAAGAAGGCAGGAGCGTACAATGGCTGAAACGTTGTAATAAATATAGCAACAAAGATGAGGACAATAGTCCGTATAATGTAAATAGTGTACATAATACCGCATCTCAGAAATATAGACAGATACTGAAGGATCGGATAAATATGGCAACAAAGATGAGGACAATAGTCCAAATAATGTAAATAGTGTACATAATACCTCATCTCAGAAATATAGACAGATACTGAAGGATTGGATAAATATGGCAACAAAGATGAGGACAATAGTCAGAATAATGTAAATAGTGTACATAATACTTCATTTCAGAAATATAGACAGATCCTGAAGGATTGGATAAATATGGCAACAAAGATGAGGACAATAGTCCGAATAATGTAAATAGTATATTATTGTTTCTGTTTTGGAAAGGTTTATCTTGAGTCCAATTTCTTGGAACACTTAGTAGAAGATGTTGATCTTTTGCTGCCTAATGAAACAAAAGTGAGAAAAATCCTGAAACAGAGAAAGACCATAAAATAAAAAAAAGTGATCATTCAAAAATGTCAATACTGAAGACAAAGCTGATGAGGCCAATGTAAATTTCCATTTGACATTACAGATGAAGCATCTTTCCTTCAACTGGAGAACTTAAACTCATTAGTTTTACTTCAAAATAAAGTATGTACAAGGTGAAAATATCAGCTTACAAAAAATGCTTTTTATCAGCTTTAAAAAACACCTTTAACAAGACTGTAAGCATTTTACTAACATAAATTAACTAATCTATATAAAAAATGCAAATGTCAATGTGTCACACTTTTTCAACTTTACTCCTAGAGGCTGTAGTCCAACATATCATACCATCTTGGAATAAGGTCATCTCCATAAGCAAATTAAAAACATTAATGGCCAGATCCAGGCCTGCAATCTTGAAATTTTGGATTTCATTACTGATTGTTTTCAACAATTTTTTTGTGATTTTTTGCAATACAATTTTTATAACTTGGAAATAAATTTGGGAACAATTGAAATTAATTGCAAAATCCAGTGAAAATCACCCATAAAATAAAAATAATTGTTTGTATGCAAAGTAAGGACCTACATACATCAAATTGTCTTTAAATTAAGCAGCTGCAGAAGAATAATCATTGAACTTTTAAAAGGTAAGCTTAAGTATTAATGCAATACTTAAATGTCGTGATCAATTTTGAGTTCTTCTGTAGTTTATTGTTGCTTGTCATTTCTACTCCTCCCTACCTATTGTGATGAAGGTCCAATCAAGAAATATAGTTAATACCATTGCTGGGAGTTCTGTGGAGGATTAAAGAGTATTTTCTGTGATGACAAAAGATATCTTCTTGAAGTTAAGAATGTGGCAAGTCTTCTAGTCATAAATTTGATAAGTCTTCCATTGGATCTTTGGGGGACTGCAGCAATTCAGTTTGAATGTGGTTAAGAGACTATAACACAACTGAGGACACTAGGGTCAAAAAGTATCATACTTCAAATGCTGAGAATATGCAAAAACTTAAGGACTCTCATACTCCTGAATAAGCCAAAGGCTCAATAAAGAGCCCTCTGCAGGCGCTTGCTTAAATACTGCCCAAAAGGGCGGCTTTTAAGCTGGTGTGTATGTATATATATATATATATATATATATATATATATATATATATATATATATACACACAAGTATATGATTGGTGTATACGGAATAAATTCCAATAACCAACAATTACTATTCTTAAAAGAGTGCTCAATACAGAGTAGAGCAGATATAATTATTTATTTAATCACTACAAAAAACCCAATCATAAACAGGAAACATATCTTCTTACTCTCAATCAATTTTTTATTCAATCTTTAATTAATAAATATGTTTTTTTGGTTTGTTACAGAATAACCAAATTTAGGAAGATACCACACTACCAATACCAATACCATGCTCTAAAGGTCTTAGTAGGCTGAGCATCCCTCTATTTTTATTCAAAAAGACACTTTATTTTTCAATTTAAATACTGATATAAATACTCAATGTTGATTTTAAACAAATCAAACTTCTAAAGCATTTTAATTTTAAAATATCTTCATAAATACAAATCATACAATGATAATTTTTTTTACAAAAAGCTAGCTTGGGTGATAATGGCTCTGTATATATATATATATATATATATATATATATATTTACTTTGTCAATAATTACTATAGTTTTTAGTTTTAACCAGATGCACACATATACAGACAAATGCCCTTTATACATGTATTGTTGTATGAAATGACAAAACCCCACATCCTATAAATTCAGACAGAAATTAAAAGATATACTTACCATCTTTTTCATAGGTGACAAAATACACAGTCAAAACTCCCATTGTGGCCTCAACTCCAAGGGGCCCACTGTGGTTCCCACAAAAAGCACCAAGTAACAGTCCATAATTTTTTGAACTACCGTTGACAAAGTCTGGAATTCCGTCATAGACATAAATAAAATCATCCTAAATCATGGAAAAAAAAAAAGAAAGAAATAAGTAAGTAAATAACAAAAGATAATCAGTTAAATATGCCCATGCCACCCGCATTGTAGTAAACCCCACCCACATTCCCTGTGTATTCCATCAGTGAGAAGGTAAGTTCCTGTGCCCTGTGGAACTGATTCCTAAAAGGAGGTTTCCCTGATCACTTCTTAACCTGTTCAAGGTTAACTGTTATCTTCCACTCTTATACACACAAACGCATAACCCTCTACCTCAAGTGGCCCTCAGGCCTTGTAATAGCTGAAAATGGACCTTCATACCCACAAAAAAAAAAAATATGAAATGCCGAAAGTACACTTTCTTTTTCATTTACACTGCTTTTATTTTTATCATTTTAAAAAGTGAAGATTAGAATTTTAATAAAACCTAAACATATGATAAAAGTAAATTTATATATTTTCTTTTGTTGAGAATTTACAACAAAAATATTGAACACTATTTATTAGATTGTTTATTTGCAAGAATAATTTTATATTTCCAACATTCTAAAAACAAATACAATGCAATATTTATAATTTACCAATTTATAAAGAAATAAATACAAAAATAATTTTTTATTCATAACAATTGATTTGAGTTTAGCAAAGTTTAACACAAGGTTCCAATTAAGTAGTGAGAATTGCTTTTTCCACAATGATGACTTAGCATATTCTATATTGTTTTTATTTATTTATTCATATATTATTTTTTAATTTTAATTTTCAGACCAGTTACGTTAATTTGTAAATTATAAAAAAAAACAAAAAAAAAACGGTAAGAGTATATAGGATGTGTATGAAGCTTACTTGTTTTTTTATGGCAATTACTGAAACTTATTTGCTAGATAAAATAGTGCAGGAAAATGAAAAAAAATGTGTTTTTTGTTCCTTTTCCTTTGTCTTATTTTATATGAAATACAAAGTCACTATTCTCAATGGTTGAAGAGGTGTCGGTCACTCTCAGAATCCTCCCACCTACAAAAAACTAACCAACCACAGCACAGCGGTCTTTTAAATAGAGACGTATTCTGTTAAAGTCAGTCACATTTCAATAAATGGCCATTGATTTGAGTTTAGCAAGATTTAACACAATGTTCCAATTGTAAGTAGTAAGAATCACTTTTCCAGGATTTTTCTGATGAGGGTGGCTATACATGCAGGTGGACTTTAAAGAAGACCTGTCAAATGGCAGATAAACCTTCTTACAGGGTCAAAAAGTCATCTAGCACAATCGGGTAGACTGGGCTTCAGAGATATGTATACAGACAATGCAGTCAATGGCATGGCATCATTGGGTGGAGGACTTTATAGACTGCAATCAGTGACCAGGGTGGAGGACTTTATAGACTGCAATCAGTGACCAGGGTGGAGGACTTTATAGACTGCAATCAGTGACCAGGGTGGAGGAGTTTATAGACTGCAATCAGTGACCAGGGTGGAGGACTTTATAGACTGCAATCAGTGACCAGGGTGGAGGACTTTATAGACTGCAATCAGTGACCAGGGTGGAGGACTTTATAGACTGCAATCAGTGACCAGGGTGGAGGATTTTATAGACTGCAATCAGTGACCAGGGTGGAGGGTCCCACAGTCAAAATAAGTTCAAGTTAAGGGCATTGGTTGGGGTTTTACCTGGAAAGAGATGAGATCCGCCAGATGTACTTGCTCAAGTCAAGTTATGCATGAATGAATACCTTTCTGGCTTTCAACCCAGCTATGTGGTGGGAACTGGATCGATGCTCAGGTGAGCAACGACCTCATGGCCACAATCATAATAGATCTTAATTATAAAGGAGCCCGTGTCTGTCTGTCTGTGTGTGTGTGTGATTTTTTTGTATTCTGTCTTGTATAGGAATAGTAGTAATTTCCCATTGGTGTGTCTTGATGATGATTCAAGAACATGATTACTACTACCTACAACACTTGATTGCTTACCCAAGCAATAAAAAACTGAGTAAACATCAAAGATGCTTTGAAGATTTCCCTAACACTGGTTAAAGATGGTGCTGGGAACTTTTGCACCAACTGAATATTAGGAGATATGAAGCCTCTTACCGTTGAGCAATTAACAGAAATATCTGGTTCAAAAGTGAATGAGATACTTGGTAATGTTTTTTTCTCTCTGGCCAGTTCATATGGTGTCTGAACATCTTGAAATGGTGTTATGATCCACAAACAGTAGATCTGGTGAGAGTGGTTCAGTTCAGGAGTTGTTTCAAAAGAACCAAGCGCTCCTGAAGTCACATTGGTAAGGACAGTCGCAGCACCACAACGTCGATAACACCTGCCACCATTCCTACAAGACAAAATGCAAAAGAAAAGGTGAAAATAAAATAAATCAGCTTATTTATTACACAACACATTGCTGTTGTAAATCCTAAAAGGTAAGAACTGCACAGTCAAACAAAGATGGTTACTTCACCACAATAGGCAGAAACATGGATGTGCAGGCAGCATAATGGTGAGCAGCTTGGAAGAAGAAATCAATGAGCCAGGTTCAAATTCCACTCACATTCACTTTCACACATATACCATTGGAAAAGGTATAAATCTATATTTTCTAACCCATACTCCCTAGCTATGGGTTAAATAGCAGGGCAGGTTAGCTCTCTAGCCATAGTTGGCAACCAGTCTAGGAGAAGGACAACTCTAAATTCAAAACCCAGCCACCTGAACTCATAAAAAGATGTAAGACACGGGTAAGGAAATACTGGAAAAAAAATTCCTTCTGTTGGTTTTCTTATTTGAGTAAAAATCTGTACAAGGAAAAAAATAATTAAAAAACTTATTTTAATCAATTAGAGCCTACCATCCTGTTTTTGGAATGGTGAGTATTAATGGGTCACAAGTTGAAATCTTTCAACTTTTTCTTTTTTTATAAACCATTGAACTGCTGCATAATACCAGTCCTCCTATATGACAATGAATGCAGGACAGATGAAGAAGAGATTTGAAGCAAGAGAAACAAAGAAAAGAGTCCTGAACTGTTACATATCAGTCCTCCTATATGGCAGTGAATCCATCTTCCAGATGAAGAAGAGACTTGAAACAAGAGAAACAAAGAAATGAGTACTGAACTGTTATGTAATATCAATCTTCCTATATAGCAGTAAATGCTGGACAATCTCCTCACAAATGAAGAGACTTGAGGCAACAGAATGTGTACTGAACTCTTATGTAATATCAGCACTCCCATATGACAATGACTGCTGGACAATCTCCTCACAGATGAAAAAAGGACTTGAAGCAACAGAAACAAAGAGTACTGAACTGTTGCATAATATCAGTCCTCCTATATGGCAGTGAATTCTGGACAATCTCCTCACAGATGAAGAAAGGACTTGAAGCAACAGAAACAAAGAAAAGCGTACTGAACTGTTATGTAATATCAGTCCTCCTATATGGCAGTGAATTCTAGACAATCTCTTCACAAGTGAAGAAGAGAAGAGACTTGAAGCAACAGAAATGTGTTTCTATAGAAGAATGCTGAGAATACTTTTGACCAAACATGTGAGCAGCAACAAAGTTTTAGGGAAAATGAAAACAAAAAGGTCACTTATACGTAACATCAAGAAGAGAGTTGAAATTTCTAAGACTCATAATGAGGAAAGAGGGTTTGGAAAACTTGACACTCACAAGACAGATTGAAGGCAAGTGGAACAGATGAAAACAACGCATAGCCTACCTAGCGAGCTTGAGTAAATGGATGGCAGAACAGGGTATAAGAGAAATAACAAAAAGACGAACTACAAAGGACAATTATTGTGGAGAGCCATGATCACTAACATCAATGTATAGGTGTTGTACATCTCCAAATGAGAAACTGGTGAACTGAGTTTAGTATTCCAGTCGATTTTGTTGCATTCACTTTCACACAAATGCACCCCATCCTCACCCCTAAGTAAAATGGCAATGTCTCTATCCATGGTTGGAAAACAGTCTAGAAGAGAAAATCTGAATTCAAAACCATATGTAGCCCTGGCATAGAGCAAGGGTCAAAAAAATATGGGACCCACAGGCCGCATACAGCCTGCAGACCAATGACATGCAGAGGTTTGGTGATGTTTGGAGATAACCAGGGACAATCATGGATTGTATATTGTATGCCTCTAAGATTGGAGGAGCTATATGATTTTTCTAGATACAATTCCTACTATTTAACCCATAGCTGGGAGGAGGAAATTGATTTATATTTTTCCAAAGGGAATTAAAAAAGTCAATGTAATAAATCCAACTGGAATTTGAACTCAGCTCTCCAATTTCTCATTCCAAGCCACTATCTATTACACCATCCACACACCCACTAAATCATAACATTCCACAGATAACTTTTTAATATCTGTGAAGCTCCATTATTTAGATAGAGTGGTTTCCTGTTGCTTTCTCCATGGTTTTGATTTCAGAGTAATCCAACTCTTCCACTGGCTGTCATCCAAGAATAGAAAGCCCAGTCTACCCTACTATTTAACCCATAGTTTGGTAGAGGAAATAGATTCGTGTCTTTCCAAAGTTATTAGTGTGAAAGTGAATGCAACTGACTTGATCAGTATATTGAAATTGGCTGCCTGATTCCACTTTCCATGTGTCCCACTGCTCCAGTGTTAAATTTTCTTTATCTTTGGAACTCAGCCGGTAAAGCCAAGATGGTAATCACAAGAAATGGGCAGCCCAAGACCCCTATGCCCCACTGCTCTTCACCATTGTCACCAGAGAGTAACAAATGCCAATGTACCACAACAAATAGATGACAAGGGAACAGCATGAATCAGTCTTTTCCCTTCTCTAGCTAGGAGGAAAATATCAGGTTAAACTAGGCTCATTAGCCATGGTTTGGTTTGCTTTATGGCATATCAACCTCAATGGGTCAGTTATTGCTGACACCTTTTTTTTTTCCTGGTAATATTTTTGTTTTGTCAAAAATCTATTTCTGGTAATATTTTTTTTCTCAAAATTGTATAGCTGGTAATATTATTTTCAAAAATGTATTGCTGGTAATATTTTTTTTCAAAAACATATTGCTGGTAATAGTTTTTTTCTTCTTAAATTTATTTCTGGTAATAATTTTTTTACAAAGTATTTCTGGTATTAAAGTCTATTTTTACACTTTCAAAATGCTTTTTACCACAGTTTCGGGATTAACTATTTGCCCATAGCAACAGGTGCTACCATCCCAGGTCAGGGTGGACCTGGGAACATCAGCAATTAAGAAGTGGTTCCATGCTCCTCAAAACCTGATCAGAGGTCTTGCTGTTGGATGTAGTTTAACATCTTACCCTTGACATGGATGTAGTTTATCGTCATACCCAGGATGGTCTTTAGCCTTGGTTAGCAATCAGTCTAAGAGAAGGAAAACAATGAATTCCAAAGATAGGGAAGGCAACTGGAAAATTACTACATTATCTTTAACAAAAAGGCATAGCAATTCATAGACCAACCTTTTTGGCTCAATGCACCTTTTTCACCATGTCAGAATGTCATTTCCCCCACCCTGACCAAGATTGTCTGACTCAAAAGGTGCATTCCAAATAAAAGGTGTATATCATTGAAAATCTTCATTTTCTTTCATATTAGTACATTTATATTTATTTTTTTACATTCATCATGGGCTCCAAATTCTGTAAGTTAAAAAGAAAATAAAGAAAGAAAAAAAGGAAAAGCAAATATAAGTCCCTGAAAGCTTGACTCCCCACCCCACCACCCCCACCACACACACAGGCATCATAAATGATTAAAAAAAATTACAGAAATTCATAAAATGAAAAAAAACTTAAGAAAATAAACAGAGGGAAGTTTCAAGAGAAGACAGGAGAAAGACTTACTTTGGATTTCCATAGTAATCCTCCAAACAGTGCTGACAGTGGAAGCCTTTCGTATCATCCTTACAGAAACACTTCCCACTCTGATTATGACATTCATCTAAAGCAAGATCTCCATGTCCATTGCATTTGCACAACTTGCAGACTGAAAGAAATAAAGAAGAGTAAACCTGGGTTAATACAAATATAGATGAATCATTAACTGATTACTGCTCACCATTGAAGATAGGCTAGGCTAGGCTAGGCTAGGCTAGGCTAGGCTAGCTAGATGTCATTTCACCCAACACTGCAAATTGCTGCAAAACTAAAACATTAACCAAAAAGCTCAAGTTATGTTCAACATTCTTGTCAGATCAAGACTTTCATATGGATGTCATGCATGGCACCAAATCTAAATTATCTAAACTCTCAGCTGAATTACAACTACTTTCTAAGATCAATGGTGGAAAAAGTCTTTGAGCAGGTGAAGCCTGAGAGTCTTGGCAAGATGATCCTGGAATCATGGACTGGAATCACAACTGAACAGTTTTGTCAACATGCATGGTATCCATATGAAAGTCTTGATCTGACAAAGTTATTTAAGAATATGACTCAGGTTGATGTTTTGGTTTTGTAGCAATTGGTAGTGTTGGGGGAAACTACCTCTACCATGGCCCATTTAGACGCCGCCTTCTTTTATTTATTAAATACTTTGCTTTACGCCTATTGGTTTGCATACTCCAGAAATCTTAGTAAAGAAAATGCATTCCATAGCACGGATCAAACCTGCATCCCACGTTATAAGGGAAACCACCATTTCATCCAGCGGGCTTTACCACTTGACCACAAAAAATGTCAAAGAAAACAAGGATCTATTTTTCCCTTTTCAAGAAAAGCATATCCTCTTCATACAAATTATTTTCTCGAAAATCCATGTCTGTTCAGTTTTATATCCAGAATGTAAATAAAGCAATTTTGAAAGAATTAATGGATTTATTTTTAAAATAGATGCCTCATTTTCATTTATTCAATAGTGTATGTTATATTTATCAGCCTGCACATTCCATTCAAGAAATCTTAGTAAAGAAAAAGCATTTATATAATGGACTCAACCGTCATTTTAGACATATCTACAGCAACTAAGTTTTTTAAACTGAGCAGCCAGTTCTGTTCACACATATGAGTTGATTATAGTGGTGAAGGATTGTACAGAAGCAACCACACTCTTTGGAAGCGCTGAAATACAGAGAACTGGTATATATAGGGTGCCACAAGGCCACCAATGACTCTCCACAGGTTTTGAATTCAGAGTTTTCCTTCTCCTAGATTGGTTGTCCAATCTGCCTTGATGTTTACCCACAGCTGCAAATAGACTCTTCTCCCACATAGGTAGTAGAGAAGAGTGTATTTTATACACACACACACACGTGTGTTTGTGTGTGTATACGCACACACATATATATACGCACACACATATATAACCACACACATGCATATGCACACATATGCATATATACACATACATACATATACACAGACATACACACGTATATACGCATACACAAACATACATATACACACGCATACACACACATACATATACACACACGCATACATATACACAGACTTATACACACACACACATATATACATACATATATAACCACACACATGTATATGCACACATATGCATATATACACATACATATGCACATATATACAGACATACACACGTATATACGCATACACAAACATTCATATACACACGCATACACACACATACATATACACACATATACATATACACACACGCATACATACACACACACACATATATTTATATGCACACAAAACTGCAACATTACCTTCCCCACTGGTTGGATCTCCATAACTGCCAGGTCGACACATCTCACAAAACTGGCCCATGGTGTTATGCAAACATTCTTCACACACTCCAATTCCATTTGGGCAGGCACTGTGGCCATTACACCCACAACTTGTATTACACTCATCTCCTGTCCAACCTATATGACATCGGCATTCGTAGTCTGGGGCACCGGAACATTTACCATTAACACAATCATAGTAACACCTGAAAATAATTTTGAAAATTCATTAAAATAAATGAAATAAGATGAATTAAAAGAAAAAAATTTAATTATGCTTTTCAATATTCAAAAACTTATATAGACACCATTTTGAGCAAAATGAATCCTGAACTGCATTGCATCAACTCACGTCTATACATGTTGCCCAAACCAAATAATCCTGAACTGCATTGCATCAACTCGCAACATCTATACATGTTGTCCTAACCAAATAATCCTGAACTGCATTGCAACAACACACAACATCAATACACATTGTCATAACCAAAATAATCCCCGATAGAAGTCTAATATTATGACTCTTCTCTTAGACTATGTTTTTTTTACAGTTTATCAACTTTTAACTTTATTTGAAGCCAGCAAAAATTTTTAGATTGTAAAAATTTATTGGTGATAATAATAATTTATTGATACAAGTCCAACTAATTAACCCCTAAATATGGAGAGAAAAGATGGATTTATTCCATTCCCAAGAATATTTGCATGTTAGTCTGGTGCTCCCACTATATATCTTGAGATTTTTGACAAAATTCAAAGAACTTGTAATGTAATCGAATTTGACCGGGCATCTCTTCAGTGACTTCACCACAGATATGACACAGCTTTCCTTTGTCTTTTCTACAAATGCTTTCATAGCCATTGTTCTGATGAGATGTTCTTCTTTGTGTCTCAACTACATGAATTATGTCTAATACTAGATTAACAACTAGGCCTCATCATTTTACTGGTGAACTAGCTAGATGCAACTGTCAGTTCTATTCTGATAGCTTCTTTTCATGCACTTTTCGCCTGTGGAACTTTCTTCTAGTTTCTTGCTTCCTTGCCGCATACAATCTTCAAGAGTTTAAATGTAATGTCAATCACCATCTTCTGTCTTTCCAAATCCTGTTCCTTTCTCCTCAATAAACACTTCCCATTTTTTTCACTCCCTATAACCCCACTGCCTTACGTCTTAGTGGCATTATTGCCTTGTTTAGGGTGAAATTATTAAAAAATTTTTAATATAATGAACCTTACTATAACTGTAACTCAGCTCTCTACATTCAAGCTTACAGCAGCTGGTATTCCCAAGTGGTCACTTATCTAGGTACTGGCCAGGTTTGATGTTGCTTAACTTTAGTGATTTCAACGTGATATAGCAGTAAGCCTATCTTCTCTTAGATCTTTGATCTTTTGGTTGTGATCCCTAATTATTATGCTACAACTGGGACAATTTATTATAACCTCAAGAGCAGAATCATTGGTTACAACACCAAATCATTTCACCTGGGTGCCTATATAAACCTTTACAATTGAGTGCCTGAGCAAACTGTTGCACATGTGTATTGACAACCATTGGTAATCTTGCACTAATTCTTCCATTTACACAGTTTGTTTCCCTTGATTTATCTGAACTCTCCTCTCCATCAGCCATAGTGGCATATGTGTGGCAATACATTAATAATCCTATTATGCTTGCATCTCCTTTTGTTAATTAGCATGACCATTATGCCCTGCCAATATCTCATAAATAATGAACTATTCAATTTTGATCACATGGAAAGAGAGGAGACACTACTTGGTTTCAGTGAGAAAATGGAAGAAAGAAACAAAGATAGTCCAGAGGCGGATATGCAATATAATTGGCCCTGTTCTGGCATCTTGTCTACAGTCACTCTCACAGACGCGCCGTCACCTCTCTCTGTCTTTTTTACAAATACTTTCATGGTAATTGCTCTGAGGAGCTGCATTTGCTGGTTCCCAGACTTCATGAATTCAAGCGTCCTACGAGGCTGGCATCCCACTCTCACCCTTTCACTGTCGAAACTATTAAATGTAGCCGTCTCTTCTACTCCAAAAGCTTCATGTCTCACACCTCTCGCCTGTGGAATTCCCTTCCCTATTCCAGTTTTCCTGAGAGCTATAATCTCCAACTATTCAAATGTAATGTCAATCGACATCTCCAGTTTCCTTGATCTACCCTCTATCTCCTCATCCTTTCCTCTATCACTCCTATCTGATCTTGCTCTAAATCTTCTGTAACCCCTTGTGTCATAGTGGCTTCCCGCTTTGCTTGGGGTGAATCACTTAAAAAAAAAAAAAAAAAGTGGAGAGAAAGAATCAGATTAAGCTGATAAGAACAGATACTACACTTTAATCTTAGCCAAAAGGCAGAATTGTGATGACAATAATGATAAAAATGATCTTTTTCAGACATACAGTATCAAAAAATGACAACAGAGTAAGGTAATCACCCAAAATCTAGTTACCATAATTAAAAATAACATTACTAAATTATTTTAAAATTATCAGTAAGAGAAATCTTGGTAAGACAGGGATTTGGCTAGAAAAGAAGAAAGAGAGAAGGGAAGTTAGAAGTGTTTAATGTTTCCTGCCAATACCTCATAAATAATGGACTGTTCTGATCACATGGAAAGAGGGGAAGAGACACTACTTGGTTCCAGTGAGAAAATGAATAAAAGAAAGAAAGAAAGAAGGGAAGATAGGAGTGTTTAGCATCTTCTTCTAATACCTCATAAATAATGGACTGTTCTGTTTTGATCACATGGAAAGAGGGGAAAAGACACTACATAGTTTCAGTGAGAAAATGAATGAAAGAAAGAACAAAGGCAAAATAGAAGTGATTAATGGCTATTTCAGTGAAATGGAAAAAGTTTTCAATTTCAAATCTTTTCATTTGTATACTTCTTAAAATAATGACCTGAAATATTTTGTTAAAATTGTTAATGATGCCATAGGGGTAATTCTATGAATATTTTACTGTCATAGAACTCAGCATGAGCTTATTCAATCATTAACTGAAGAATTAAAATCCATTAAAAATTTAAAATAGGAAAACCATGAAATTTTTATGGGTTAATACTAGTCAATATTAATGGCTATTGTCATTTAAAAGTAATGAAAAGTTCTATAAATACAAGTGACTTGATATTGTGTAGTGGAGGTCAGCAAATGTGGCATTTCAACAAGGAATAAAACAATTAAAAAAATTATACAATTAAACAAAAGAAAATGAAATTGCTTACGTTTTTTCACACTGCTTTGTCCCATTAATTCCAATGAATCCTCGATTGCATTCGCATATGTAGGAGTTAAATGTATTGTAGCAGGTGGCATTTGGATGACACTTATGAAGGGACAGGGCACACTCGTCAACATCTGGAGCGACTCCGTATGCCCAGTGAGCAGGTTCTTCAATAGAAATATTGTGACGTTCTCTTACCACTGCTGCACAGGTCATCTGATATGCTGGACCTGAAAAAGAAATTCATTTAAATCTGGTTTGATCTGAATGCTGACTAATGTCTTCACATTAATTTATTGGAAAGGACCAGATTCAAGAAATTCTAAGAAAATACATGCCATGACACCACTTAGGGGTGATCCCATTGGTCATCCAAATTTTTGTTTATAAAAATTATTAAACGTGAAATAGAATTGATTGGTAATGAGATGGAAGATTTTGTTTTAAATGCTTTTTTTAAAAAGATTTAAACATTTTTCAACCAGGATGTTGATGTAAAGGGATTTTATATCTAGCCTAACAGGAGTTCATCAGTCATATTTCTTTCCCTTAATTTTCCAGCTACACTTCTCCCTACCAATAGCTAAAATAATAAAAAAAAAATTGGATTACCAATGGGTGTCTCTAAATGGAGCGATGGCATATATTAGAATTTCTTGAATATGGTCTTTCCAAAATATTTTACATTAATATATTTGATTCTTTCATGAACATGATCTTTCATGTGAACATGATTTTTATTTAAACCTCCAGTTAATGTCCCTTCCCTCAATGCTTACTTTTTCATCTGAACTCCAGCTAATGTCCGTTACAATAATGGCAACTTATTTTTTTTCCTTCTGATTTAAACCTCCTTTTCCTGATCTGAACTTAATGTCACTGTATTCAATAAACTGTATTTAATAATGTATTCAATGCTTCTTTTCCTGATCTGTAATTCCCTGATCTGAACTCTGTCCGTCTATACAATAATGTATTCAATGCCTACTTTTCCTGATCTGAACTCCAGCTAATGTCCATACAATAATGTATTCAATGCTTACTTTTCCTGATCTGAACTCTGGCTAATGTCCGCCTACTTTTCCTGATAATGTATTCAATGATCTGAACTCTGTCTTTATTCAATTTCCTGATCTGAACTCTGGTCTAATAATCCAATGCTTACTTTTCCTGATCTGAACTCTGGCTAATGTCCGTACAATAATGTATTCAATGCCTACTTTTCCTGATCTGAACTCCAGCTAATGTCTGTACAATAATGAATTCAATTCCTGATCTGAACTCCAGTTAATGTCTGCACAATAATGTATTTAATGAACATGATTTTTATGCCTTTCTCCACTTAAGGTACTTTTTCTTGATCCGAGCGTAATTTTTAGGTTTCATTCTTAAGTTTTTTTGTTTAATTTTTTGACAAGTTTGATCTGTACATTAATTTGCTAAATGTATACCTTCATATAAATATACTGTATTTTACTTCTCATAAGTCCCTCCAATGCATTAGAACCCCCACCATTTTGAATGAAGAAATCAGAAACAACATTTTTTTCTTGTACTTTATAGCCCTCCCCACTATTCCCAATTTTACTGACTGATAATAGTATATTACAGCATGAAAACCTGACTAATGCTGACAAATTCTATAAGTATGATTACTTAATCAAGCTGAAATAACCAACATACTCTAATGAAAGTGTAGTATACAATAGTGTTATTCTTAAAGTGTCAACTATAAATGAATTTGCTTCATGGTCAATAGTTTAAGAAATAAGCAAGGAAGGAAGCTGTTAAATACTATGCAGATGTTACTGTAGCAGGAATTTCATTTTCTGTCAATATTCCAGTATTGCAACTGCATAAATAGCTTCTTTTAAAACTCTAAAGTAATTTTGAAATACTGGATTTATTTTATTTTCAAGGGCTCAGAATCGGATGTAACTGGGGATACCAGATGCCATACTCTGAACATATAACTCCTGTCACAGACATTTAATTTATAGGATACAGAGTGGTTTTTGGTGATATTTTATAGGGAAACAAATTGTCTTATAAGCAGCAAAATATGGTAATTTTTAAGGTTCATGCCTTTGTTCATTTTAGGTTCTTTTTGACAGGCTTTGTTCGGATGCTGGCTAATGTCTGTCCATTATGCTTTAAATGTATACCATTATATGAGCATGATTTTTAAGGTCTATAACTGGTTCCATCATAGAGACTTTTGGCTCTTGTTTGATCTGAACTAATATATTAAATGGATTCATATCACCAAGATTTTTAAGTGTTATATAAGAATAAAGTGTCGCTGCCAACACTTGAGTTTGAACATATATCACCAGTGAGCAAACACAGGTGATCCCATTACTGAATTAAGTGGATCACATGGCCATAGAGGAAGTGATTTTCTAAGCACAGCTTAGATGTGGCACAGGGCCGAAAGCATGACCGAAAGCACATGGCTATAGAGGAAACACATAAGCAGGAGGTACCATGACATCTAAACAATCACCATTTCTATTCTATCCTCTATTATTATTCGGATCGCCATTTCTATTCCATCCTCTATTATTATTTGGATCGCCATTTCTATTCCATCCTCTATTATTATTCGGATCACCATTTCTATTCCATCCTCTATTATTATTCGGATCGCCATTTCTATTCCATCCTCTATTACTATACGGATCATCATTTCTATTCTAACCTCTATTACTATTCGGATCACCATTTTTACTCTATCCTCTATTACTATACTGATCACTATTCTCTTCTCTACACTATTCTCTATACAGATTACTATTAGGTAGTTACTATTTGAGTGATTATTATTGAGCAAGTACTATTTGTGCAAGTGTTATTCAAAGGTGTCTGACACCAGCATTGTTCAATAGCATACGATAGTTGTATCTGTGATTACAAAGTCTCTACTACAATGAGCATTACAAAAGTGACAACAAGTATTCACCGACATCACAAAATTAAGGTTCATGCCTTTGTTTATCTGCATTTATTTTTTGTCGGCTCTGATCTGAATGTTGACTAATGCCATCAATATTGAGCTGACCAAAAAATTTGTTCAGTTATTAAGTAGAAAATTTACTTACTAAACCGAACCATATTTTTGGCCAACCCAATATATTAAATTTATACCTTCATTGATACCATGCTCCATCTTTGGTTCTTTATGATAGGTTTAATCTGAACTAATGTACTAAATGCTTTCATATCAGCAAGATTTTTAAGACAGATCTGATCTGGCAAATGACATCAAATTAATATGGAGTTGACCAAAAAATTTGTTCAATTATTAACTAGAAAATTTACTTACTAAACCGAACCATCTTTTTGGCCAACCCAATATATTCAAATTTATACCTTCGTCATGTGCCTGATGTTTAAGATTCATGCTGTGCTCTATCTTAGGTTCTGTATAACAAGTTTGATATGAACTTTGGCTAACAGATGTGCACAAGAAATACTTACCAACAAAATCACCATCAAGACAAACCCCGATAGTAGGGTTATGTTCATTGTAGCACCAGCCACACCCAAAATTATCCAAGCAGGTTGAGTAGTTGAAATGCCTCGAGCAATTGTGACATTGAATGTTTTGAAGTTTACTGTAGACCCAATGTTGACACTGGCCATAGAGGTGTAGGGGCACATACTGGGCAAAATTGAGGCACTGGCGTGTGTTCTCACACCATGCACACTCGTCTCGCTTGGAAGTACATTCTGAGCAGGTTGTTCGGCTGGAAAAAAAAAAAAAGAATAATAATAGAAAATAGGTTTAGAAACTTTCATTAATAAATATTCTCCTGATGTCTGAAAAAAAAAAAAAAAAAAAAAAAAAAAAAAAAAAATAAAGAATGGTGGTGATTGTAGAATTTTCATAGAACTCACAAGCAGTTAGTGGAATGTACAAGAAAGATATGTGAATATATGACTATACCCCTCAGGCAGTTTCTCCCTGACCGTGACTGGTCAGCTTCTGAGATTTTTGCTGCTACTCATGTCTTCTCTCATAACATACAGGGCTTACAGCCACATCATGTTGAAATACCGTTTCACGTATGATTACCAAAGAAACATCAAGCCTGATCAGTACCTAAATCAGTAACTGCTTTGGAATACCAGTTGCTGTAAGCTTGGATATGCAGGTGATGCAATGGATAATGGCTCAAAATTGTTAATCGGAGGGCAGAGTTCTAATTTCAATCAAGTCCGTTATATTCATTTTTTTTTTTTAATCATTTTGCCCCAAGCAAAAGCTATAATCATTATATTAATTTATGTGCATATACTTTTGGGAAAGGTATGGAATCATTTCATTTACCCCCAGCTATGGGCTAATTAGTAAGAGTTATATCACTAAGTGATTAACTCAAAAAAAAAAAAAAAAATTCTTATAATCTAAATATTTTCTGGCTTTAAATAATCTAAACAGGATTGATAAGCCATAGTAAACCGTTGTATCCTTAAAGAGGTTACAAACGGACAAAGGTGGTACTCGAGTGATTGGTTTGGTTTATTTTGTTTTACGGCATATCATCCTCAATGGGTTATTTAATGCCAACAACATTTTTAGGATAGATTCGTTTGAATAGAATATGTATTCTTTGGTCTAGATTGGTTTGGTTTATTTTGTTTTACGGCATATCAACCTCAATGGGTTATTTAATGCCGACAAGATTTTTAGGACAGATTCGTATGAATAGAATATGTATTCTTTGGTCTAGATTAGTTTGGTTTATTTTGTTTTATAGCATATAAGTTATTTAATGCTGACAAAATTTTTTATTCCTGGTAATATTTTGTTTTGTCAAAAATCTGTTTTTGGCAATATTTTTCCTTCAAAATTGTATTGCTGGTAATAGTTAACTATTTGCCCATAGCTGGGATCCTAACAGGTGCTACCACCCCGGGTCAGGGTAGAGTTGGAGACACCAGCAATTAAGGGGTGGTTCCACGCTCCTCAAAACCTCCTGATCAGAGGCCTTGCTGCTGGATGTAGTTTATCGTCTTACCCAGGATGCGGATGTAGTTTAACATCTTACCCAGGACAGCTACTGGAGTCAAGGAACAGCAAAATGCACATAGATAAAAGAAAAGAGGTTTACTGTAAAAGAGAATACACTACTGAAAGACAGGTAATCAGTAGCAGGCTAGTAATTCCTGAAGCAAGGTTATTTACCTTACCACCCCACAAGGCAAGATGTGACACAAGGCCTTTTTTAATGTGGCTGAAACTGCCCATATGCTCGAGCAAAAATTTCCCGTAGACCCCGTAAAAAATGGGGTCAGGTAGCTGTCTACCAGCCCAGTCAAGACTCTACCCTTTGTCATAGCTTCGTCTGGGTTCCTCTCTGCCCAAAGGCAGAGAGCTTGACTAGTTTAACTGGAGATGAATCTCCAACTAATTCCCAAAGCAAGGATATTTGCCAACTGCCCCATGTGGTCAGATGTGGCACAAGGCCGAATTTAACGTGGGGTATCCGAGCCCGTAGGCCCGGGCAAAAATTCCCCATAGACACCATAAAAAAACAGGGTCAGGTAGCTGTCTACTACCCCAGACAAGACTTTTCCCTTCAGCATAACCTCGTCTGGGTTCATCTCCACCTGAAGACAGAGAGTTTAACTGGAGACAAATCTCCAACTAATTCCCAAAGCAAGACCCCAGGTATATCCTGGGCTCACTATATATAGCTACTGATATAGTCAGTCCACATAAACAATAGGGAGTGTGGGACATTCCATTATAACACAAATGAATCAATCATTCAACCAATCAGGACAGGCAAATGGATCAGATCTTCTTTAACTCTGCTCCTATCTGATTCTACATCTAGATGTTTCATTACTCTATACAGAGGTATTAGCGTACTCCAGCTCTTCCTGTTGGTTTCAATCTGTGTAGGAATGATTACTAAAAATGTCCCCTCCTCAAATTTATAAACAAATTGTACAGATGCATACTCGGATTTCTTTTTGATCAATAAAAATGGACCACTTCTCAGTCTCATCTGCAATGTCTTTGTTCTTTTTTGTCTTGAAGTCAGAACATAACAATCACATGGCTTTATCCCTTTTGTATGTGAACACAATTCTTACTTTGTGAACTTTTTGCTTTATTACTGTTGCCTTGCCTAGTTTTGACTAGTATATTGGTTTGCTTAGTATTATCTTGCTCTGTTCTTTTCCTTCTTTTTTTTTTTTTTTGATTGGAAACTTTGTCAATTCTGTATTATTTAATAAAATCAGAACCACTGCTATTCTGATAGTGAAAATGCACAAATATTTTACTATAGACTTCTAAGTGTTTTTAATGATTATTGACAGACAGATACAAACAGGTCGAGAGAGAGATAGACAGGCATGAACCGGTCGAGAAAAAGAGAGAGATACAAACAGGGCAAGAGAAGGAGAGAGAAAGATACAAACAGAAAGAGAGAGACATAAACAGGCTAAGAGAAGAGCGAGACATATACAAACAAGCTGAGAGAAGAGAAATAGACAGATACAAACAGGTTGAGAGAGAGAGAGAGAGACAGATACAAACAGGCTGAGAGAGAGAAATGGATACAAAAAGGTTGAGCATGAGAGAGAGATACAAACGGGCTGAGAGAGAAAGAGACAGATACAAACAGGTCGAGAGAGAGATAGAAAGAGACAGATAAAAAGAGGCAGAGAGAGTGAAACAGAAAGACACATACAAACAGGCCGAGAGAGAGATATATAAAAACAAGCCAAGAGAGAGTGAGAGACAGATACACAAACAGGCCGAGACAAGGAGAATTACAGATACAAACAAGCAGAGAAAGAGAGAGAGACAGATACAAACCGGTAGAGAGAGAGAGAGAGACAAACAGGCCGACTGGGAGAGAGACAAACGGGCCGACTGGGAGAGAGACAGATACAAACAGTCTGAAAGAAGGAGAGAGACAGATACAAACAGTCTGAAAGAAGGAGAGAGACAGATACAAACAGTCTGAAAGAAGGAGAGAGACAGATACAAACAGTCTGAAAGAAGGAGAGAGACAGATACAAACAGTCTGAAAGAAGGAGAGAGACAGATACAAACAGTCTGAAAGAAGGAGAGAGACAGATACAAACAGTCTGAAAGAAGGAGAGAGACAGATACAAACAGACCAGTTGTGAAAGAGAGAATATTGATGCATAAAAATAAAAACTTATACTAACACATGACATGGCTGGTTACATTTTCGAGAGTTTTTTACAGCTTCTTCCACACGGCCACGCCGAATACAGTGTGCATCATCAGTTACCCATTCACAGAGATTGTCCTAAAACAGAAACCAATAAGTTACATTAAATCAATATTGACATGGTGCTCAATACAAATGACTCATTATTAAACTCAATGCCCTGAAGTTTATCGTTTTATGATAAGCAGTGAATTCTGTTTAAAAAAAAAAGAAACAGGATCTAAAGTTTCGGTGTCTGGTTCATGGCTCATTCATCTTAAATGGATTTGTAGAAAAAGGAAAATCAAGCTTAAAGCAATCATACTACTTCAGATCAAGTGGATCTACAATTGGTTTGGTTTGGTTTATTTTGTTTTACGGCATATCAACCTCAATGGGTTATTTAATGGTGCTCAATACAACATTTTTAGGATAGATTCCCTGAAGTTTATCGAATAGAATATGTATTCTTTGGTTTAGATTGGTTTGGTTTATTTTGTTTTATGGCATATCAACCTCAATGGGTTATTTAATGCCGGCAAATATTTTTAGGATAGATTCATATGAATAGAATATGTATTCTTTGATTAGATTGGTTTGGTTTATTTTGTTTTAAGGCATATCAACCTCAATGGGTTATTTAATGCCGATAACATTTTTTAGGATAGATTCGTATGAATAGAATATGTATTCTTTGGTTTAGATTGGTTTGGTTTATTTTGTTTTTACGGCATATCAACCTCAATGGGTTATTTAATGCCGCAACATTTTTAGGATAGATTCGTATGAATAGAATATGTATTCTTTGGTTTAGATTGGTTTGGTTTATTTTGTTTTACGCCATATCAACCTCAATGGGTTATTTAATGCCGACAACATTTTTAGGATAGATTCCTATGAATAGAATATGTATTCTTTGGTTTAGATTGGTTTGGTTTATTTTGTTTTTACGGCATATCAACCTCAATGGGTTATTTAATGCCGGCAACATTTTTAGGATAGATTAGTATGAATAGAATATGTATTCTTTGGTTTAGATTGGTTTGGTTTATTTTGTTTTTCGGCATATCAACCTCAATGGGTTATTTAATGCCGATGACATTTTTAGGATAGATTCGTATGAATAGAATATGTATTCTTTGGTTTAGATTGGTTTGGTTTATTTTTTTTTTACGGCATATCAACCTCAATGGGTTATTTAATGCCGGCAACATTTTTAGGATAGATTCGTATGAATAGAATATGTATTCTTTGGTTTAGATTGGTTTGGTTTATTTTGTTTTATGGCATATCAACCTCAATGGGTTATTTAATGCCGACAACATTTTTAGGATAGATTCGTATGAATAGAATATGTATTCTTTGGTTTAGATTGGTTTATTTTGTTTTACGGCATATCAACCTCAATTGGTTATTTAATGCCGACAACATTTTTTATTGCTGGTAATATTTTGTTTTGTCAAAAATACATTTCTGGTAATATTTTTCTTTCAAAATTGTATTGCTTGTAATATTTTTTTCAAAAATATATTGCCGGTAATAGTTAACTGGGATCCTAGGTCAGGGTGGACCTGGGAATACCAGCAATTAAGAGGTGGTTCCATGCTCCTCAAAACCTCCTGATCAGAGGCCTTGCTGCTGGACGTAGTTTAACATCTTACACAGGACGCAGATGTAGTTTAACGTCTAACCCAGGACATGGATCTACAAAACAACCCATCATTCTAAACGATATTCTATACATACATTCATTGCTGTGTTTTTTTCACTGAGGCTGGGATTAATTTTGTACAAAGCAAGGTGGGTCCTGCCTGATAAAGGAATTTTCATAATGATTTGAGGCAAGGGCTTACAAGGGCAGATGTTCTTCCTGACATCCAACTCAGACACTAATGGTAATCCAAATACACCATCTCTAGGTAAGTTGCCATTAAAGGGTTGAAACTAAACCCTAGACTTAGGTACACACTTATATACAAAAGAAAAACAAAATCAACCGAACACCAATAAAAGGTGCATCAGTTTTTTTTTTAATGTAAAAATAACAAAAATGAAAAAAAAATCAAAAGTTGGAGTACTGAATATAACATCCATCAGCTAATTGACAAATTATATATATATATATATATATATATATATATATATATATATATATATATATAATTTCCCTTACAGTTGTAATTAAAATACCATTAGTTAATGACCATTTTCACTTGTGAATTTTAAAATTTAAAATTTGTAGGATTTTTCAAACTGTTTGTAGAAGGGGACACCATAAACAGTTTGAAAAATCCTGCAAATTTAAAATTTTTAAATTTCAAGGTGAAAATGATCATTAACTAATGGTATCTTAATTGCAATTATACAAAACATTTTGCTCAGTTTAATGAAAATAAACATTGAGCACTCTTTGTGAGTCAGTCTTAACATTTAATATTTAATTTTTTAAATTCTATATTGTGTTAATTGGACTCGCTTGGATTATACCAACAGATTACTACCTGTGTGCATATATATATATATATATATATATATATATATGAAGAAATATAATTTTAAGGTGTGCTATATTTATGGGATAAAGTGCCTCAATATCTGAGATAGAGTGTATGCAAATATAAATATAAAAGTGAACATTGAAGTCAACACTCAGAGGCAACAGGCTGTTTCATGAAACAGCTTGTCGCTTCTAAGTGTTGACTTCAATGTTCACTTTTATATATATATATATTTATGTGTGTGTATGTATGTATGTATATATATATATATATATATATATATATATATATATATATTTCTTTATTATATGGTATGACATTCGAATATAAATTGTAATAACCCTTTAAAAAAAAAAAAATTCAGACAACATCCATTCAACTGATGTCAGGTTTCATTGTAAAATACATCCCTACCCCCTTACCAAATTGTAGCTAATAACTGATACAATGATACTGACATAAGGAAAAATCTAGACATCCCTTGTTCAATTTAAGTAGAATATTCTGTAACCATGGAAACGTGATTTTAGCTGTGTCTTTAAAACCCGTAATTTTAAAAGTTACTCCAAAATTAAGCTGAAGATGAAATGGAACTAATGCTTTTAATTTAATTGCAAAGTTAAATTCGGGTTTTTAGCTTCTATTTTGAAACATGGTTGGAACTGTGTAGCAAAAAAAACCATATTTTAAATCAATTAATTTATAATATATATATATATTTATATATATATATATATATATATTGAATAATGTTTTGATACCACAAAACAAATATAACGATTTAAAGAAAATGAATTTCTTTTGTATGACCATTTTTTTTTTTTTTTTTTTTTTTTTTTAGGTACCTTTCGCCAACGCTTCATCAGGGTCTTTCGTTGGCAAATGATTTTAAACAAACAATGAAAATGAGAAGAACGCCAAAATGGTATGGTTGGAACACGCCTAAAATCTTACGAAGATATATATATAAAAATTAAAATAAATTTATTTATTAAAATAAATGCGAAATAATGAATATATATATATATATATAGTTTTAAAAATGACAGAGTGTATAGAACCCTTTCTGTCCAACATTTCTTCAGAAAGATTCGTTGGACAAAACCCAAACATAAAAAAGAAAAAAGATAATTATCAATGACAAAAGTAAAAAAATCTATGAGAATAAATAAGGAGCTAAAAATAAATTAAAATAAATTTATTACTAAAAAGTAATAAATTTATTTTAGTCATAGCCCCTTGAGTAGCCCCATGCTGTTATTCAGTATTGCCTTTTATGATAATTTTTTTTTGTATGTTTGGGGTTTTTTTCCAATGAATTATCCCAAAGTGTTGGATGAAAAAAATTTCCTTTAAAAAAAAAAAAAAAAATGCACTTTGTCATTTTTAAAAACAATAACTTAAAAATTTTTAAAAAAAAAAAAATATAAAAAAAAATATATATATATATATATATATATATATATATATATGAAGAACTATAGTTTTAAGGTATGCTATATTTATAGGATAAAGTGCTCAATACAAGAGACAGAGCACATGTAAATATAAAAGTTAACATTAAGTCAACAGTCAAAGGTGACAGTATGTTTCATGCTAATCTTCTAGATTTTAAGTTTAGATCATATCGTTTTTTATTGTGCATAGTGTCACCACAAATGTATACACACGTTTCCAGTGTCTTGTTTTTTAACTTAGGTCAGTGAATCGGTAGCGAATTATGCATCGGAAAATAATTCATATTTATCTGTATCTCACTCATTTAAACCGTTATTTAACTCCTCTCTTTAAAACTTCTGTTAAATTTTAATCCCCACCTTCACCTTAAGGCCTTTCCTGTTCTTCTTTCTTCTGTTACCTCTCTCTAGAACTTTCATAAATTTCCCTCTCACGCTTGTTTCCCACTCCCACACATACACTCTCCCCAAAATTTTATTTTTTTTTTATACCCGGTTACATTTTCCAATATCTTTTTGAATTTGTAGGTCTGATGAATTGGATCGTGATTATGATTCCAATGTAATAAATTAGAACCATGGAATATTAGTGTTTGAGCCTTTTTTATTATATTCTTACTTTGTCTTGGACATTGAGTTGTACCTGGATTCTGTCCTCTTGGAAATTTATTTATATTATATCTCAACTTATAAATATATATATATATATATATATATATATATATATATATCAACCACTAATATATATATTTTTATTTATATATATATATATATATCAACCACTAATATATATATTTTTATATATATATATATATCAACCACTAATATATATATTTTATATATATATATATATATATATATATATCAACCACTAATATATATATTTTTATATATATATATATATATATATATATATATATATATACACACATATATATGTTCATTTTTTTCATATATATATATATATATATATATATATATAGTGTTCATTTTTTTCATATATATATATATATATATATATATATATATATACTTCAGTGTTCATTTTTTCATATATATATATATATATATATATATATATATATATATATATATATATATATATATATATATATACACACACAAACGGCAATCTATAAGAAACTTACCAACATTTGTTGTATTTCTTCCAAACTCAGGATTCTATATCATATTTTATACACATACATTGCCATAATTTTTTTTTTTTGTTGAGGCAAGACTAAGAATAACCCCACACAAAGCAAGGTCAGTCCTGCCTGACAGAGAATTTCTTGTCATAATGATTTGAGGCACAGTTTTATAAAACGCCAACAAAGAGTAAACTGTCGAGCAACGCTAACAAAGAAAAAGTGTCAAGTAACGTCAACAAAGAAAAAGTGTCAAGTAACGTCAACAAAGAAAAAAGTGTCAAGTAACGTCAACAAAGAAAAAGTGTCAAGTAACGTCAACAAAGAGTAAACTGAAAGTTATGTCAACAAAGCGTAAACTTTCAAATAGCCTTAACAACGAGTAAATACTTACATTAGCACATTCCACACAGCTGACATAATCTGTACACACTGGACATTCAGCCATATTTGTTATCAATAAATGTGATTTCATATCCCCACTGCATTTATCTACAGTGGGGGTGACGACTTTTTGCAAGCTTCCCTCAAGCACACTCTCCTCTTCTGTAGCATTTCTGTCCCTGAGGATACAGGTTCTCGTCTCAACGCACCAGCCACATGCATTGTCCGACAGGCAACCAAGACAATTGTAATTCTGTTTACATTTGCTCTCATGATATGGCTCCAGAAATTCATAAGTCAGAGCCTGTTCATTCACTTCATTTTTGAGGGAGTTTTTCTTCTGGGGGACATTATTCCATGTGATGTCAACACTCGATTTAAGTTCTGTGACACTGTTCTGGGATGTTGTGATGTTGAGGTGAGCCTCAAGATCGACATAGTACTTGGCTCCCCGACTTGTATTCCGGAACAGCATTGCGTCACCATATCTCCTGGCTTCGTAGGCCATGGATTTCTCGTACTTGTGGCCGCTGCCTGTAACTCTTTCCTGGAAGAGAATATAAAAGAATTTAAACATTCCTCAAAACAAATTTGAAAGTTTTCCGTTTTGCTTTTGCCAAAACGTCTTTGGAAAACTAAAAAGCTGACCAATGCCTAAAAACAACAGTAAACACCGATGTTGGTCTGTTTTTTTTTTACATACTAAATTTCACCAATAAAGGTAGAAGGCTACTGTTAAAATGGTTATAATCAATGGTGGCATCCTACTGGTTTGTGCAAACCAATTCTTAAAATTATAAAGGGTTAGCAATAATGGTTTAGTGAAACAAGTTTTACTTATTAACCCATAGCAGGGGTGAGAAGAGGCAGATTCATACAATCATTAGATTGTTGGATTATCTGAAAATAATCTTATATATTAATAGCTGATGATGGTCTAGGTAAAATGTTAATTACACTATGCATGTACATGCGCCTAGTGAAATTCTAATAGACACATGCCACCTACTACAGCAATAAACAGCCATCAATGGGGAAAGAAAAAAAAGGAAAAAATAAAAGAAAAACATAGATAATAGTAATTGAGTAGAAAAAAAAAAAGGTAAAAGATCTTTGGGACTGCAGCGATTCAGTTGGAATAAAACAGCTAATGACAAGAGCCAAAAAATCAAAACAGAAATTGATGACACTAGAAATATCTTTCTAAAAATCATCACTCCAGTGAACAGAAAAAATGATGAAGAGAAATTTTCAATCTGGAAATATCTTTCTATTAAAGAGAAAGATCTTTGGGACTACAGTGATTCAGTTTGAATGTGGCTAACAAACCAGAGCTAAAACGGATAATAGAAGAGAAATTTTCAATCTGGAAATATCTTAATAAATGTTTTCTATTAAATTATGAAAATTGTTATTTGTTTCTATTCTCAGATTGAAAAGAAAATAAGCAGAATAGGTTCCTAAAGATTATCTGTTTTTATAGAACTGGTTCTTGAAAATTTGGGATGCCATTTTTGGTTAATGTAATATGAATGAAACAGGAAGGACTGAAGATTATGAAGATAAAAATAATAGACAAATGACTTTTGACTACTTAAGATTTTAAGATTGTAGTGTAGAATATTACTGTTAAAAAATGTAATCATGAATGAGATGTGTGATATGTATGAAAGAGGAAGTAGTAAGAAGTGAGGATAAGGAGGATAGATAACCACTGATCTTTGACTTGAAGAGGTTAAGATTATAGAATAGAGGGTTACTGCTAAAAAATGTAATCATGAATGAGATGTGTGATATGAAGAGGAGATAAGGGTGAAGATTATGAGGATAAGTAACAACTAACCCTTGATTTAAAGAGGTCAGGATGGAAGTGTTCATAGCGGCACCCACACAAAAGTCAGTTCCACAAAGTGGTAGTAGTTGGAGGAAAAAGTAGTTAGCATAGAACTTCTTTACATTTGGAATATGGAAGACTTGAATCAGTTAGAATTTCAGTGTTCTGAATTTTACTTCAGTGGCACTTATTTCAAGAAAATCTCAGCCCAAACCATTTGTGTCTCAGTGATTATATTAGCCAGTCTGTCATGTCACATGTTTCTTAGTTATCCACTCTTCCTTTTCTCCCCCAATGGGTTCTAGATCTGAAATTCATGAGGGATGCCAGCTGCTGGTTTCCTGAAGATGAGTCCTACTCAACCCTGACTTCATATACAAAGATTTCCTGGGTAACAGACTATTACCCAGCTTTTTGCCACAACACAATTCTTCATTGGGGATCATGGGCTCATCACATGATGTTGAAAATGTGCCAGACAGACATGTGTTGACAGATGTCTGTAATTTTTCTTGCAAAATTTGAAACTTTACAGATAACACAAACTACCTACCTACATAGTTTTTTTTCCATCAATAAAACAGGCACATAGAGATATAGCTCAGTTGTAGAACATAGGCCATAAAACCAAGACATAAGACATGGGCCATAAAACAAAGTGGCAAGATACGGGCCATAAAATAAAGTGGCAAGACATGGGCCACAAAATAAAGTGGCAAGACACGGGCCATAAAACAAAGTGGCAAGACACGGGCCATAAAACAAAGTGGCAAGACACGGGCCATAAAACAAAGTGGCAAGACACGGGCCATAAAACAAAGTGGCAAGACACGGGCACAAAATAAAACAACACGGGCCAAAAACAAAGTGGCAAGACACGGACCAAAAACAAAATAAGACATGGGCAAAAACAAAGAAGACACGGGCCATAAAACAAAGTGGCAAGACACGGACCACAAAATAAAGTGGCAAGACACAAAAACAAAGTGGCAAGACACGGGCCATAAAACCAAGACAAAAAAAAAGTGGCAAGACACGGGCCATAAAACAAAGTGGCAAGACACGGACCACAAAATAAAGTGGCAAGACACGGGCCATAAAACAAAGTGGCAAGACACGGGCCACAAAACAAAGTGGCAAGACACGGGCCATAAAGTGGCAAGATATGGGCAAAAAAAAAGTGTGGCAAGACACGGGCCACAAAATAAAGTGGCAAGACACGGGCCACAAAATTGGTGGAAAACTATGGGCCAAAAATTTGTGGCAAGACACGGGCCACAAAATTAGTAGCAAAACATGGGCCAAAGATTTGTGGCAAGACACGAGCCAAAAAATTTGTGGAAGACATGGGCTAAAAAATTTGTGGCAAGACATGGTCCAAAAAATTTGTGGCAAGTTACGAGCCATAATATTTATGGCAAGACTGGTCATAAAAAGTAGGTGTAAAACACAGGCCATAAAATTATCCAATACAATACCAGCACATACAAGCTTATGGCATTACCAAGTGATCACTTAACTACATATTGACCCAGCTTGACATTTCTTAACTTCATTGATCATACAAGAACCTTACACTGATCCTAAAAGTGCCAAGAATGCGAAGTAGAGCACATATTTTTAAAGTAGAAGTGATGATCCATGGGTAAATAAACCTGTGTCATTTTTATGGTTATTATCCTTGTATCAATTAATAATTTCATAATTTATAACTTCAAAGAGAAATCTATACAAATAAAATTTTCCATTTCTCTACTAAAGAATGCTTAGTCACATCATATTGAAACATCGGTTCCTGTACAATCACCGATGTTAAGCAACAGTGAGTTTGATCAGTACGTAGATGAGTGACTGCTTGCAAATGCCAAACACTGAGTTTCAATGTGCAGGTAGTGTATTGGATAATGGCTCAAAATTGTTAATCGGAGAGTCAGGTTCCAAATGACATTGGGTTCATTATATTCACTTACGTGCAAATACCCTTGAGAGAGGTATGCATCTACTTCTCCCTCCCTGCTATGGGTTAATTAGTAAAACTTGTATCACTAAACCATTATCTCAAAAAAAATAAATTAAAATAAAATAATCCTTACAAAGTTGATCAATCTGCTACATATTCAGAAACTACTTGGATTTCAATCAAACTTAGCAGGAAGTCTCATATATGATGCAAATTTGACATGTCAATGCTAAAGGTTATGAAAGGTCAAAAATAAAATCAAAGCCATATCTCATGGAAGTTAAATATTTATCCCAATATATATATATATATATATATATATATATAGAGAGAGAGAGAGAGAGAGCAGTGAGCGAGATAAATCAATTTATGGTAGCAAATAATGCATGGTGACTTCCCTTAGTCATTTTAATAAATCCTTACAAATACAAGGGAGGTATGGTGGAGTAATGGATAGTGGCTTGGAATGAGGAATTGGAGAGCCGAGTTCGAATTCTAGTTGAATCTATAACATTCATTTACATGCTAATACCCTTAGGAAAGGGTATAAATCCTCTTCTTTTCTGCTTCAGCTATGGATAAGTAGCAGGATAGACCAGATCCTATAGTCTTGGATGGCAACTGATCTACCGCAGAAAGAAATGGCAACCTACAGTGGGAAAAAATCTGCCTCATCAGACATGTATTGAAAGATACATGGTTGCTTAAGCATGTATCACACATGGCACATAACTGATAAATAAAATGAAGTATCTGTCTTTTTATTTAGACAAAATTACTTACCAAACAATGCCGAGCATCCCTTAAGTAAGTAATAATTACAACAAAAGATACTTTTTACTTACCTTATTTTCTTTTTTTTCATCTTTGCTAAGATATAATGTGATTTCTGCAGTGGCAGTCCCAACTGTGAGGACTAATGATTTATTTCCATGTGGTGGAGGAAACTGGAGGGGGTAAATAAAACCAGTATAATGGGCAGTATAAAAGCCCTGTTGGTCTACTTCCTTGGCCAGAGTTGATTCAAACTCCAGACGACTTACTGTTTGTCGAATTATTTCAGCCTGTGTATAAGGTGAAAAAAAAATATATATGTAACAAAAAATATTACACACAAAAAAAAAAATGAATATTAATCTTCTTATGTTAAGTATTCTTTCTGGTTCTCAACTGATCAAAGTCAAGCCTAGACAATACCTAGATAAGTGACCACTTGGGAAATGTATGGATGGTGTAATGTATAAAGGCTTAGAAAAACTGAGTTCCAGTTTCAGTCATGTTTGTTGCTAGATTCTCTTAGACAAATTCTCTTGAGCAATCATGAACAAAAAGGGACATGATCACCCAAGCAATTTTGTTTATAAATACTTGTTGAAAAATAAAATCCTTACATTTGCCTTGATAAAATCCACCAGACGATGAAATATGTTGGCTAAGTTTTCCTTTTATCTCTCTCTCTCTCTCTCTATATATATATATATATATATATGTGTGTGTGTAAAGTAAAAAATCCGTTGGTAGGTAATCCAAGTAGATCTTTTTACTACAAAATATTAAAACTGATCCACAAAAGAGAGCTCAATATAATTTTTATTATAGAGCATATAAGTGAATTACAATTAATAAGATCCAAACGATTTACCTCATACAGATGATCATTTTGTCCATGGGGAAGTAGTTTTTCCCTAGACTTATCAATGTAAATACATTTACTAAAATGAATAAAACGTTTCTTCACAGGAAATTTGTAAGGCAAAAGAAGGAAAGAAGTAAAAAAAGAAAAAAGAAAGAATAAAAGGAGGGGGGAGTAAGAATTAACCTATAACAGAGGACTTTTACTATATAGTTATAGATGTAGTATTGAATGGTTTAATATTAACATCTTTTTATAAAAGTATTAATTTTAAATTCTTACTCCCATTCTATAGTAATTTTAAGCTCCTCTCTAAAATGTTTCATAGCCTTTTTTTGTTCATTCTTCTTCCTTGTACAGGTGTTACATTTATGTCAGTGTCCATTTTCAACTGCAGCGTTTATCTGTATCCAACTCCACCACAACCACGTTAGGTCCCTTAACCCTCTTTATATAACTCCCTCCTCTTATATAGACAAATTCTTACTCCCTCTCCTTTTAGTCTTCCTTTTTTTTTTTCCTTCCTTTCCCTTTCACAGGAAATGTGAAGAAACATTTTATTCATGTTAGTAAAGGTATTTGCATTGATAAGTCCAGAGAAAAACTACTTTCCATGGATGAAATGATCATCTGTAGGAGGTAAATCAATTGGATCTTATTAATTGTAATTCACACATACATGCATATTATATATATATATATATATATATATATATATATATATATAGATAGATAGATAGATAGATAGGGAGGGAGGGAGGGAGGGAGTATGTAAATGAAAACAAGAATCAACATAATGCAACCTTCAGCTGAATATTTGCTATCATTGCAAGAGTGATCTACTCAACTTAGCAAGTTTTAACTTTGCTGGTAACATTATGAATAGCAGCACAGAAATTGGAATCGATGAGCAGACTTCAAACTCCAGACTGATCTTTTACATTTACTTTTGTACAAATGGTCTTTGGTAAGGTAGGAATGCATGCATAGTGAATAACTAGCAGAGTAAACTCAGCTCTCCAGCATTGAGTGGTAACCTGTCACATAGGAATAAATTGTCACTGCCGACACTTGAGTTTGAACACGGGTCACCAGAGAGCAAGCACAGTCGAGCTCATCTTGAAATAATTAGATCACGTCACAAGTAAAAGAAAATATATATATATATATATATATATATATACATACATATATAAAATAAAAAGGCTTAAACACTAATATTCCATGGTCATATTAGTGTTTAAGCCTTTTTATTATATCCTTACTTTGTCCTAGACATTGAGTTCTACCTGGATTCTTCCTCTTGGAATTTTTTTCTAAAAATATACATATATGGGTATTTATATTTATATATTTTGCATATGCATGTATATTTTCCACTAATATTATCTCTCTCTCTGTCTCTCTCTCTCTCTCTATATATATATATATATATATATATATATATATATATATATTTCTTTTGCCCTTGCATGGAGTATTGCTGCCATATATGGTCTGGTGCCCCCTCTGTTTGCCTCAGGGTTCTTGATAGGCTCCAGAGGCGGATATGCAATATAATTGGCTCTGTTCTGGCATCTTGTCTACAGTCACTCTCTCACAGATGCGCTGTCGCCTCTCTTTGTATTTTTTACAAATACTTTCATCGCAATTGCTCCGAGGAGCTGCATTCACTGGTTCCCAGATTTCATGAGTTCAAGCGCCCTACGAGGCTGGCATCCCGCTCTCATCCTTTCACTGTCGAAATTCCTAAATGTAGCCATCTTTTCTACTCCAATAGCTTCATGTCTCGCACCTCTCGTCTGTGGAACTCCCTTCCCTATTCCAGTTTCCCCGATAGCTATAATCTCCAGCTATTCAAATGTAATGTCAATCGACATCTCCAGTTGCCTTGATCTATCCACTATCCTTCTCCTCATCTTTTCCTCTATCACTTCTATCTGATCTTGCTCCAAATTTTCTATAACCCCTTGCGTCCTAGTGGCTTCTAGCCTTGCTAGAAAAAAAAAAAATAAACAAGCAAATATATATATATATATATATATATATATATGTGGGAATTGGCAGCATCTGACTAAGTATTGTTTGAAGGCGTTACTATTATTGTATCTGTGGCTTACAAAGTCTCTCCTACAACCGGGCATGACAAAACAACCTAAGAGAATGAAAACTCTTAATTTGAAACCCTGGAGGAGACAATGGGAAACCACTTCACTCCCTTTCCCTAAGAATTCAAGGCAATTCACAGATAATAAGCAAAAATCTATTGGGTATCATAATTACCTACGTCTTGAAGGACATGGTATTTAATAAAAGGAGTGCATTAAGAAACAGGGTAGACTAGAATCTCGAGCGATAGATGGCAATCAGTCTATGAGAATGAAACTGCTGAATCCCAAACCATGGAAAAGAAAATGGTAAATCTCTCCACTCTATTTACTCAAGAATTCATGACGATTTACAAATAAGCAAAAATATGTTGGGAACTATAATCACCTACATCCTGAACGAACATGGCATTTAATTTTAAAGAAGGGGAGCAGGAATGGATAGGCTCTATAGTCTTGGGTGATTACTAGTCACAAAAAAAGGACAATTCCCAATTGAAATCCATGGAAAAAACAACACAAAAATAATTCCACTATCTTTTCCAAGATAGCAATTCACAGATAATAAATAAAAGGATAAACTGTGGAGAAGGCAATATGAAACTACTTCACTATCTTTCCTAAGAAAGAATGACAATTCACAGATAAAACACAAGAAACTCTACAAAGAGTCATGATTACCTATGTTCTAAATGGACATGACAGTTAATAAAAGGACTGAGATAAATAGCAGGTTAACCTGGACTCTCAATACTTGACTGGCAGCCAGCCTAGGAGAAAGAAATCTCATAACTCCAAACCATGGAGAGGGCAATGGGAAACCACTTCAACTTTCCTACAGTCATGGCAATTCACAGACAAAGAAAGATGAATCTATAAAGAGTCATGATCACCTAAGTCCTGAAAGAATATGAATTAATTTTTTTTTTTTAAATATCTAGATACGTACCTGATCTGGATATGTTATGTTCATGGGGTTCTGGTACTTCAGCCAGTGTAGTCCTGCCGGTCTGTCTTCTTCACGGCACTGGCTAACGTTCGTAAGGGATGCACTGAGACCTGCCCACCAGCCAATTAAGCCAGATTTAGTTCCGTTAACTATGAGGCAGGTATTTTGAGGATCTTCAAAAGATACAAAACAAAAATATATTCAACACATTGGAAAAAATCCTGTTATAATTTTGCTGGTTAGTTCACATGACTGTCCTGCCCATAAATAATGGACTATTCCATTTTGACTGCGTGGAAAGAGGGAAAAAGACACTACTTGGTTTCAGTGAGAAAATGAAAGAAAGAAAGAAAAAAGGAAGGAAGAAATGAATAAAGGAAGAAAGTAAGGCAGAAAGAAAGTGTTTAATGACTCCTGCCAATACTTAATAAATAATGGACTATTCTGTGTTGATCACATGAAAAGAGGGGAAAAGGCACTACTTGGTTTCAGTGAGAAAATGAATGAAAAAAAGAAAAAAGAAAGGAAGGAATGAATAAAGAAAAAGAAAGAAAGAGTTTAATGACTCCTGCCAATACTTAATAAATAATGGACTATTCTGTGTTGATCACATGAAAAGAGGGGAAAAGGCACTACTTGGTTTCAGTGAGAAAATGAAAGAGAGAAACAAAGGTAAGATAGAAGTGGAAAGAGATTTTAAGCTGATAAAAACAGATACTACACCTTGATCTTAGCCAAAAGACAGAGAAGGGAAGTTAACCACAATAAAAGACACACAGTATTGAACAACAGAAACGGAGACAATCAACTAAAATCAAGTTACCATAAATAAAATCACATTGTCTGCTGAATTATTTTTAAATTATTATTAGGAGGAATGTTCATAAGATGGGGATTTCACAAGCTGTATCATAATTTTGCTTGTTCCTTAAATAGCATGGATTCTATGGCCTGCATTATCTTACCTGTCCCCTGTCCACAAATGTAAATTTTTGGTATAGCAGAAATGAACAACGTAAATCCCTAATAATTTTTTTAAAACTTTCAGCATGCCTTATTTTGGTGTGTGTTTAAGCTGTGTATATAATTATTTATTCAAAAATTATAACATAAATATGTTATGAAATCACTACAAAAATAGCCATTTTGTTTCTGGTGTTTTATCAAGTGATGGTGTTGCATGTAGGTTCTATCACTTGATAATACACCAAAAGTTTTGAAACAAAATGGATATTTTTGTAGTGATTTTATAACATATTTATGTTATAATTTTTAAATAAATAATTATGTTTGTTCTATTCTGTATTCTTTAAGTATAGTATTTGTTGGTTATTGAAATTTATTCCGTATACACCAATCCTATAATTGGGTGTGTGTGTGTGTATATATATATATATATATATATATATATATAATAAAAAGGCTTAAACACTAATATTCCATGGTCATAATTTATTCCATTGGAATCGTAAATACGATCCAATTCATCAGAACTACTAATTCAAAAAGTAAACAGAAAAAAACACAACTCCGAAAATAAAAACAGAATTTAGAGAGAGTGTAAGTATGAGGGGGAGGGAGATTAAACCTTAACAGAGAGAATATTAGGAGAAGTGGGTTGAAGGGGTTTAAGCAAGAGAAAAAAGATTGTCGGATGTCTAATGCATAAAGATACATTTCGTGGTGACATACACACACCATAGACAATCTAAAGTTAGAATAAGAGGGAGGGAAAGATGAGGTGGGGGAGAGAGAAGGGGCGAAGGAAAGTGAAATTGCATTTACTTAAAGGGTCGCTTTATATATATATATATATATATATTTAAAAATTAGGAGATCAATCATGCTACTTTGGTTTCAACCTTTTGGTATCCTCAGGTGGTTTTATTATTTATATATAAACACACAATGTGAAGTATAATAGGAGGAGAGGAGAAAAGCAAGAGTATTGAAATTGTATTGGAGGAAGAGTAAATAATCTACACATACTTTCACTCTGGTCCATACAAACTCAAAAGGTACTTTTTAGTGTATATGCATCGTGTCAGTTTTCATTCAGTCGATTCTTTTTGCCTGGAAACGTTATTATTGTTAATTTTTCCTCCTGGCACAATTTGCAGAAACCACTATCTTGGCTTTTTTTTTTAAATATTTTCCAGTTTACAATCGAATTTTTGTTATTTTTTCTTTTAATTCCCACACATGGCTGGCTATGTAACATTTCCAGACCAAAAATCTCTACTGAAAGATTAGAACTACTAATGACATTGTACAAACCAGCAATTGATTTTATATGTAAAAAAAAAAAAAAAAACCTGATGCAAATACCAGGTAAAAGGTTAGAAGTTTATGTTATTAGGTTGGTGCAAAAATAATGACGTAATAATGTCGTTTTTTGACGTTAAAAAATATGTTAAAAAACGACATTATTACGTCATTATTTTTGCGCACCAACCTAACAGAAGTGAAAAGATGAATTTACAAGTGCACTTCAAAGTCACTGCTGCATAAGATTCCAATGTAAAAACATTTTAAAATAATATGAAATTTCTACTGGTTCCTACAAGTTTTAAATAATTTCTGTCTGAATTTCTGGGATGACAAGTTATCACAATTTACATGTGAACAATTGTCCTCATCTTTCTCATCCTTTATCACTCTGTATACATACAAAAAGTTTATCCTACCCCTGAAGGTGGCTCTGATCCCTGAACAATCAGGTTTAAATTTCCTAATTGTGATGTCATATCCAGCTATGGCAACAGAAAAAAAAATCTTGGAAAAAAAAAGTGGAATTAACAATAAGGTTACTATAATTGAGAGGCAATTGATAAAGAATGCCTTAGAAAGGGAAGTAATATTAATAATGCAGAATGTTAAAGCTTATTGCCATCCCAATGTTTCATCCTTGTGCCCTCTAGCCTTCATCAGGAGTATATCAATCTGGATAATCTACAGTGAATTCCAAATGGAACTCTTTATTTAATCTAATGTCTATCACTCCTAGCAGAGGCTGGATGGTCTAACAGTTATGTCTTTTATTGCTTTAGAAGTAATTATAACAAATATTTCTCTGTTCTTGTTCCACTACCAATGTCTAAGAATATCTCATCTAGTTCTTATTTTTTAGTAATACTCAGTTATTGCTCATCCTGACAGTACACACAGCCTGGCTTGAACTAACAATTATTATGTCACCAAATTCACAATGCAACTCTTAAACCACAAGACTATTGTCACATGGAACAATACCCAAAATATTGTAATAAAAACAACAAAGATGAGGACAATAGCCTGCATATAAATTTTTGTAGTATACCTACAGACGATAATGGATATGTCCCCATTCACATAAATACAGTAGTAAATATTGTATGTTGGTCTGCAGTTGGAGATTCATTGTGGAATTCACTTGACTCACTTGTAGCAGTTGATTACTTCTCAGCACCACTGGCAAATCTTATATCTGTTGTTCTTGTCCTAATTATTATCATTCATTAGCAACCTTCATGTGAGTCTTCTATTCAGTAACTTTCCCTAGGTCACAACATAAATAATTTAAATAGTTGTAAACAATCTGTAATTCTATCTAAATACTGTTAGCTCATAAAACAATTTTCTGCAGCCCAAAACCAAGGCAAACAGGAAATGTTTATCTCTTCTAGTAGAGTTTGGTTTCGTTTAGTTTCCTTATACGTCATTTAATGCCAAAATTTTATTTTCATGTGAGCTTTGGTAATTTTTTTTTTTCACCATGAAAATGTATTGCTGGTAATTTTTTCTAACGTGTTTTTATATTTTCATGTTTTAACCCCAGCTTCGGGGTTCACAATTTGCTCACAGTTAGGACCCTAAGTCATGGTGGACCTGGTAACAACAGTAATTAAGAGATGGTTCAACATTCCTCAAACTCTCCCAATATGAGGCCTTGCTGCCAGATATAGTTTGTCATCAATCCCATGATGATCCGAGTAGAGGCTGGATGGTCTAATATTTAATTAAGTCTTTTATTGCTTTAGAATTTGTAATAAATTTTATGATAAGCTTTAATAAGTTCTTTTCAATTGTAGTTGTGACAGAGCTGGTGGATAGAACAATATATTTTAATTCGTTGGGTTTTGGCAGGATGGTTTACTTTTCTATTTTGAAATATTTTACAAGCATTTTGTTTTGCACTGAATATAAAATAATAAGGGTCTTGAAGATGCTTAAATGAAATTAATAGACTATATACCCAAAATATATATTTAAAAATCAATTTCTTTTACCATAATTCCCCATGTATAATATGCCTTCATCCATAATATGCAGCCCTAAAATTGTGCCGAAAGTGTGGGAAAATACTTCTACTCAGACATAATACGCACTCCTTGTTTGGTAATCAAACCCTATAAATTGTATCTCTCCAATTTCATTACAGACATTATGGTTCTAAACATAGAATAATATTATTCTAATTTAGTTTTATGATAATTCTTATTTTATTTTACATTTGTAAGTAGTGTTAGATACATATGATTGTATTTGACATCCGTATGGGGTCGCAATTGCCAAATGTTAGCGTCAAATTGTTGTACGTTTGTACGTTTCACAACTGAAATCGACCTATAAAACAGCAATTTTTTAAAGATTTTTTTGTAGCCGCGCATAAGACACACCCCTCATTTTGCTTATTATTTCTTGTTTAGAAAAAAAAATGTGTATTATACATGGTGAATTACGGTAATTTAAATTTAAAATTCTCAGCATCCCCTTTCTATCATGCAGATGTGTAGTCAAGTCAGCATCAGAATCACTTTACTCTCGTGATAACTTCCAGGAAAGTAACTATTTGTGTCTTGTTACTTTTCACATTTTCCACAGACATAAAGTGGAGTGAGTATATTAAATCAATTGCTAAGTCTGCTGATAGGAAAATAGGTTTCCTATATCATATCAGACAATTTTTCTAGTCAGAATTCCCCATGCACATTTATAAATCTACCATTCATCCATGCATTGAATACTGCTGCCATATCTGGTCTGGTGTTCCTACTATATATCTCAAGATTCTTGACCAAAATTCAAAGAAGGCTCTGTAATATATATTAGGAGTATGAAAAAGTTTCCAGCACAAAATAAAATCTCCCTTTCATCCATGCATTGAATACTGTTGCCATATCTGGTCTGCTTTTCCTACTATATATCTCAAAATTTTTGACCAAAATTCAGAGAAGGCTCTGTAATGTATATCAGGAGTATGCAAAAGTTTCCAGCATAAAATAAAATCCCTCTTTTTGCACATTTATAAATCTACCATTCATCCATGCATTGAATACTGCTGCCATATCTAGTCTGGTGTTTCTACTATATATCTCAAGATTCTTGACCAAATTCAAAGGCGGCTCTGTAATGTATATCAGGAGTATGCAAAAGTTTCCAGCACAACATAAAATACCCCTTGCACGTTTATAAATCTACCATTCATCTGTACATTGAATAGTGTTGCCATATCTGGTCTGGTGCTTCTACTATATATCTCAAAATTCTTGACAATATCCGAAGAAGAATCTGCAATCAATGATGACCTGGCATCTTGACTTTATTTACTTTCACAACACCACAATATAGCTTCTATTTGCCTTTTCTATAACTATTTGCATGGCAAATATTCAAATGAACATTCCTTCTTGATACTTTGACTACATGAATTTAAGCGTACTACTAGATTGGCAGTTAGGTCTCTTCTTTTTACTGTTAAATTAGTTAAATATACTTGTAAGTTCTATTCTAACCGTTTCTTTTCTCATATTTCTCACCTCTGAAATTCTCCTCCAGTTTCTTGCTTCTCTGCCACTTCATCTTCAAAAATTTAAATGCAACATCAGTTGCCATCTTCTGTTTTCCTGAATCCTGTTCTTTTTTTTTTTTTTTCGTTTCTCCTCACGAAAGTCTTCCTATTTTAATTCTGTCATATAACAATAAAGTGTCATTGTCAACACTGGAGCTTGAAACTAGATCGACAGTGAGCAAACACAAGCGATCACATTTTGAATAAGTAGATCACATAATCGCAAAGGAAACATATATATGGGAATTAGTGTGGTGTCTAATTGATCACCATTTCTATTCTATCCTCTATTACTATACGGATCACTCTTTCTGCACTATCCTCTATCTCCATACTATTCACTATACGGATTACTATTTCGATTACTTTTTGAGCAAGTATTATCGAGCAAGTACTATTATTGTGAGTGTTATCAAAGGCATTTGATACTAGTATTGTTGAAAGGCGTTACTATAGTTGTATCTGCGATTACAAAGTCTCTACTACAACGAGCATTACGAAAGTGACAAGTATTCATGGACATTACAAACGTGGCAATGAGTGTTCGTTGACATCGCACAATATTAACTCTGGGTAATATGTTGCATCCTAGAGACATTATTACTTTGCTTGGGGTGAAATGATTAAAAACAAAAATTCTTATTGTTGTAAAGTATTCAATTTTCACCATTTATCTAGATCAACAAAAATGTACACTTGTAAACTAAATAAATAAACCTAAATAAAGGTTTTGATTTTGACTCGGACTTCTCTGAAGGTTAATTTTGATCGACAAATACCTGAAGAAGGCCCAAAACATATATTTAAAAAAAAAATTTAATTAAAATTTGAAATTCTCAGCATTCCCTTTCTTTCATACACATATATAGTCACATCAATATCACTTTATTCCAATGATGATAATCTCCAGGAAAGAAACTATTTGTGTCTTCTTAGTTTTCACATTTTCCACAAAGAAATGTACACTCGTAGATTAAATAAAGGTTTCGGTTCTGAATTCTCTGATGGTTAATTTTGACTGACAAATACCTAAAGAATGCCAGAGAGTACAATGGCTGAAATGTTGTGCTAACAAAATTAGTACAATAGTCCAATACAAATAAAGACAACACCTCATTCCAGAAACAGAAAGAACGCTGAAGCCAACATAATATTAGAAAATATAAAAAAAGAAACATTTCAACAAAAATTTATTTGTAATATTTACTCACCGCTTCGAGTTTGACATTGGTCTTCTTTTACACACCACAGACATTCTTCATTGTGAACCACATTTAAGAGTGAGGAATTTGTTAGGGTGGGGCCTTGTCCCTGGATTAAGCACTCACCACAGGATCGCAGCAGCTCACATATACTTCCACATTGATGACTAGGTTTACTTTCAGTGCACAACAGCTGCAAAATAATTAGACATTAAAGAAGCTCTTTAGCAGGAGAAGGAAGAAAATCAAAAAAAAGCTGAAGATCTCCAAATGGAATGGAAGGAAAACAAGATTCTTTATGATATCCAAAAATAAAAAAAATGATATCCATCAACTCTAATTATAGTTTAAGGTGCACTTATCTACAAACAGACATCACAGAGAAGTTCTTACAGCCATTCAGAAAATAAATATAACAACCTGTCTGAAACCAGAGTAAATCTGCTAGGTCAAAAAAAAAAAAAAAAAAAAAAAATGTTCTAATGGTAGGTATTTTGTAAAATATAGCATAGAAATACATTGCAAACAATTACACTGTAGGAATATTTTAAAAATGAGGAAGAAAGGGATTATCAATGGTCAGGAAAGAATACCAGCATTACTGACAAAATAAGGCTATTATATGCATGAAGAAAATCCATTACTAATGATTTTATGATAGAAAATGCATTGAAACTCATGAAGAAATGGATTGTCAGTGATTAGGAATGAATGCAAGCATTACTGATAGAATAGGCCTATTACATGTATAATGTAAATGCATTGCTAATGATTTTACTATAGAAATGCATTGAAAATCAGGAATAAATGGATTGTCAGTGGTCAGGAATGAATGCAAGCATTACTGATAGAATAGGCCTATTACATGTATAATGTAAATGCATTGCTAATGATTTTACTATAGAAATGCATTGAAAATCAGGAATAAATGGATTGTCAGTGGTCAGGAATGAATGCAAGCATTACTGATAGAATAGGCCTATTACATGTATAATGTAAATGCATTGCTAATGATTTTACTATAGAAATGCATTGAAAATCAGGAATAAATGGATTGTCAGTGGTCAGGAATGAATGCAAGCATTACTGATAGAATAGGGCTATTATATGTATAATGTAAATGCATTGCTAATGATTTTACTATAGAAATGCATTGAAAATCAGGAATAAATGGATTGTCAGTGGTCAGGAATGAATGCAAGCATTACTGATAGAATAGGCCTATTACATGTATAATGTAAATGCATTGCTAATGATTTTACTATAGAAATGCATTGAAAATCAGGAATAAATGGATTGTCAGTGGTCAGGAATGAATGCAAGCATTACTGATAGAATAGGCCTATTACATGTATAATGTAAATGCATTGCTAATGATTTTACTATAGAAATGCATTGAAAATCAGGAATAAATGGATTGTCAGTGGTCAGGAATGAATGCAAGCATTACTGATAGTATGAAGGTTACTATGTAAATGAAGGGTAATTTAACAAATACAGCTTTCAAAATGAAATAATGGTTTCAAAATAATATCATAAACAATTTAATAATAATTATACACACACACTTTTATGGTAATTATTCTGATGAACTTTACTCTATGGTACCTAGACTTTATGAATTTAAGCACTATACTAAATTGTTAGCAAGGTCTCATCATTTTAAAGTTGAAATGGATAGATGTGACTAAGTTCTATGTTAACAGTTTCTTCTATGGCACTTCTCACTTGTGGGACTCTTCTGGCTTCTTGCTTCCCAGTCAATGTTGATCTTCAAAAATTTAAATGCAATGTCAATCATTAACTACCATCTTCTTAATTCTTGTTCTTTTATTGTCCTCTCTCCCCTCTAACACCCAATAACCCCTTGCATCTTAGTGGCTTTATTTCCTTGCTTAGGATGAAATGATCTATATATATATATATATATATATATATATATATATATATATATATATAAAAATGGCTGGCCATTCATATCCAAGGATGCCATTAACTATGCTGGCTAGCCAATCCCTGTTGCAGATGCCTGCTCAGGTACATTTGTGTTTTTGTTCAACACCCACATGGCCCACTTGTGTTTTAGACTGCAACCTGGCTGAGTGCATTTTAATTACAGTTTCTGGAAGAAAGCGCATTATCTAGCATGACCAACAGTCTGAACTAGGCCAGCATGCTCAAAATCTCAATCACGATGACTTGTGCTAGCACATCTATCAAAGGATCCCCAAAGAGTTCCATATATCCAATTTGACTCACAAGGCTTGGATCAACCCATAGTTGTCTGAATGTTTTGTATGTCTGAGCGCTTTCAGCTATACTTTTAACCATTATCAAGGATGATTTTTTACTTTTCACTGAATATATAGATTTTTTATGTATGTACAGTGCATTGCAAAAGTTTACACCCCCTTTAAAACTGGATGTATTTCGTTCATTTTGACAGGAACAATTAATATTTTAAACTCCAATAATTTGTTTTAATAAGCAGATCTATCACACTTTTATTTAATACACAAAATACATTTGAAAAATTTAAAACTGATTCTTAAACAAAGATAATTTTGAAAAATGTCTTTGCAAAAGTCTACACCCCCTTTGGAATGTCTTCAGCTAATACTTTGTGGATGATCCTGCTGCATCAATTACAGCCTGCAGACACCTCAGGTAGCCTTCCATGAGCTTGCTGCAGTGGTCTGCTGACAGTTTTTGCCATTCTTCATGGTAGAACTTCTCAAGCTGTGTCAGATTGGATGGGGAACGTCGGTGCACAGCCAGCTTTAGATCTCGTCATAGATTTTCTATAGGATTGAGGTCTGGAGACTGGCTGGGCCACTCCAAAACTGATTTTCTTGCTAGCAAACCAAGCTTTAGTGCTTTTTGACACATGTTTGGAGTCGTTATCTTGTTGAAACTTGAATTTGCAACCCAAGCGCAGAGCTCTAGCAGACTTCAGCAGGTTTGCCTCCAATATTTCTTGGTACTTGACACTGCCCATGACACCTTGGATGATTACCAGCTCTCCAGGCCCTGCAGCTGAAAAACAGCCCCAAAGCATGGTCGAGCCACTGCCATGCTTTACAGTGGGGATGGTGTAATGAGGTTGGTGAGCAGTACCTTTTTTCTGGCAAACGTAGCATTTCGTATTTTTTCCAAATAACTGGACTTTGGTCTCATCTGATCACAAAATCTTTCACGGAATCATTGATGTGACTTTTGGCAAAGTTTAGCCTAGCTTGCTTGTGCATAGGCTTCAGAAGGAGCTTTTTTCTAGCTACCCTCTAGAGGGTAACTTTGGCCAGTTTTACCCTGACAATCCATTTTGGTGAAACCAAGTTAGGTTTACCTGGCTCTTTTAGGTTTATATTATCCATATATATATATATATATATATATATATATATATATATATATATATATATATATATATATATATATATATATAATTTAGAGGAACAAACAGTAAGATCTCCGCATTCAAAACATTAATTTAAAAAACACTAATGTAACACTGCATAAGGCATAAGAAATATATATATATATATATATATATATATATATATATATATATATATATATTTATATTTAGGCAGCAATCCTTCCTTTATGCATGTTTCATTAAAAACGACAGACAAGGTACTACGGTTGAGCTTTTTATTTAATTTTTTTGTGTTCTGACAAGAGCTTTCTTTTCTGGACAAAGAGTGTGTAAGAATTGTCCAGAAAAGAAAGCTCTTGTCAGAACACAAGAAAAATTAAATAAAAGCTCAACCGTAGTACCTTGTCTGTCGCTTTTAATGAAACATGCATATATATATATATATATATATATATATATATATATATATATATATATATATAAGTAAGCATCCATTGATCTTTTGAGATAAAAGGTGAATCTTTCAGTGATCAAAATTCACTGACACCCTGCATAAAAGCCATGCCCCCCACCCCAACCTGGTTAACAGAACATTTTTTTTCTCACCTTTTCGTTTATTGTAGTGCACGCAACCTTTTCGTTTCTTGTCCTTGCGAGTACACATAAGACATTCTGGGTTTATCTCACATTCTTCAATACGAACATCATCACAACGATCAACCTCTGGTTCTGGCTGAAATGACAATAAAAGGTTTTTTTCATGCCTGGATAAACAAAATATTAGGCTATGCTATATCAAAAGTAATTTTAATTTTTTTTTTTTTTTACACGATTTGATAATCATGTATGGTGAATGCCTGGAAAAAGAAAATATTAGGTTGTATCGAAAGTAATTTCATTTTTTTTTTTTTTTCTTTTTACAGACCATTACTCTAAAACTCATTTTGTGTGCATCTAAAGACAATCTATTAATCTGTTATCTCATATGACCACCAAAGTTAAGCAATGTTACACCTGGTAAGTACCTAGATGGGTGACTGCTAAGCTTGAATGTGCAGGTGGTGTAAGTAATGGATAATTGCTAATTGGAGAGCAGATTTCCAATTTCTGTTGGATTTATTCACTTGCAGCAAATACTCTTGGGAAAGGTATGAATCCATCTCTTCTCCTCCCCCAGCTATGGGTTAATTATTAAAATTTGTATCACTAAAACCATTATCACAAAAAAAAAAAAAATTTCTTACTATCTAAAAATATTTTCTGGCTTTAAATAACATGCAATGGGATGATAAGCCATTGAAAATAAATGAATCAATCTGACTGCTTAAAACTGATTCAAGCATTTTAAAAGTGGTATCTTGTCTCTTGAAATGAAATCCAGAAGTGAATGGGCATCAGTTGTCAATCATGAGGCTTTAATTCGCAATGTAGATCTGACATTATGACAGAGACATCCATATAGAAGAGGAACTGTTTCTCTTTTATGGCCAGCAGATGGAGTCTTTGAAGCTGAGTTTTCTAAGCAGCACCCACTTGACTAAAAGGGAACAAAAGGACAAATAGAAGAAAGCATTTGAGATCAAGCAACAAAATGATGGACATTGATAATTTCCAGTTGCTGGTTGATATTATTAGTCTCAGTTGGGATTGAGGAAGCCAGTTCTGGCCCACTCTTTGTTGGGGACAGACTGTTTCTTGGGTAGTTCCAATGCTGTCTATTGCCACTCATGCATCATGATGGGCTGAGAGTTGGTCAGAGAAAGAATGAAAAAGAAGATCTGAGCTGTTAGTTCGACATGGCAGTTGTCCCAAGGGTCACTTACCTACTAGCCCAGACCAAGCAAGTGAAGCCCTGAATAAAGCACTTAAATATATTGGAAACCAGGTTCACCGATGTCAACAAGAATGGAGAGGCAACATAGAGCAGGCATTGGCTGGTTGGCACAAAGACAAGTGAAGGTCCTGTTGTAGGGTTACATAGAGGAGAACCCAAACACAAGCCCTTGAGTTTTTTCAAGAGAGTTTAGAATATCAAGACAACATATGTGAAGTATTTTTTTTCAATGCCATGTCCTTTCAGGATGCAGACATTCACAGTTCTTCACAGCTTCCCTTTCTTTGTTACCTGTGAATTTCCATGACTTTGTGGGAAAGATAGTGGAGTGGTTTCCCACTGCCTTTACTCTGGTTTTTAATTTAGAGTTGTCCTCTTAAACTGGCTGCCAAGAAAGTTCACTTTGCTATTTAACCCATAGTTGAGTGTGAGGGAGAAGAGATAAACTGATGCCTTGTCTCAAGGGTATAAGTGTGAAAGTGAATTCAACAAACTAGGCCAGAATTTGAACATTGCTTACTGAATCCACTTCCCATGCCCACTAACCATCATGCTACCGACACATCACCTATTTCACATTATAAACAGTAACAATAACAATTCTTCAAAGACAGTTGCCTATGTGCAGAGATCTATTTGAACTTATTAGGAAAACTTGATTTATTTAGGAAAGACATTAGAATAATCCAATAACCAAAGCCAGGCATCTGATCTCTCCTCCAACTTAGTTCTAAAAGCTCAGTAAGGGAAAAACTGTCTGGTTACATTCAATGCCTCAAAAACCCAAGTGAATAGATTGCATACAAATTCTCGATTACAATCCTTGGTTTTCCTAAGCAGTTTTCTGACCATGCCTGATGCAGCTTAATTTTGGTAACCAAGCAGAAACTGATGCCTTCAGGGTGCCATCTCAGTATAGACCCATTAGCTTGTTATTGATCACCACATATATTCAATCTTATCTGATTGATTGCCAACCCCACTGTAGCTGGAACCTTGGAGGTTAACTCTAACCATAAAAATCAAAGATTCTCCCTTGTTTCAAAATCCACTGAAATGCTTGACCATAGAAGAATGCTGCGAATGTGTCTTCATGAGTAAGTCTCATTCCTACATTTGAAATCTGTAATTTTAAAAATTTGGTGTAGATGTATGTTTTTATCTATTATTTTTTTGTACTCTCCCTCAGAGATTTTTTTTTATTTTTTTTTATTACTATGATTGTCATTATTAAACCTCCTGGTCTAATCTAATTGATACAATTCAAATTAAATTGTACTTTTTAAAATTGGAATAATAAAAAAAACTATTTGTCCACAGTTATCTGCATTTATCGTATGTGCATTCTTACTGGTTATTTTGGTACCAAATGAGTCAGTTAAAGGTTGTCTCTAGAGGACCTAACTTAAAATAAATGTTGTAAAATCTGATCTGACAAGAGTCAATTCATTTCACAATAATTTTTTTAGTTGATAGGAGACATCAGAACTTATACTAAGTTACTTAATAGTTAATAATAGATATTTACTTCCTCCCCACACTGAGTCAGGTTGTGACACAAGGTCATTTTTTTTAATGTGGGGAAATGCTTACACAAATAAAGACACAAAGAAAATAGAGTTAAACAAATATATTAACAGAAACAGTAATACAAATATATACAAACGAGAGTGTTACAGTCCAACTGTCAGAGCTGACTGCTGGAAACTTCCCTCTCCAAAAGGCAGTACCTGCTCCTATTTATAGTTGGGAGAGTCCATGCATGTGCAGGTAAATTACCATAACAGGACCAGAGTGTTTTCACTCAGGCTGCTGGTCTTAGCTGGGCTCATCTAAGCTAGTAATAGGCAGTGATCCCCCCCCCCAGTATGTGCGAGGTAAACACTTAATAATTAATAATATACAGATTCCTAAGCCTCTATATTCGAACTTAATCCCATGCCTAGGACCTCACCACCACAGCACTATTCTTAATCTTCCCTTTGCTTTTACAGCTTCTTTTTTTTTCTCTTTATATAACTTATCAGTGCTAAACTCTCCTGGAGTACTACCAACTGACAAAAAAAGGGAAAAAAAAAAAAAAAAAAAAACATTAACAGGAGAGAACAATAGAAAGAAATCAAAAGAAAATAACTTTATCCTGCATGAATATAACTTAGCCGTAAAGATTATTTCATTCTGTTAATTTTTGACTAATGGTTCCACATAGGCGGTATCCTCTGTTGTCTATCAAATTCTTCAGTTATTAATAATTCAGTAATTCCCATCCTGACCTGGAAAGGGTTTATTGGCTTACTTGGCAACCTTCCCAGAAATGTTGTCTTGATAAAATCACCCAAACTCTTGGGTTGCAAACAGGTTAATAGGAATAGATAGGTCCAATTATTGTGAAACCCACACTCCTTTCATCTTTATTGAACAGGTTTATCCCTTGTTTCTTGTTTAGGATATGGTTTTACTGGTTGTTTCTTCCTTTCATGGTCACAATAATTTAACAATGTTAACTTTTTGATGATCTGACTGATCAGTGACTGCTATTCTTCCTGAGTTGGCAGTTTTCTGGTGGCTGCTTCCAACTAACAGTAAAGAGCCCACACTCTTTGATAGTGCTTATTTGATTATTAATAACTGGAGAATTTGATAGACAACAGAGGATACTGCCTATGTGGAATCATTAGTCAAAAATTAACAGAATGAAATAATCTTTATGGCTAAGTTATATTCATGCAGGCTAAAGTTATTTTCTTTTGATTTCTTTCTATTGTTCTCTCCTGTTAATGTGTTTTTTTTCTTCCTTTTTTTGTCAGTTGGTAGTACTCCAGGAGAGTTTAGCACTGATAAGTTATAAAAAGAGAAAAAAAAACAACTCTAATCAAGTGTTGCATAATGTTGTGCATGGGTAAGTGTCTTGGCATGTATTTCTAGTGAGCAACCCTAAGGTCACATTATTCTTTAGTCTTAGCCATCTTCTGACCAGTTTGTATTGCCACAGACGATAGTGATAATTACTTTGTCTTTCTTCTTTGTTCTCTTCAAAACAAATCTTATGATAAATACAATTAAAAGAAATACAAGAAAACCAGTACACAAAATTCACCTCAATCTTTCTTTCTCTAATATTCACGGTATCCATTCCAATTTCTTTTCTCTTGAAATGTCTCCTGATATCTTTGCACTTTATGAAACCAATTTAAATTCTTCCATTGCCACCAATGAATCTTATTTTTTGCATGGTCTTGGTGCTTATATCTGGGAAGATCTGTCAATGGCAAGGGAATTATCCCCTGGACTCCCTAAACTTATTCTTTCATGTGCTTTTGACTTTCCTTATTGCACTTTGTTAACAAATGCTTCTTCCTTTAATGATCTCCCTCTTCTCAGAACTGCAGTATATTAGACAAAATTTCTAACAGTATAGAAATGGTTCTCATTCTGCAAACATTTTTGTTTTTAGTGATTTTAATGGTCATCATGACAAGCAGCTTAAGCATTCCAATGTTACTGACACTGAGGGTATTCAGGCTTTCAATTTTTCCATTGCTCAATCTCTTATGTAAATAGTGGATTTCCCTACTCATTTCCCTAATAAACTGGATTTGTTCCTTACCTCCTCTCCTATCTCCTGTCAAATTTCACAACATTATCCTCTTGGAAATTAAAATAATACTGTAGTATCTGCTGATATTTTGTTTCAGTCATCTATTAGACAGGAACATCCTATTCACAAGATCTCTTTCTGATACCAGCATGCTGATTGGGATTCACTTCACGACTTTCTTCGAGATGCCCCTTGGATTGATATTTTCAACCTTCCTATTGAGAATTGTGCCAGTGAGGTTTCTTCTTGGGTCAAAGCCAGTATTGATGTTTTTGTAGCTTCAAGTACCAGATGAAATCAAAATCCTCTTCATAGTTCACACCAGTCTGTTCAGCCACTACAGCCCACAGGAATTATTTTTTCCCATCTATACCAACATGACAGTTCTGATCTCTATTCGTTGTTACCCATAATAAAATGTAAACACGTCCTCAAAGGAGCTAAGACTTTGCTGATATAACGAGACACCATAGAGCCTCTAACAACAGAGCTGTGTATTAAATAAGAATAAGTTTTCTATTCTTCCTCTCTTCACCCAATTTGTGGTGTTAACATCCTCTGCTGATAAAGCAGATTTTTTTTGCCTATAAATTCTCCTCAAACTCTACTCTTGACTCACCTGGAGTATCCCTGCCTGACTTCCTACTTAGAACTGATTCTCTGTTGAGTGATATGCATATAACACCTTCCATCGTTTCTGCTATCATCTCTAACCTTGATCCCAACAAAGCATGTGGACCAAATGCCATTCCTGTAATAGTCATTAAGAAGTGGGCTCTCAAACTAGCTAATGTTTTCTCTAAACTCTATAATAAATGCCTCACTGCCTCCTGCTGTTGTTCCATTTTTTAAGAACTGGTGAACCCTCTGACCTATCCAACTATTGCCTTATAAGACTTCTGCTTCTTTTTGGGAAACTCCTAGAGACCTTAATCACTGCAGAATTGGTTCATCATCTCTTATCACAGGGCCTTTTATCATTGACAGTAATAAAGGCAAGCAAGTCCTCGAAGAAGCTAAGTCTCTGTTTTCTGAGAGAATGAAGCACCACATAGCCTCTAAAAACTTTGGTTCTCGTGACCACTGGCATCACTGTAATAGGGTACTAAATAAGTCCAAGGTGTCTCTTCCCCCACTCTTCAATTGATTTGAGGTGTTATTATCCTCTGCTGATAAAGTTGAATGCTTTGCCTGTAAATTCTCCTCAAATGGACCTGATGCCATACCTGTAATAGTCATTAAGAAGTATGCTTCCGAACTAGCTCCTGTTCTTTCTAAACTGTATAATAAATGCCTTGCTGTCTCCTGCTTTCCTGCTGTTGTTCCAGTTCTTAAGAACTCTGGTGAACCCTCTGACCTATCCAACCTATTGCGCTATAAGACTTCTGCCTCATTTTGGGAAACTCCTAGAAACCTAAATCACTGCTGAATTGGTTCATCATCTCTCATCACAGGGTGTTTTCTCATAATTTTCTCATCACAAGACCTTTTCTCATTGCTCATAATAAAGGCCAATTACGTTCTTGAAGAAGCTAAGTCCCTGTTTGATGAGAGAATGAAGCACCGCATAGCCTCTAAAAACTTTGGCTCTCGTGACCACTGGCATCACTGTAATAGGGTACTAAATAAGTCCAAGGTCTCTGTTCTCAGACTTCAATTGAGTTATGGTGTTATCATCCTCTGCTGATAAAACTGTATGCTTTGCTTGTAAATTCTCCTCAAACTCTACTCTTGACTCATCTAGAGTATCCTTGCCTGACTTTCCTCTTAGAACAGAGTCTCTGTTGAGTGATATCCATATAACTCTGCCTATGGTTTCTGCTTTCATCTCTAATCTGGATCCTCACAAAGCATGCAGAACTGAAATAGTCCTTAAAAATTGTGCTCTCAAACTGGTTCCTGTTCTCTCTAAACTCTACAAGAATTGCTTCATTGCCTCTTGTTTTCCTGTTTATTGTTCCATTCTTTAGGAACGCAGGTGAACTGTTTAACACTTTGAACTATTGACCTATTAGCCTTCTACCTCTTTTTGGCAAACTACTGATATACAAACAATTATTGTAGAAAGAATCTATTAAGCTTTAGATGAGACTGGAGAAGCTCAGGTTGTTACTTTGGACTATTTGAAAGCATTTGACAGGGTTTGGCATACCAATCTTTTTCATAAGCTGAAAAGCTATGATATTTCCAGGCAAAATTTTGAACTGATTTTTTCTTATCAAATTGTGAAATGAAAGTTGTCCTGAATGACCACTCTTCTAGATCTTTTTGTATTAATGCAGGTGTCCTCCAGGATTCTGTCCTTGAACCTACTCTGTTCTTAATTCTCATCAATGACCTTCTTGATGACACAACCATTTACACCTGTCTTGGTAGTAAGTTTGATCAGTTAGATACGGCCAAATTGGCAATTGATCTCAAAGATGACCTACAGTCTGTTGTTAACTGGGGCAAGGAATACCCCAAAAGACAAAAAAATGCAACATACCCAAAAAAAAAAAATGCAACATACCCATCAGACCCATTGTGTCAGGCATCAATAGTGCACCCCACAAATTAGCTAAAGCAATTGCAAGAATCCAAACTCTATTCTTAGACACTGTTGTAACCTTGAGAAGGTTACTGAATAGAATAATCAAATGAAGGTCGGTAATGAATGATAATACTTAGAACAAGAACAACACATAATTGATAGAAGTGAGTCAAGTGAATTCCACAATGAATCTCCAACTGCAGACCAACATACAGTATTTACTACTATATTTATGTGAATGAGGACATGCCCATTATCATCTGTAGGTATGCTACAACAGACACCATCAACCCAACATGCATAAAACATTGTGGTGACTTAATCAAGAGTATATATGAACACATGGTAAAAAATCAAGAGTATATATGAACACATGGTAAAAAATCAAGAGTATATATGAACACATGGTAAAAAATCAAGAGTATATATGAACACATGGTAAAAAATCAAGAGTATATATGAACACATGGTAAAAAATCAAGTTATATGAACACATGGTAAAAATCAAGAGTATATATGAACACATGGTAAAAAAAAATCAAGCACATGGTAAAAAAATCAAGAGTATATATGAACACATGGTAAAAATCAAGAGTTATATGAACACATGGTAAAAAATACTGAGCAAAATAAAAAAAATAAATACAGTTTTGGTCTTACCACAGCTGTGGCTATCATTTTCGGGACTTTATAAGCTATAAGATCTCCAAGGACATGACCCGCATATCCTCCGGCAATAAGTAAGATATTACCATGTGCAACGGCAGCAGAGTGACCAAACCGTCCACCTTTTGGCATAATGGACCCTCGAGAATCTCCTACAAAGAAAAAAATGTTAAAAAGTTACACAAGTGAAGAAATTTAATAACATTGCAAAAAAGTAAATAAACAAAAATTCCATACAATCAGTTGTTAAATGGGGCAAGGAGTGGCTTAATTTTAAAGCTTCCAAAACAAAACGGCTTTCTTTTAACTGAGACAACACTTTTACCTTCCATCAGTATGGCTGATGTTAACCTCCAGGACAGTGACTCGTTGTGCCTTCTTGGACTAATGTTTTCCACTGATATGAAGTGGAAAGAGTATATTGAATCGATTGCTAAGTCTGCATCTAGAAAAATTGGTTCACTATGTCAAGCTAGTGAATTTTTCTTGCCAGAATCTATCTTACATATTTATAAGTCTACCATTTATCCTTGTTTTGGATATTGTTGCAACATCTGGTCTGGTGCTCCTGATATACATTTAGAGATTCTTGATAGAAACCAAAGAAGAATCTGCAATATTATTGATCCTGATCTGGCATCTCAGCTTCAATCACTTTCCTACTGCTGTAACATAGCTTCCCTGTGCCTTTTCTATAAATAGTCTCATGGTAATTGTTCTGATGAACTTTCCTCTATGGTACTTAGAGTTTATGAATTTAAGTGCAGTATGAAATTGGTAGCAAGTGAAATGCAAATATATATATATATATATATATATATATATATATATAAATATATATATATATATATTCACTGCTTCACCACCAGCAAGCAGAAATATTTCTCCTCCCGATGATGGCCATTTCGGTTCGAAAACTAGTCGAGAATTTAAATGGAATAATAATAAAAAAAACGAAAGAATATTAATCTACAACCCAGTGTGTCCAAAGATTTTAATTTTTAATTTTTTTTTTCTTATTGTTCAAAATATATATATATATATATATATATATATATATATATATATATATATATATATATATATATATATATATATATATATAATTTCAAGTGGAACACATCAAAAGAAATTCAGTGAAGTCATATGCCGTAGAGAAGCTTGGTGGAAGTGTCATTGGCATGAGTAGCATTACACATTCAGCTCACTTCAGGTGAGTTTCAATTACTTTCCAGTAATTTCCTTCTTCAACATGCAGTTCAAGCATTTATTCTTTAATGATGTTAAGGGTTACTCAAACTTTTGTTCAAGTAAACTCATTTTGGCTGTTGTGCCCTCCAGCCTTCATCAGGTCAACTCACATAAACTTCAAGGAATTTTGAGATGAATAATACTTAACTAGTTTCCAAGTTTTCCTATTTTAAAATTCTGATGAATCTTAATTCTTTAGTTAATGATTAAATGAGCTCATGACAAGTTCTACAACTAGGAAATATCTGTAGAAATTCCCATATCACATTGTTAAATGTTTGAGCTTAACAACTTTAACAAAATATTGCAATAACAATCATAAATAGGAATGCGGGCGTTTTTTTTTTTTTAAGAAGTGGGTACAAATGAAAAGATTTGAAACTGACAACTTTAAAAACAGATATTAAAACCTTTCTTTCTTACATTCATTTGTTTTCACTGAAACCATCACTATGCCAATTTCTATAACAACAACAATAATAATAATGATGATAACTAGATTTAACCCATTAAAATTTCACAGCATTCCTATTTGAATTTTCAGATGAATCTTCATTCTTAAACTAATGATTGAATAAGCTCATGGTGAGTTCTACGACAATAAAATATCTGTAGAAATCCCCTCATCACACCATTAAATATTTGAGCTTAACAACTTTAACAAAACATTGCAATAACAATTATCATAAAAGCACATATTTTTTGTTCCACTCTTCTCGGAATTTTCGATAAGATCAAAGTGTAGTATCTGTTTTTATCAGCTTTATCTGATTTTTCTCTATCTCTTTCCCTATTCTAAATTCCCTTCTTTCTTTCTCTCTGAAACAACATAAAAGAAAGACAGAAAAAAAAACCATGAAAATGTCACAGTTTTCCTATTTTAATATTCTGATGAAGCTTAATTCTTTAGTTAATGATTGAGTAAGCTCATGACAAGTTCTATAACGATGAAATATCTGTAGAAATTCCCCTATCACATTGTTAAATATTTGTGCTTAAACAAAATATGGCAATAACAATTATAAATATGAATGCTGGTCATTATTTTAAGAAGTGGGTACAAATGAAAAAAATGAAATTGGCAACTTCATTCCATTGCACCGAAGCAGATTTCAGTTTTTCTACTTAAATTTTCTGATGAATTTTAATTCTTAAGTTAATGATTAAATAAGCACATGTCAAGTTCTACAACAATGAAATATCCATAGAAATTTCCCTATCATGTTAAATATTGTTGGTAGCTTAAGTCCAACTATCTGGGAAAATGGAAGGTAAAGCTTAACAACTTTAACAAAACATTGCAATAACAATTATCATAAAAGCACATATCATTTTTTGTTCCACCCTTCTCGGAATTTTCGATAAGATCAAAGTGTAGCATCTGTTCTTATCAGCTTTATCTGATTTTTCTCTATCTCTCTCCCTATTCTAAATTCCCTTCTTTCTTTCTCTCTGAAACAACATAAAAGAAAGACAGAAAAAAAAAAAAAACATAAAAATGTCACAGTTTTCCTATTTTAATATTCTGATAAATCTTAATTCTTTAGTTAATGATTGAGTTAGCTCATTAAATGATAATGAATTCTTACTTGTTACTAGTGTAGTCTTATGGTGGCAATCATTTATGCAAAAAGAGTTGCAACAAAAAACGCTATATGTTGCCTACAAGTAATTCTCCATGTAGAAGTATCGTTCAAGAAAAAAAACTGCTACTACTTTTGGCTATTTCTCGCATTTTTTATATCTCACTCCAAACACATACGCAAATTTTGAGTCTGCTTCAATCTGATGATGTCGACTGGAACTCATTTCAATACATTCTTTTGTGAAGATGAAATAATATAATATATTTTTGTTACAAGATTACAGTTGAATTCCTCTATTTCTTCCCTTCCACTGAGCTTCTCTAAGATAAGTGCACAAAGTTTCTACAATATTTGAGCTTAACTTTAACAAAATATTGCAATAACAATGCTGGTCATTATTTTAAGAAGTAAGGGGATACAAATGAAAAGATTTGAGATTAACAACTTTCTTTTTGAAATCTATTATATAATTGTTTTACAGACACAGTATCTGTACCCCGTGTCTAACCATCTTTGTACAGCTTCAAACAGCAAGGTTTCAAAATCAGAGTTCTTTCTCCTAAATTGGTTGCCAAGAAGGGTTTCCAAAAATAATTCTGGTGTTTGGACATTTGGTCAGTTTCCTGTGAAGTGGGTTAGGCAGAGCACTCTTCAAGGCTATAGAACCTGGTCTATACTGCTATTTACCCATAGCTACTGGGAGAAGAGGATTCTTTCCCAAGTGTATTAGCACAGACGTGAATGCAATGAATTCAACTGGAATTTGAGCTCTGCTTTCCGTTTCCTCAATCCAAACACTTCTATATGTTACTCCACTATGTTTATTAAATTCAACTGATAAGGCCTGTTTGTTTAATTTGGAGTGGGGTGTGAATGTTCAACAAATTATTGTAAATAATTGTAAAAATATCAGTCAGTTATGTGCTATGCATAATACACACTTAGGCGATCATGTATCTTTCAATACATGACTAACAAGCCAGATTGCCATCCAAGGCTATAGAACCTGGTGTGTCCTGCTATTTACCAATAGCTAGGAGGAGAAGAGGATTCATACCTTTCCCAAGGGTCAATTATGTGCCATGCGTGATACACGCTTAGGCAATCATCTATCTTTCGATGCATGACTGACGAGGCAGATTTTTTTCCCTGCAGTAGGTTGCCATTTCTTTCTGCAGTAGACCAGTTGCCATCCAAGGCTATAGAACCCAGTCTGTCTTGCTATTTACCCATAGTTGGGTGGGATAAGAAGATTAAAACTTTTCAAACATAAGTGAATGTTATGAATTCAACTGGAATTTGAGCTCGGCTTTCAGTTTCCTCAATCCAAACACTGCTATATGTTACTCCACTATGTTTATTAAATTCAACTGATAAGGCCTGTTTGTTTAATTTGGAGCTGGGTGTGAATGTTCAACAAATTATTGTAAATAATTGTAAAAATATCATGCTATAATAATACACACTTAGGCGATCATGTATCTTTCAATACATGACTAACAAGCCAGATTGCCATCCAAGGCTATAGAACCTGGTGTGTCCTGCTATTTACCAATAGCTAGGAGGAGAAGAGGATTCATACCTTTCCCAAGGGTCAATTATGTGCCATCGTGATACACGCTTAGGCAATCATCTATCTTCGATGCATGACTGACTTTTTTTTTCCTGCAGTAGGTTGCCATTTCTTTCTGCAGTAGACCAGTTGCCATCCAAGGCTATAGAACCCAGTCTGTCTTGCTATTTACCCATAGTTGGGTGGGATAAGAAGATTAAAACTTTTCAAACATAAGTGAATGTTATGAATTCAACTGGAATTTGAGCTCGGCTTTCCCAAACACTGCTATATGTTACTCCACTATGTTTATTAAATTCAACTGATAAGGCCTGTTTGTTTAATTTGGAGCTGGGTGTGAATGTTCAACAAATTATTGTAAATAATTGTAAAAATATCAGTCAGTTATGTGCTATGCATAATACACACTTAGGCGATCATGTATCTTTCAATACATGACTAACAAGCCAGATTGCCATCCAAGGCTATAGAACCCACTGTGTCCTGCTATTTACCAATACCTAGAAGGAGAAGAAGAGGATTCATACCTTTCCCAAGGGTCAGTTATGTGCCATGGGTGATACACACTTAGGCGATCATCTATCTTTCGATGCATGAAGGACGAGGCAGATTTTTTTTTTCCCCACAGAAGGTTGCCATTTCTTTCTGCAGTAGACCAGCTGCCATCCAAGGCTATAGAACCCGGTCTGTCCTGCTATTTAACCATAGCTGGGAGGAGAAGAGGATTCATACCTTTCCCAAG